GGAATGCTCATAGTCAATCAAAGAATATTTCACACATAGGGGCCTAAATTATATATTTTTAAATTTAATAGAGACGCATTGATCGTGCTATCATATACCATTCTAATACCATTGCGAATTACTGTATTGTTTGGAATGCTCACAATTAAAGACACGTTATTTGAAAGATGTATAAATAATATTTATATTACAATGTACATCTTTATTCTTTCACGGTATAATTTATGACGTTTCTTAGTCAATTGGCAATCGCGTCATTATATAATGATAGTCAAATTGATCAAACGAAACTCCGTTTTGATTTTAGTCAATTATGAAATATTCATTGATTAATGACATACAACTTTGTTTCAATTTTGATACTACCCGTAGACCTGCCGAGCAGCTGTAGATATCAAACTAAACCAAAGTATAAAAGATAGAGGGTAAAAAAAATCAAAAAGTTATGTGCTAGTCAAGCTTTCAGGGATCGGTCTGAGCCATAACAATGCCCCAGCCGATCCCTTAGTTCTCTTCCGGGGTCTCGGCGTCCCCGACCAATACACACTTCCTTCCCTATCCATCCATATAACCCCGGAGGGCCAGGCACCATGTAAAAGCAAAGAGCTAAGGGAGGAACAGGGCGGCCCCTAAGCCCTGATCCTCCGAGTGGACCACATGCCCTGAACCTGTACGAAGGCGCCAACCTGGAACTCGCGGACAGTACCAGCAGCAGTGCTTACCGATTAAGCTAAGGTACTGTTGGTACTTTACGACGGGAAATTACATCTCTTATAGTGAATAATTGAACTCATTCGTTAAAAACCAAAAAGACACCAGCGGGATTCGAACCCGGGACCCCGCTATAAACCGTGGACGACGAATCGTAACCACTCGGCCATTTCGTTACCTTAGAATTTTCCTTAAACTGAGAAAAGTTGTCTTTATAGTTGAGCAAACGCGCCAGGAAGATTACTGGGTCCATTTGCTTTAGGCTACCTTAATGCGTAAAAACAAGTCGATATAATGAGCCCAGTGTGTTTGGTTTGTTAGGAAGCTGCATAACACAGCCTAATGTGCAAAACAGTCGTGTGCTAGGCGGATCATTACGCAACAATGAACACCGCAATTGTGTATTTTCAAAAGGCAGACGCGTAGATTTCTACTCTTTGTATCTGGGCACATATAGATTCACACCTCCCTCTTCAGCTTTTTCGACTTTCTTAAAAAGAAAAATAGAGACTGTCAGCGAATCTCCGGGAGTTGAAATAAGGATCGTCCCCTCGATAGACCTCAGACTCAGTAAAGTTCAACATTGGGCTCTTTTTCAACAGCTGTTTTTGCGGAAACTTTACATCTGGATTTTTTAGAAGCATCTGATTTTGCCCAATTTTAGTAAAATATGCTCCAAATTATGCTAAAAAAGCAAGGTTAACCCCTTACCATTTTAGATTTTTCATACAAATCTGATTTTGCCAAATTTTACTTAATATACAAGGTACACCTCTTACAATTTAAAATTTTTCATAAACATTTCTTTTTGCCCAGTTTTGCTAGAAATACAAGGTTAAGCCCTAACAATCTGCAATTTTCCAGAATCATCTGATTGTGTCCTATTTTGCAAAAAAAAAATGCAAGGTTAACCCCTTACAATTTGAATTTTTTTCATGAACACCTAATTTTCCCCAATCTTATTCAAAAAGCAAGGTTAACCCCTTACCATCTGCAATTTTCCAGAAACATTTGATTTTTTCCCATTTTCGCTTTAAAAAATGCAAGGTTAACCCCTTACAATTTGATTTTTTTTCATAAACATCTAATTTTGCCCAATTTTACATCAGCTTATGCTAACAAATTATTAGGTAACTGGATCATTAAACGGGACAGGTGCACATCGGCCTTGGAGCTCAGACCATGTGTCATGCACTCCTCAATGCATAGATGATGCACATAACACTATGGGTAGTACAGGCACAGCTGGGGGTACTGCCCAAACAATGATGAACGCATTGCGTATGCTTAAAGAATTACCCACAATTCCGGTTTTTACCGTTTAGGTCTGGCTCTAATCACTTTACGCGATCCCCGGACGTCTCATACACTGACTTTAGGCAAAATAGTCAGACTTTCGCGGTCTAGTAACCAGACTTTGACTCTTAAAGAAACATCGAATGAAAAGGGAAATAACAAATGCATATTGCAAAAGATCGAATGCAAACATACCGATGAAACATCGAGTACAAATAGCTCGAAATGTCAAACATATGTGTGAAACATTGCTCACATATTTGAGAATATCGCAAATATATTGTAAAACAACACACACAATTGTATCGAAAAACATCGCACATTTAATGCAAAAAATCGAACATAATATTCAAAACATCGCACATATAAATTGAAAATCGCATATAAATGTAAAACATCGCACACATATATTAAACATCGGACATATATTGTAAAACATCGCACAAATATATTAAACATCGCGCAAATAATGAAAAACATCGCACACTTATATTGAACATCGCACATAAATGTAAAAGATAACAAACACATATTGAACATCCAACATATATATTGCAAAATATTGAATATTGCAACGTTTGACACGCCATAACCGCCAAGCCATACATCCGCACGCCGTAGAATATTTTAAGTTTTGTTCAATAGAGGGCGCGCCACATAAATAGTGGTCTCAACAACGCATCAACACGGATGCTGCACAAGTGAAGAAAAAGAACAAACTCGTTTCCGATGAACTACTCAGGAAATACAAATTAGATTAAATTGAAATTTCGTGCAATTAGTTTTCACGATGTGTAGCATAAGTAGTTTAAATGGCGTGAGAAACCGTGGAGCTATAAATACAATATGATCGTAACAATCTAGTGTTTTAAACGTTAAAAATCCATGTTGACTTACATTAGGATTGTATTTGTTGCAATTAAAATCCTGTATTGTTACGGTCATAATAGCTTGATAATTTGACGTTTTTATTATGAAATGAAATCTTTTGATGTCAAACATCGTGACAAATGAGTGTACGAAAATTCATTTTAATGTAACGTGTATTCAGTGGCGTAGCGAGGATTTTTTTTCGGGGGGGGGGGGGGGGGGGGCTGGCATATTTCATGGGGGGTGTCATGTAGATCAATGATAATTTTTTTAGAAACACAAAATCTCTGTGGGGGGGGGCGACTGGGGGGGGGGGGGCGACAAGATTTCATGTTGAACTACTCAGGAAATACAAAATAGATTAAATTGAAATTTCGTGCAATTAGTTTTCACGATGTGTAGCATAAGTAGTTTGAATGGCGTGAGAAACCGTGGAGCTATAAATACAATATGATCGTAACAATCTAGTGTTTTAAACGTTAAAAATCCATGTTGACTTACATTAGGATTGTGGGGGCGACAAGATTTCATGTGGGGGGAGGCTTTCGCCCCCCACGCCCCCCAAGGCTACGCCACTGCGTGTATTTCTTGAGCTGTTGGCCCCGGGCGCGCCACATAAATAGTGGTCTCGGCAACGCATCAACACGGATGCTGCACAATTGAAGAAAAAGAACAACCTCGTTTCCGGTGAACTACTCAAGAAATACAAAATGGATTAAATTGAAATTTCGTGCAATTAGTTTTCACGATGTGTAGCATGAGTAGTTTAAATGGCGTGAGAAACCGTGGAGCTGTAAATATAATATGATCGTAACAATCTGTTTTAAACGTTAAAAATCCATGTTGACTTCCATTAGTATAGTATTTGTTGGAAATAAAATCCTGTATTGTTACTTTCATAATAGCTTGATTATTTGACGTTTTTTTTCTGAAATGAAATCTTTTGATGCCAAACATCATGACAAATGAGTGTACGAAAATTCATTTTAATGTAAGTTGTATTTCTTGAGTTGTGTTGGCCCCAAATCGGGTTTGGTGGTGGAGATCGAGACCACTATAATAGAGGGCGCGCCACATAAATAGTGGTCTTAACAACGCATCAACACGGATGCTGCACAAGTGAAGAAAAAGAACAACCTCGTTTCCGATGAACTACTCAAGAAATACAAAATGGATTAAATTGAAATTTCGTGCAATTAGTTTTCACGATGTGTAGCACGAGTGGTTTGAATGGCGTGAGGAACCGTGGAGCTATAAATATAATATGATCGTAACAATCTAGTGTTTTAAACCTTAAAAATCCATGTTGACTTCCAATTGGATAGTATTTGTTGGAAATAAAATCCTGTATTGTTACTTTCATAATAGCTTGATTATTTGACGTTTTTTTTTCTGAAATGAAATCTTTTGATGCCAAACATCATGACAAATGAGTGTACGAAAATTCATTTTAATGTAACGTGTATTTCTTGGGTTGTGTTGGCCCCAAATCGGGTTTGGTGGTGGAGATCGAGACCACTATAATAGAGGGCGCGCCACATAAATAGTGGTCTTAACAACGCATCAACACGGATGCTGCACAAGTGAAGAAAAAGAACAACCTCGTTTCCGATGAACTACTCAAGAAATACAAAATGGATTAAATTCAAAATTTCGTGCAATTAGTTTTCACGATGTGTAGCATAAGTAGTTCGAATGGCGTAAGAAACCGTGGAGCTATAATTACAATATGATCGTAACAATCTAGTGTTTTAAACGTTAAAAATCCATGTTGACTTACATTAGGATTGTATTTGTTGCAATTAAAATCCTGTATTGTTACGGTCATAATAGCTTGATAATTTGACGTTTTTATTATGAAATGAAATCTTTTGATGCCAAACATCGTGACAAATGAGTGTACGAAAATTCATTTTAATATAACGTGTATTCAGTGGTGTAGCCAGGATTTTTTTTAGTGGGGGGGGGGGGGGGGGGTGGAAGGTAATTCTGTCTCCCGGTAAAGCTGTCCGGGGGGACAGAATGTCACGAGCCGGTAAATGTGTCCGGGGGGACACATTTACCAGGGGGACAGAATTACCTGTCACACCGGCTCATACATATTTTAACGCAAGAGGGCGCTATAGCGGTATCTATTTTTAGAGTTGGAAAATATGGCAGCTGTTGGTGAGCAGAACGAGCCCACAAATTCTGGAGATGCTGAGGGAGAACGACCGCTCAAAAGCTCCGAAATAGCCAAGGAGGCTGCAGCAGAATATGACAAGCCTCCAGAGACGGTTGGACAGTTATCTGAGGCGGGGGACGCCTCTACTGTTGAAGAAAAAGGTGGGCCATCTGAAGCGCCAATGCACTTTTGCCTTTTGGCAATGCATTAGATTCCAGGAGTTGTGTTTGTTTACATCGTTGTCACGCCCCAACTATCGCATCGGTCCCAACTATAGTTGGGCCTGTCCCAACTATAGTTGGGCCTGTCCCAACTATAGTTGGGCCTGTCCCAACTGTAGTTCCACAGTTGGGCTGGCCCAACTATAGTTGGGCCTGTCCCAACTATAGTTGGGACGGTCCCAACTGTAAGTTCCACTGTTGGGCTGGCCCATCTATAGTTGGGCCACGTACTCCGATCTTTTTATTTTGCGGTGTCCCAACTATAGTTGACATTGATGTACAACTGTAAAACGTTCCCTACAGCTCTGATACACGTCTGACTTTACTGGGGACCACTGAAATTAGTTATTGATGGGGCGAATCTATAGTTGGGCCACTCCAATCTTTTTATTTTGCGGTCCCAACTATAGTGTACATTGTTGTACGATTATAAAACATTCCCTACAACTCTCATACACATCTGACTTTACTTGGGACCAATGAAATTATCTATGGGTGGGGACCATCTGTAGTTGGGCCACCGCAATATTTTTATTTGGCGGTCCCAACTATAGTTTACATTGATGTACGACTATAAAACATTCCCTACAGCTCTGTTACATACTGTCCGACTTTACTTGGGACCTTTGACATTAGCTATGGGTGGGGCCTATCTATAGTTGGCCGGCCATGGCAATCTTTGAATTTTGCAAAATGTTGCTGGACAATAAAACCCAGCAGCAGCTGGACAACTCATCCAACTAGGCAGTACCACGTGACCGGCCAGCCTTGCGGCATGCATGCACGACGAATACACGGTGCCAGCGCCGCGGAACATTTAATCCAACAAGATCTATCAAGCATGAAGCATCCGGCGCAACTCCAGTCCTAACTATAGTTGGGCCGACCCAACTGCCGCACTATAGTTGGGACAGTCCCAACTATAGTTGGGACCGATGCGATAGTTGGGGCGTGACATCATCATTCATCATTCATCATTCATCGTTCACTTGTATAATAAAGTGTTTGTAAATCAATGCAATCCAAGATTTGTTTGTTCGTTTTCGACATTTGTTTATGACCAGCTAACATTTTCCATTATATCAGTGAGTGACTAGAAGTAGAACTTAGGCAGTGTTTTTTGTTGATTAAAGTTAAAGCTATCCTATTAAAATTAATTATGTTAAAATTATTATGACAAAAGTATTTTTTAAGTTTCTAGCAAAATTGGATTGGCAATGTTTTTTAGGTCCAAGTACATTAACAAAAAAAAGTCTTTGTTTTGTCAAACATAGGCCTATATATTTATTTACAAAGTCAGTTGTTGAGTTTATATAAATGTGGTATTAGAGTAATAGAGAGCTCTGTGATAATGCAGTAATAAAAATTGTCTACTTTTATTGATGTGAATTCTCCTGCATGTCATCACATAAACGTAGATCTGTCTTTGTGGAGGTACTTCAGTGCAGAGCTAACAAGGGGTTATCTTCTTGAACACGATGAAGCACGCTATGCACTCAAGAGACAACGCGTCTACACGTTCATACGCATCCCAAAGGAACTGGAAAAGGTGAGTCTTCATTCATTCATGAATGCATTGTGTGATTGGGAATATAAAGAATATTTCACAATACCAGCACCGTACTGAGATATTCAAGACAGAAAAGCCTCGAGAATATTAGAGCCCTCTCCCCCTGAAAAAGATGAATAATGATGTTTAAATTCATAGCGAAGTAGAAACAATATAATGTAAATTATATGGGCTTGATATCTCATTGTCAAAGTGCAACAAAATGTGCCATTTGCATTTTTAATGTAATTATCAAGGACTTTTAAGGCCGAGTAATAAAACTTAGTGGTTTCTTGTTCGTCCTTGTTTGAAAAAATTGAAGGAGATGGCCAAATTTGTGGGTTTTTTTCCCAAGATGGCAGATTTTCCAAGATTGCAGATGGATTCTTTGATTTTCTCGACTATTTTCCTTCCTGCTACAAAATTGTGTACAAAGGAGCCATAACTCTTTCTGCACTGCAAATGCATGATTAAAAAAAAAAAGGGAGGCGGCCAGGAAAAAAGGAAGCAGGCAGAGATGAGAAACAGGTTCATTTTTATACATGGCCTAAAACTTGTAGCAAAAATGCTTCTAGGGTGCTTTTTTTCCTTGATAGTTGCCTTCAACATGACATCATGCACAGGAAGGTAGTTCTTTCGTTGCCTTCCACCTCAAAGGCCAAAGCTTTGAATCCCAGCCAATTCCACATTTGGATTGGGATTTCAGTCCCTACCCGATGCCATGGGTTTCCCCAGAATATTCTGAGGCTTTTTCCTCCCACCTGTAAAATTGTCCCATTGTTTCCTCTCTGCAGGTTTTTTCCGGCTTGCGAGCTACAGTGCCTAGGGCGCATTTGAGGAATCCTTGGTTTTCATTACCTGCAAGAAAATAATAATGATTTGTTTTCTTGGAATGTGTTCATTTCAGATGATGATCTACGGCTTCTTCCTGTGCATGGATGCCTTTCTCTTTGTCTTCACCTTCCTACCGCTGCGCGTTATCATGGCGCTGCTTCGTCTCATCACACATCCCTGCATCATTCACAGGTAGGGTCTTATTCTTATAGCCTTCGCCATTTTGAAAAATGTAGGATTGTAGAAATTATTGCTACAATTCCTTTGCTTTATCAAAAATGAAGTGATTAATAACAAATTTTGCCAAATAGTTACATGTTTAGCAGGTGTTGATTGACCATTAGTGTAGTCACTTAATTTCAAGGGATGTTCTGTAAGAAAATCCACCCTAAATGCTTTGACCTTATAAAACAACTGTATGCAAAATATAATTAAAAAACTTGATGAAAAGCCTCCTTTAAAAAAAAGTAGCGTGTGTCATCATGGAATTGCCACAGATCAAATATTGTGACACTGACATTTTTGAAGTTTTGGGTTCGAAAATGCTGAAAATACCAAGAAAAACAAAAATGTTCGAGTAGTCTGGTTCCCTGACTCCACTTAAGATGAAATGGATCAATCTATAGATGCCGACAAATTGTGGGGTAAGGCAACCAGTCTAGCTGGCCTGCACCCGTTCATGAATATGTAACCAATAGCAAAACAATTTGGACTGAAAAAAAGTGGTAAATTTGGAGCAGTAGTTAAAAAATAGTTAGGCTTCTCCAACGGTGGTCGGCCGACCACCTTTGGAAATGTATACAAAAATACCATTTTCTTGAAAATGACTTCATACCAGGTACCATAATTTTGCAGGATACTTTAGACTGTCAATTACCAAATCCTAGTAAGGTATTTCTTAAAACTTGGTAGTTTTATTTTTCGATGTTTGCGAATGTTGTATATTCCCTTTAACAGTTATAAAAAGATTATGTTTGTAGCTAACGGTCAAAACGAGCTAACATGCCCTTCCTTTCCCAGGGGGAGGAGGCTAGAGCCTGCCCAGATATGTGACATCTTTAAGGCCATCATCGTGATAGCCTGTACTTGGCTGCTGCAGTTTGTGGACGTGTCGATGCTGTATCACTTAGTCAGAGGCCAGGCTGTCATCAAGCTCTACATCATTTACAATATGTTAGAGGTAAGAAGAGTTGTCAAAGAATAAGACAGTGCCCTGTCATCTGCGCAGCTGCTGGTCATATGTTGTGTCCTTGGGCAAGCCGCTTTACCCCTACTTGCCCTAGGCCCTCCAGCTGTTGGTCATATGTTGTGTTCTTGGGCAAGCCACCTTACCCCTACTTACCCCTCCAGCTGCTGGTAATATGTTGTGTCCTTGGGCAAGCCACTTTAACCCTACTTGCCCTAGGCCCGCCAGCTGCTGGTCAAACGTTGTGTCCTTGGGCAAGCCACCTTACCTCTACTTACCCCTCCAGCTGCTGGTCATATGTTGTGTCCTTGGGCAAGCCACTTTATCCCTACTTACCCCTCCAGCTGCTGGTCATATGTTGTGTTCTTTGGCAAGCCACTTTACCCCTACTTGCCCATCAAGCTGCTGGTCATATGTTGTGTCCTTGGGCAAGCCACTTTACCCCTACTTGCCCTGCCAGCTGCTGGTCATATGTTGTGTTCTTGGGCAAGCCATTTCATCCCTACTTGCCCCTCCAGCTGCTGGTCATATGTTGTGTTCTTGGGCAAGCCACTTTACCCCTACTAACCCCTCCAGCTGCTGGTCATATGTTGTGTTCTTGGGCAAGCCACTTCACCCCTACTTGCCCCTCTCCACCCAGGGGATCAGTGGGTATTGACTTGAGCTTGGGAGTAACCTGTGTTTAACTGGCATGTCATCCAGTGGAGGTTTAAAAGTCAAACTGTTTAAATGTCAAATTTTGCTACTTTATCCTTCCTCATATGATTTCTTTTATTGCAGTCTAATAGGTGAAGGAACTAATTTTGGGTGTCACATATTCTCAGTTTGCGTCATGCCAAGTAAACTACAGAGAAACAATGTGACGAGTGCCAGTTTTGACTTGAGACAGAACTCACTCGTGCTCGTTGTGTTTATGATTATCAAAATTGAAACTTGAGTTTGAAATCTTTTGACTTGTCATGATCCTAGGTGGCAGATCGTCTTTTCTCATCGTTCGGCCAAGACATCCTGGACACTCTTTTCTGGACGGCCACGGAGCCCCGGGACAGGAAACGGGAGCATCTTGGCATCTTGCCCCACCTACTCATGGCTATCATCTATGTCTGTATCCTTCAAAGATATATTTAGTTTTGACACTTCCCCCCCCCCTCCCCCCCACAATTTGTAATAATAATAATGTGGTGCTTATATAGCGCTTTATACCAAAGGTCTCAAAGCTCTTAACAATTATTACCTCTGTTCATCAGGCCATGAGACCAGTTTCAGCAGCAGCTCGAGATCAGCGCATTCTGGTCTCTACCTTCACGGGTACCCATGTATACTCCTGGGTGGAGAGAGGCAATTGTAGTAAAGTGTCTTGCCCAAGAACACAAGCACCATGTTCCCTGTCAGGGCTTGAACCCACGTACTACGACATGTGAGTCAAACACCGTAACCATTCGACCACAGCACCCCAAGGAAGCCTTTTCTAATCCGACCCGATCAAGCAGGAAATTTAGTTCGAATACTGCTGAATTCGACAAGCCTTTTATTGAAGGATAGAGTGTTCTTTTATACATGTTGTACTTGTAGTCACTGCAGTCTAACCATCCTGAGGTTTTTCCGTTAATAACTGCGTCAGTCTTACACGCTTTACTAGTCTTGCTTCAAGCCACCACACTCAACGTAGCGTTCAACTCCCACAGCAAGGCACTGCTCACAATCATGATGTCCAACAATGTGAGTATAATGCATAAATCGTATAATGGTTGTATATGTACCAACAGTGAGGATACTTCTTTTCCCTTTTTTTTTTGCTCAGAGTGTTCTCAAACCTGTGAGTGTTCTTGTTCCTTTCAAATTGCTTCATTACAGATGCGTTCGATTAGCTCACCCGGGTCGATTCGGGTCAGCCCCATTCCGCTGGAATAGCTCTGACATCATTCTCGGGGCTCACCCGGGTCAGCCACCACAGACCCTGCTCGTGGAGTGGAGTCAGTGGCGGAAATACGTCGCACGCATGCGTTGCTCATTCCAAGAAATTGACAAATTTGGCGGCCTGACAGCGGAAAAGATCAAGTGGACCCAAAAATCAACTTTATTTGAAGTCGAAACCTAATTATTTATTGATCTCATTACGACTTTAGAGGCTATGATTCTAGCCCGATGATGTTGCTTTTTGCGATAAATCTCAAATAACCTACTTTACTCTTGTAATTGTCGATAGTTTGTCGAGCTCAAGGGAAGTGTCTTCAAGAAATTTGAAAAGTACAATCTCTACCAGATGTCCTGCAGTGGTAAGTTGCCTCTTCTTTATAGGTAGCCGTTATTAGTAAATCTTTGCATGAAGATAGAAACAAAATTGTAATTGAAAACAGTAGAATTGATTGATCTGATCTTATCCCAGAGTGAACTTGAAATAATCAGGGCTAGTGTACTGTTTATTGACAGATGTCAGAGAGCGATACCATTACATGATCCTGCTCTTCTGCGTCGTACTTCGCAACATGACCGAGTTTAACTGGAATATTGGTGAGTTCCTCCTTTCATAGAATGTAGTTTTAACAGAATTAAGTGCAGCCAAAACCTGCACAGGGGCTGATCCAGGAATTTTTGCAGGGGAGGGGGGTCAGGCCCTTCAGATTTTTTTAATCAGCAAATCAGTGCTGAAATGTAGACAGGGTTTTTTTCTCCGGAGAGTTGGCCTCCGTAAAAAAAAAAAGTGTGGGGGGGGGTTCCATCTTCCAATGGGGGCACTGTTTGAATCCGATGATCATGCACACTATCGCACAATAGTGTGCAAATGCCCCCCCCCCCTTACCCTCGCTGGCTAAGCCTCTGTGTCCGAGTGTTGTGGACAGGCGGACATTTAGGTAATTATTACTATAATTTTCAATTTAAAAAAAAAAAGTTTTGTCAGAGCAGCGTTTTGTTTTTTTATCCCCCCCCCCCCTGGATCCGCGCCTGCTGCATTATTCTACTACTCGTCAAGGAGTAACTACAGCGTATACAAATGCTAAAGGGTTTAAGTTGTGCAATAATGGGCAAATATCACACGTCTACAACCAACATTTTTCTCTGATGGTTTAATTTACTTCATCTGGCAGGCAATTTTACAAAAACTTGCGTCCTGCCACCCTACACCGCCCAGAACCTTTGCAAGTATTGAAAACACCTTTTTCCCCACATTTGGACCACATTTCTTCGTGTTCTTTGCAGATATTTTTTTTTTTTCAAATGACCTTTTAATTTTAGTTTCTTAATTTCCATCAATACTGTTCTGTAGATCACTTTTGGGAGTTAATACCCGACCTGATATCAGTACTCGTCGCCGAGATCCTAGTGGACTGGGTCAAGCACGCATTCATCACAAAATTCAACTCAATTCCAGCTGAGGTGGGTTTTTCACTTCTTGCACCTTGCATCAGTTATGATAATTTTCCTATTTTAATGGGGTGTTCGTGCAGTGAGGCATTGCAGGACATGATTTACATCATTTATAGGTATCATTTATAGCAAATATGAACATTGGTTTTGACTTTTTACATTTTTTAAATTTTTCTAGGTGTACACAGAATACAGAGCCAGCTTGGCTTTTGATATGGTGACAAGTCGCAAGAGAAATGTGAGTTACATAAATGGAAAGTAAAATATTGATGAGCTGTTTTCTTTTAATTTTTTTGTGTTTATCTTGATAGAGCAACAGGGATCGTTACACAGTTGACATTCTTACCTCATGATCTTGAATCAGTATGTACAGTACACAGACTTGTGTATGTACGGGGAGTCTTTAACCCTAGCCGCCCTGAATCCTTCAAAATCCTCTTTGAGGAATTTGGAGGATTGAGGTTACATGGCAAAAATGCGTTACTGATTTCATAGGATGCACTTTGTCAAGGTCTTGGTCTGAACCTTGTGCTCTTTTTGCTCAGCCATGCATAAATATAGGCCTGGATTATGCTTGAAATCCTACGTACTGCTCCAGGATGTCACTGGCCAAGCCTCAACATATTGACAGTCACTGCCGCAGGATTTTGCAGGATTCAAGCAGTGGTCAACCCTCCACGGATTATATTCAAGAAATAATGGAAAAATTTGCAGGATTGAGGCCATATGCTATTTTTCCATGAGGCCAATTGGAGGATTTTGCAGGATTGAGGCTACATCCTAGCAAAAAGGCCTAGGGAGATAGGGTTAATGAGAGTGTTAATTAAGTGATGGATAAAGTGACTCGGTGCCCTTTGTTTCAGGCTTTTTCTGACCACTCCGATGTCGTCGCTCGGAGGATGGGTTTTATCCCCCTACCTCTGGCCTGCCTTGTCTATCGCATCGTCGGCCAGTCGTTTAAGATACACGGCACAACGGGAATAGTCCTCGTCTTTCTTCTGTACTTGTGGTGAGCTCATTGAAAGAGACTGAAGCTTTCAGAGTTTCTTTAGTAGTTATTGCTGGACCTGAATGACCAACTGACTGAGTCACTGACTGAGTGATCCGCTGACTGACTGGCCAAGTCACTAAGTATAAAAAAAAAAACCAAGCTTTTATACTGCCCCAAAATTGACCGAATTTAGTCTAGCTTAGGTTAAGAGAATGAGAATTATTTTCCTGAATGACAAACTGGAGATCGTATCACAATGAGGAAGCAAATGAAAATTTTATGAGCATTTTGGAACGGAGTGCTTTTAACAGAAACCTTGCTTTACGTCAGGAAAATGAAGAAGCATTTTCAAATTTTAGTCCAAAAATATATCTACTAAGCTGGAATTTCGACAGGCTAGTTTATTAGTAACCTGCTTTAGATGATTGTATTGTTGTTCCTCCAATTCGAAAAAAAAAAATTGTCTTCAAATGGTGTCCATTGCCTTGAATCAGGCTTCGATTGTACATGTAACTGTTTCATGAGTTGTTTTGTTTTGTGTGTTCTTTGTCTTGTGACAGTCTGACGGCCTTCAAAGTCTTAAACAGCATCCTGCTGCTCGGCAAAGCTTGCCAGTACGTCAAGGAGGCAAACCTAGACGTCCCGGCTTCACAGCCCAAGCAGCCTCCACCTCCTCCCACATCGTCCTCCTCGTCAACAGCAACCTCTAAGGAAACAACGAGGGCCAAGACAGCGCCCCCGCCCATCAGCTCCCACACGCTCCTGACCACGGACAGCAGCGTGAATCTGATGGGGGCCGGGCCTGACGTTGGGCCCCTGTCGCCGCTAGAGGTCAGCCAGTCCCTGAGTAAAGAAGACATTTTGAAGAATAAGCCAGACCGGAAACGGACACTATCTGAGATCGACAGGTACACGCTTTGCAGTAACCGCATCGTATAGCACAAAAGTCACCCAAACCCTAAACCCAGAACTCCATTTTATAAATTAAAATATTTTAATTGTAACATGCCTTACTGTCTTTTTCAGTTATATGTCTTGTATGAATTTTTTCGGTGTGCTATGTGTTTGGAAAAAAAAACTAAACGAAGAAATGGTGCAGGATTGATTTAATCCATTGCTATGCTTGAAAAGCATTTGAAATAAGATTTCGGATTTTATAAGTGGTTAGGCCATCAGCCAAATTGGAAAAAAAAAATGTGCTTTGCCCCCCCCCTTCTAGAAAAAATCCTGGCGACGCCCATGCATGTACTTTTTGTGTACAATTTATTGACAAACATGCAGCAAATAATCTTATTGTAGCCTTCCACAATTCAGCTTTATTTTTGTCTTTTCACCAGACTTAGTCGGATTATAACCAAATGTAGGAAATTACATGTGATTTGCCCTTTGCATGGAATTGTTATATTAGAACAAATTTTAGGCTGGACTTGCAGAACAAAAGACCCTTTCTCATCTTAACTACGCACATTTTTTAGTCATTAAGTACAAGCCCATTTAAGTGTACAAAAGCTAGCTAAGCATATTTTTCAACATGACTGTGCAAAGTGCCCATTGCCTGAAATGTGGACTTATTTAAATGTATTTGTAAATTTGTGATGTAATTTATTGAAATTTCTATGAAGATTTGTAATACAGTTGAATAACTTAATGTGTATTGTTCATGAAAGTTGAGTTGTCTGCCAAATTGTGGTCATGGTGCATGAAAAAAAATATTTGTGGCTTTGGGTCAGCTAACCCTGACAAACTCATTTATGGTTAGGAAGTCTGAATATGTAAGCAGAGGTTATGGGTTCGAATCTTACCTGGGCGAGCTTGTGATTTTTATCTCCCAATCTTCCATACAGCACCGAGTATACAGGACTTGTAAAGTTTTGTGGGCAAAGGGTAAAACCCAATGTTAGATTTGACAGTGATGTTTTGTGTGGTTTTATTCCTGAAATTGGAAAGTCTTTACAAGAAATTGAAGTGCAGATTGTGTTTTAGTTTGAATACCTTTCTTTTGAGTCAAAATATTACAGAAAAAACGTTGGATGCTTGGTCTCACGGTAAAGTTTGCTCTTTAGAAACACTGATTATTTGCAGAAGGTAATTACACTCTTGTCTTTTGTCCAATGGTGGTCATTTCCAATTTTTCATATATCATTCTTTTTGCTTTCTGCCAGTGTTTGCATTGCCTTCGTTATGAAAATATAATCATGAAAGTCTTCAAGACTTTGACTATTATTCTTTACTTTCCTTATTCTTCCTTTTAAAGTTTCTTGCGGCTCTGTGTCAAGTTTAAACTGTAGTTTTCATGATTTCTTTTCTTTACTTCCATTTAGGTATATTTCATCGGTTGTTTTGACAATTCAAAATTCCAATTTGTATTTTTTTTTCATCTTATTTAAATAGCCCCTTCTTAAATTACAGTAAATATTTTTTACCAAACAAATTTACTTGGGTTGCCAATTGAATTCATAGAAATAACTTGTAGATTTTCTTCTTTGCAGAAATATAGCATGTCTCTACACAAAGTAAGTCAATCTGCCTAATGTGTCAAATGTATTCACAAATGGCCATTTCTAAATATTGTGTTATGCAGTTTGTGGTAAATTTATTTTTTGTTCATGCTATACAATAAAACTATAATGTGAATACATTAGATGTGAAATATGTTGAAAGTACTAAAGCCAGACCAAAGGACTGAATTCGTTCAAAAGACTGTTGAATTCATTAGTAATTTGTTAATGTATATGTTGGGGGTTTTGACATCAAAATATATTAACGTTGTATCTTCCATGCGTGTATATCAAGCAATCTCTACATTTTGTCATTTTTTGCGTGACAGATGTGAATAAAATGTGCTGTGAAAAAAATTGAAGGTTTTTTTGGTCTTTTTATTGCTCAAATACTGTCATCAGAAAAATAAATAAAACAACGACAAGAAGATACAGATTCTCTTCTGAACAATCCATCTGACATTTAATGGAGAGCGTTCACTCAAGTGTCGTCTTAAATTCTTAAACAAAAGATTACTCCATTGATAGTTTAATTTGATATTTATTACTTGAATTGAAACATTGCCTATTAGTTACATTTTCTTTTCACAAATATTTATTCACATAATACTTGGCATAAACTGTCCCACTCGACAATAATGGCCAATAAGGTTGTCAATAGAATTGAATAATAGATTGGCTAGTCTAAAGGTTTTTTTAAAATAGGTAAACACTTGACATTTTTGAGATTAATTTTTAAAAGTATATAACTTCTATGGTACATCTAAAAACATGAGTGTATAATCCATCCCCCCCCCCCCAAATTCCATTGTGCTGCTTAGCACCCAAAACGTTTCTGCTGGTGATGCTTTCATTGTATAGAGAGTGTAAGCACTAAGAGCTTACCATCTTCATCTGAGGAAGAATTTGCTTAAAACAATGAAGCACCAGCAAGTGCAGCCAAGTACTGATGAAGTTAGCTTAACTTTTTGGCAAACTGGTATAGGCAGCTCGTGGACAATCGTTACACTTGAGCATAAAGTTTCCCACGGAAAGCACAGTTTTTTGGTTTTTTTTTCTGAAAAGTCATACTTTTTGTTTTCAGTATCTTCATTAGGTGTTTAATTCAAAATAGCTACATGTATTCATAAGATTTGGCATACACGAGTCCTAAAACATGGTGTTTTTTTTAAGGCGTTTGTATGATGTGCAGTTGACCAATTTTTTTAACACAAGCCACTGTGCCTTTGTGTGAGAGCCCAGAGGAATGCAGCTCACCATGGGTGCATAATCATGTCTCCTCTTCAAACGGTATTGTTTCACTTTTTACCACTCTGGGCATATAATAGTTATACTGGAAGTTCACATCAACGGGAAAGCTACTTTGATCAGAACAATCACAACATCTAAACACACATATCCTTTTACAGATAAATCAGAAGTGTGCAGTGAAGGCATAGACTACTTCGGCGACAGCCACTTTCTACGGTGGTACTGCAGTGGCACCCGGCTCTAGTGAGTCCTGCTTTAGGTAGTACGCACGCACTTTGGGTTCCTTCGACCCGCTGTGTTACCAAAATACATGCGCGGCTTGTCTTTAAGGTTCCAGACCAGTAAATAAACTTCCATTGACCCCAATGATAAATGCTCCCACTTCAGAAATTCGGGAAAACAAATACTCACAACTCTCCAAGGTGTTCGAGACACACATCAAAATTAAAGCTTATTTCATCATCTTTCATTTTCTTTTCAATTTACGGGGGGTCAACGGATGACTTTTAGGAGAAATTTCCATCCGAAGATGGTCACCCCTTAAAATAGTCCTGAAGCCCATCGCCATTTTGAAAAATGATGCCTACACTCCATTGCAAAATAGAGCGCTTTTAGGGCCCCAATTTTATCCAAATCGAACGGAACTACAAGCTCACAGTCCTGTGCACGGCTTCCACCCATATTTTTTACAAACCCTCCAGTTCATGGCCCACAGTATGCTCAAATACTGAAGATTTTGAGGGCATGCAAATCGTGATTTGGCCGGCGTAGGCAATTTCGGACCGATTTACTGGTCTGCAACCTTAAAGGCAGCGACTTGGCACCACCTCAAAAAATGGCTGCTAATATTGTTCGCTGGATTATACTTTAGACTGCACTACATCACGTTACTGGACAGTCGGCTCTAAGAATGATTTCTTGCACTGCCAAATGTCCCAAAATGCAGCACAACTCGTACCTTCACAAAACATCTCGGTCAAGCGGCTATCCATAAAAAAGACCGATGTTCAATAACCCCAATCACTTATGTACTTGCATAAACTTTTTGATTTTACTCTATAAATACTTTGTATATCACAATAATAGGCTTAATTAAAATTATTACAGTACTCTAGGTTTCTTAAGAACTAACTTTCTGTGTCATTAAGTTAAATTGTGCTTTTCTGGGGCTCTCAGAAGTCACAACATTTTGCCGTCAACATTTCTAATTTTTATACTCTTTTTAACTGCCATAAGTCAAAACCTTATTCCTTTTTTTACTAAAGTCAGGTTTTTTTTGTTTGAGCTGTTTGAATTCAAAAGGCTTCGCTGTGCCTGAACACACTTTATTCTAAGAGCGAAAAACGAATGAAAAATTGTCTTGCATGCTGATTAAAACTTGACGCATTTTCATATTGGTATTGCTACAGGAGTGGGTGGTTGATCAAAACACATGCAGGAAAAACCAAACAGTTTAAATCTCTGCCACCTTGGCAGTCAGTAATTTCTATGGTGGCAGTGATAATAAATTTATTTTGAACCAGATGATAAGATTCAAACGCTCGCTGGCACACTGCTTTGCGAATCGCTCCTATTGATCAAATCCACTAGTACTCTACACTTTGCAAAATATTCTTGACTAATATTGCCACTGCATTTGTTCATCATTCTAAGAGGGATTTTCCCTTCATTTCCGGCGGGATTGGCTGCCCCATCAACTCCAGCACGGTCGGCGCAACGTCGGGGAGCGCAGCATTGTGGGTGATATTCTTCTTGAACTTGCGGGTTCCGCCGTGCATGCAGAAAGGAACTGGATGACCACAAAAAAAAAATTACTCAAAAAAACTGCTGCTTAAAATGGTACAGGAAAAGACATTCTTCAGTATAGTTCTAAACTAAATTTGTAAAAGAGCTACCTGTGATATGGTCAAAAGACTTGCTAAAATACTTTCAAGACAGGACAACATTTTGTTTTGTTTTCCTGCAGATATAAATATGTTCCACAGTTTTGGTGGCATTTTGTATTAAGGGGAGCAAGTCCATATGTGTGACATTGTGGAAAACCGAGTCATTTTGGGTAAAATTGACTTTATGAGTTATCTACAGGAATCGAACAGGTCAAATGGAATTGCTTTTGTTAAGAAATTAACAGGTCTCTATATTTCTTTCACTACTGTGTACGTTTTTACTTACTTTTTGTTTTTACTTTTTGTTTCACTTACTGCTAGAGTACAAAACGAAAAAAGGCAAAATTCTCAATGTATTTTCATTCTTTCTCAAGTTTCTCTGCGTTGCATCGCATAAAGGCTTAGCAAGTCCACTTGCTTACCAGTTCCCTAACATTGCTTTTTACTTACCTCTCTTGGTGGTGTGTTTAGTGACTGGATCCCCCTGACTATCGATCATGATCTCTGCATTGCCGTGGTCTGCCGTGACCAGTAAGACGTAGTTATTCTCCTCGCAAGCTTTCTTCATGTCCCCGATAGCTTTGTCTGAACACAGACGTTGGAAACATAAAAATTAGTTTAAGTGGACTGAAAGAAGCCAAAAGTTTCAAAGAATCTCTGCTCCTTGAGGAAGTATGGTGGTTTTGTGTATACTTCTTGCTTTTAACCAGTTCACGTCGGATGACGTGTATACACGCAAAGGTTTTGCGGTATTTGGAATGGATGATGGATAAACACGAACGAGCGAGGCCGGAAATATATGTCAGCGAACCGCTCGAAGCAAGCGAGGCCAGAAATATCAGGGTGTGCTACCCGCAGATGACAGCCTGAACCCATCTGGCATCGAAGTTCGTGAAAACGATCCCGTGTCTGGGTCCGGTCAATGTCAAAATAATCCCGGCGCAAACAAATTTTACTACAGACTCTGCAAAAACTAAGGGGAATGATGTGTAGACTAGCAATGACTGCAAGTAACACAATTTCGTAAGTAAATCACAAGTACTTGCATTAGTACTTTCACAAGTAACAGGGATAAACAATAACAAAGGAAAACCTTTGTCACAATTCATTTAAATAGCTTGTGACTTGAATTGAGACTGGAGGATGTTTGTAGAATATACTGAAATTAGGTGGAATGAAGTTTCACACCGTGAGTTCTAAATGCAATGAAGAGTGCAACAAATGCGGCTACATAGCTGCAGTATTTATTATGACAACATGGCAAGTAATTGCACTGCAAATTTTCAAAAACTTTTGATTTGGATGAATAAATATTTTTGGGACGTCATATTCATTTTGTATTCGTGCAGATGTCACATGGATCAGCCTTCTACACAAGGACAAATATAGACATTTATTATGAACTCACCAGTAGCTGTGCAAGCTTTGACGGCAGCCTCATAGACACCAGTGTGTCCGACCATGTCAGGCGGTGCAAAGTTACACATCACAAACGGGTACTTCTTGGACTTGATCGTCTCCACCATCTGAATATGAGAAATAAGCCAAATGTCTTTTATGATACTTGGGTTTGGCCTTTGTTAAAAAAGTAAGTACAGGTTTTTGGTGTTATTTAAATTTTTTGGAAGAGAGTTGCGATCTAAGTCAGAAGACTTACACCTCGATCTCCTTCTCAGTCTAGCACAAATGTCTCGACCAAACAGCTTTCCACGGACAGTCAGCTTATTTTTAAAATCCGATTTAAGGCCAAAATAAAATCCTCAAATCACTAAATAGCAGAACAACGGTTTTGGAATCGTACCTTATCGGCAACTCCCTGGCAGCTCATCTCAGGCTGAAGGTCGTAGGTCGCGACCTTCGGTGAGGGCACCAGGCAACGCTCTTCACCCTCAAACTGCTTCTCTCGGCCTCCGTTGAAGAAGAACGTCACATGGGCGTACTTTTCCGTTTCTGTGAAAGAAAATCACTCGTTCCTTTTTACATAAAATAGTAACACTAAAGGCGACTGAGTCAGTTCATCATCCTGGCACAAAATGCCATTTTCAGTTTAAGCCTCCCGTTATTTTAAGCCGTTAAAATTCACTTTCACTTCCCCTGCTATACTTTTGACAACGGCTAGTCACCACCAGTCAGATCACATGTCAAGCAAGCGCTGTGTCTAGTCAAACTGGGTCAACAGACAAAGCAGGCAAGTTGGGGTCACAGCTGTTTTATCACTCAACCGGAGTCAAAGCATAGCTGTATCAAGTTACTTAATCAGTCCAAGGCAGTCAATCCTGCTTTATGTGGGCTGGGAATTCTTACGGGTTGAAAACAGTCACTTGATTATTCATAAGATGGAATCTTTTGCGTCGGGGTGATGTAAATCAAATTAGGCTTTGCCCTTCGCTTGATTGTTTTACCTGCACAGTGATACTGAGGGATCTTGCGGACGGCCAACCACTCGGCCAAGACATTGACTGACTCCTCTGGTGGGAAGATGACGTGGAACGGAAAATCTGCTTTGTACTCTGTCATGCAGAACACACCCTATGATGATGAGAATCCGTGAGAATATCGCCGATGAGAATCAGTGATAAAAATCATGTACTTTATCATGTACTATAAAATTAACCAAGGCAGCACACTTTTATATTCACACAATTAAATATGGGTCTGAAAAAAGTCTTTGAATTAGCTCTTTCTACATATTTGAAAAAAATGGTTGTTTTACTTTTTTTCTGAATCAAGCAACAACTCTCAAAATCCCTCAGAGGTAAAAAAGCATTTCATTGCTCAAAAACAAAGCTGCAAAGGAGCATAGGATTCATGATCGTGAGATTGTGGGTTCGGGCCCTGCCGTGGCCATGCGTATTGTGCCCTTGAGTAAGGCACTTTACCTCAATTACTCCTCACAACCCAGGGGTTAAATGGGTACCGGCATTATTCAATGCTGGGAAGGTAACAGACTCGCTGTGGAGGAGGTGTGGTGATCCCCCCACAGCAGCATTTCATGAGCTCGAGTCTGACCCAATCGCTTCAAAAGAGAGATGGGCACACCGTTCCTGTGAACACAGGTTCGTCCCCTTTACCTTTTACTTTAAAGCTGAGTCACATTTTTACGCAAACTTTCGTTAAATTGACTGCAGCATTTACAACCTCACCAGGTCTTTGGGGATTTTCGCCGTCTCAAATTGAGGTTTGATGCCGACGGCTTCCACGATTTGTCGCATGCGGTCGGCCCGGAAGTCAAAGAAGATCAGCGTGTCGCCGTCCCTAATCCGCCCCTCGGGGTCCACGATGATGGGCTTGAGAAACTCGTCTGTGACCCTCTCTTCCTCAGGAGCGTCGTAGTGACTCTGAACAACCTAGGAAAACATCACAAACATAAAAAATATCAAACAGTTATGTGTGTTTCTGAAGAGCACATTTGGCAAAACTGGTGCTCTTCGTGCTGTGACATCATCGCTATTGTTGATTATTAGAGGTGTGTAATGATTAACCCTAACCGAACTCAACCCATCAAAGTTCAACAGCAGGTTTTGTTTAAATCTGTTGGGATAGGTAGAGTACCCCTAAACTGATGGTCTTTTACACTGGGGTTGGCAAACCTCCAGAAACTAAGTCCAACAGTGTGTGTGTACAATTTCCCATGTGGGTGTTGGAATTTGCCAGAATGGGTATGGTTCCTAGTAAATTAGGCTGGGGCGTTAGGGTTAATCAAAAGTAATGAAGGAAGGAAGTTTAATTCAAGGTTCCAAACAGATTTCCCTGATATTTCACTAAGAAATTTCCAAAATTCCATGAGAGATATTTTCACCTTAACGAGGTTGCTTGGAAGTCAAGAGGTGGTTGCAGCAAAGCAACTAAGATACTGCCAACTTGTTGACGAGCGATGGCCTCCCTTCTCCCCTTACAGCCATCCTTTCCTCAGCATATGTAACAGAGACGCACATACGCCAAACTGGCGAAAACCTTTCCCTTCTGGGTCACTGTAAAATTCCACGACTTTTCCCTGATTTGGGGGTCCACCCAAAAAAATTCCTTAAAAAAAGCAAAATAATTTTCAAGGTTTCCCTGATTTCCAGAGCGGCTGGGAACCCTGATACTTACACTTTTTTCTCAATTACTTTATAAGTGTGATCAATTGAAGGTAAATCCTGGGCATCCAATCCAGCTGTCTGTTTGAATCATATGTTACATGATATTCATGCGATACTCACCTGGATGATAGTGTCAGCGGTCGCCTTTTCCCCAATTCCTTGTACCAGACCCTCGTAAGCAATCTTGTTTCGCTCGAAGCGCTTGTCCCTGTCCATGGCGTAGTACCGGCCAACAACGGTAGCCAGAGACCCGTACCCAGTGTTTTTAGTGTGATCCAGCACCTCTTGAATATACTTCACTGAAATTTACGGTCAACGATGCAAACATGATTCCAAAGCAGTAGTGTTTTCAATTTATGCTAAATGGAAAAAGTGTGTCCTGAATTAATCCACAAATGGAATGATGAGCATGTTGCAAGCATTTACGACCAGAATATTATGTGTAAAATTATAAACCCAAAATTAAGCTCACTGTGACAACATTGCTTGTGAAACTGCTGCAAACTGCTTGCTGACTGGATTGACTTGAAATTTGTTAAATTTAAAAAAAAATCAAAGAAATTGTTTTTAAAAATTAACAAATAAACCTCAAAAGTTTGGTGAATCATTCTCACTTAAAGAAAACACACTGACAACTTTTTGACAGTTAAATTCATGTGAAAGAAAGATCACTGCACTGAAATTTGCATAATTTGCATAATTATAATAAAAAACCTTAGAGTATGTAATTTAAATATTACAGGTACAGGAAAACTGAAATAAATTTACATTTCAAGAATTCAAGCTAAGAGAGGATATATTTCATGAGCCTTTTCAAATCATCTTGTCTAGAGTGAACGTGTTAAATTACCTCCACTGACAGGGCTTGTATCGCGACCGTCTGAGAAGAACTGGATGAAAGTCTTTGGCACGCCCTTTTCCTTGAGCCCGTCCAGCAAACCCTTCAGGTGGTTGATGTGGGAATGCACGCCCCCGTCGCTGACCTGAAGGTTAGGGGGAACAAAATGTTCACAGCACTTTTCTCAAAATCCATTAACCAAAACACTGATGTTAACATTTGGCCAATTCCACTCTATGTAATGTCCATGACAGAGCGTTTAAGAGCTCAGTGAATAAATATGAAAAAGTGTTGTTCAAATCTTATACATCCATCATCTGGTAATGGTCAAGGAGATTACAGACTAGGAGTTCGGGATCATTGGCTCTGTCACAGACATTAACCCTAACTGCCCTGAATCCTTCCAAATCCTCTTTGCCAAAGTGGAGGAATTTGGAGGATTGAGGTTACATGGCAAAAGTGCGTCACTGATTTCGTAGGATGCACTTTGTCAAGGTCTTGGGCTTGGACCTTGTGTAGTCTTTGCTCAGCCATGCATGGATTAGATAGGTCTGGATTATGCTTGAAATCCTCCGTACTGCTCCAGGATGTCACTGGCCAAGCCTCAGCATATTGACAGTCACTGCTGCCGGATTTTGCAGGATTCAGGCAGTGGTCACCACTCCATGGACCATACTCATGAGGCCAGTTGGAGGATTTTGCAGGATTGAGGCTATTTCCTAGCAAAAAGGCCTAGGGGTTAGGGTTAAATAACCTTTCAAAACGTTGGAAAAATAAAAGGGGTGGACTGAAACAAAATGTTTCAAATATGTAACTTTTCTTTATTTTTGGAAAATTTTTGTAAATTTCTTTCAATAGAACATTTTTGGAATTTTACGGACCATCACAGACACTATCGACAAACGCCTTGACCAAGGCTACCACTTCACATGAAATTGTACGCTCAGTGGCAGTATTTTGAATCCCATTTCTGCAGTGACACACTCACCAAGCCAAGAAGGTGAAGCCTGCCGTTGCCATTCTTGGCCCTGGTGAACGCCTCCACAAATGCCGGCTTGGTCATGATAGATCGGTCCTCAAAGGCCAAGTCGATCATAACAATACTCTATGGTAAAAAAAACATTTAAAAAAATCACAGCATATCAAGACAAATTTACAAAATATTCAGATTTAAAAATTTCACGGATACGTTAACAAGAATTCACATGATTCCCAAACACTCACTCTAATGACTGATATAACTGATAAGGCCAAGTAAAAAAATAATTCAGTTTCTCGTCCCAGGACGCCTCCTTGTTTTAGGTCCTAATCATTGCTGCAAAAAACCCCAGTTTTCTCAAATACTACATCCGTTAAATGGCCGTCAGCCAGTTGTTGACTTCATGCGTACGCTCAGGTACGACAGATTGCGCGAGCTGCACTTTGACGGTTGAAAATGAATTTAGCGTTTTTTCCTTGTTTTTCCAGCACCAATGGACACACAGCATTGAAAAGCTCAGTGGAACGATATCAGCTATAAATTAAAAGTCCTTAAATCGGTCCATTTCATGAAATTACGACAAATGCAAATGATCTCATGTTCCATTAAATCAAGTTTTATTTGTATTGAAACGTCAGCATACCTGATACAAGACGCGCCCGGCTCCGATGCTCAGGTGGCCGACCTCGCTATTACCCATCAGGCCCTTGGGCAAACCCACCGACAATCCAGACGCATCCAGCGTCACCCAGTTAGGATCTTTGCACAGGTCGTCCATGACCGGGGTATCAGCATTAGCGATGGCATTGCCTACTCACATAAAATGGGAGAAAATCAAATCAGACACTATCCAAATTTTGTTTTTTGCTTTTTAACTAAGGGTCTTTATGTACTTGTGACAGCAAATGAAAAGGACTACAAAGATTGCAAGATTATGAAAGCTCCGCTCACGCGGAGCCTCATAGTTCTAGCATGTCTAGGCATGCTAGGGTAGGACTAGGAGTAGGCTAGATCATCGATGTTCGAGTTGCATGCCTAGTATCGTTATATATCCAGCATTTTTTAGTCTTCAGATATGTTTTAAATGAAACCCTCACCATGCTTTTCGTCTGAAATTCCCCAGCCATCGATCACAATCAGACAGACATTCATCTTCAGTTAACTCAAGCAGATCATCCGAGCAAAAACGCCGGTAGGTTCCGGTAGCTAGCAAGCGCTGCACTGCTCATCGCACGTACGTCCCACACTAGTGTCAGGGGTCATGCTGCCATCGCTAGTCTCTGTCTACAGCCGTAAAGTTGTACTCGTACTCCCCGAGTTGAGTTCGTCATTCATTCGGACCGGTTTTTCGTATGATTTTTTCAATAGAAAAAAACATAGTGATTGCCAAACATTCTAGACGATGCAGACTATACATCAGCATGTGTTTTTGTTTTTTAAACTAATTTTCAATTCAACAGATACGTATTTTGGAAAAGAAAAGAAAATGACCTTTTTTTTGGTATGCCCTTGGAACGGCGAGCGCCCTCTTGTCGTGGGACGGCCAGCTGGGTATGCAAATTCGAGCGGAGACACTTTTTTGAATGGAAAGTACACACACGTGGTGGGGTGATCCATGGTAGTAGATCGCCAATTTTCAAAACTGTGTCGCAGTACATGCGTATATACCTTCTTTGGTTTTGTCGGTGCCGACTTTTTTTTAGCTTAGGTGGATATTTTTTTTTTTTTTTTTCATTTTTAAAATTTGCCCAACTCGATGGTGTTCACTGTATTCTTCAATACTGTTAACAGTGATGTAAGTTCACGGCCGTGAGTACTTCTACATGGTATACAAATATTGACTGCTTCGTGTAGATAGTAAAACTAGCTACGAAGGGCGGATCTAGAACACAATTTGGGGGGGGGGGGGGCAAAAAAAATTGGTCCCCCAAAACAGTGGGTCAAAAAAATTACAGCGTGGGGTTCGGGGCCCGCTTAAGGGCCCCGAAATTGTTTTGGATTCTAGATGCTCTGTGGTGCGATCTGAGGCGATTTCTGACCACTTTAACCAATGTTTTTTTGAAGAAAAGATGGTGGTGTACTGCTGCCGTTATTGCGATGTCACCAAAAAAAAAAAAAATTGGTTTCGTTTCCCATGGCCCCCCCCCCCGGATCCGCCCTTGCTAGCTACCCGAGGTGATCCATGGAGCATTCTACGCCGATGTTCCATGGATACCCTGTAGTCTGTTGTACACAATTTTATAGGCAGCCAATGTTGCGCCTGTATGTTTGTCATTACATAAAACCATGGACTTAAATTTAAAAACTCCATAAGCCTTGCTAATTGATTAAAACTTTCTGAGGTGCATTTTGAATGTTAAGGAAGTGACAATAAGCTATAGTGGTTTAGAAAACACAGGTTTTTCTTCGTGTTGAATCATGGTAGAGTTGCATTTAAATGGCCTAGCTATTTGAAGGTCATATACTTGGAACCAAAATTGATCAGAACAACTTGTACGATAAACTTTAAGGCTGGTGGCTTTCAGGGACTTGCATATTAAGGTAATTGCCCTGTATCATATTTTTGATGTGATGTAATGGTTATTAAAGGGAATATACATCATTTGCTAATATGCTGTAATTTTCAGAAATGAATGGATTTTGGGGGTTGGCAGTGGCGTAGCCAGGGATTTTTCAGTGGGGGGCGCTGGGGGGGGGGGGGGGGGGGCTGGAACATTCCTGGGGGGGGCGTCATGTAGATCAATGATATTTTTTTTACAAACTTCAAAATCTCAGTGGGGGGGGGGGGCCACTGGGGGGGGGGGGACAAGGTTTCATGGGGGGCTGTCGCCCATATATACGCTTCCGAAATAGTTAATATACATCTCGTAATATGAATACGCACCAAAGTGTCTCTACTCTGGATAGTGTTCATTGTTCAATAGCACCATTTTCTGAAATTTGAAAAATTCAACGAAATTAAAACATAAATTCGGATAATATGAAGCTGCGGTTTGAAACTCCATTATTCTTTATAGAGGGCGCTGTGGGTAGCGTGGCCGCGGTACCAGCTAGCCAGCGACAGAGAAAACAGCCGTCGGACTAGTTTCCAAATAGTCGAATAGCGCGCAGTGCAGTCTAGTCAACCGGTACGGTAACGTTAAACCACGTCGACTAGACCATGGAGTTCGGGCACACGTTAGTTAACCATTGGTCAACCCATGGAGCTATAAAACAAAGTCCATGCGCGAACTTGGCCTTGATGCCACATTTATTTAGGGACAAAGCAAAGAGCTATCTTTGGGACAAAGGCTGATCATGCTGATGGCGTCGAGTGATACCTTGGCACAATAGACAAACTAGGCTATATTAAAGTGGAGCGAAGGATCATACCAGCTGAACACACAAGTGTGCAGCTAGCTGTAGCCGGTGGTGGAGTCCGGAGTTGCAGTAGTTGATTCGGCGGGCTTTCTCACGTCAATTAAGTGTGACTAGATTCTAAGCCATGGCTTTCCAAAAGTACATCGAGTTGCCCAACAAAGCGAAAATGCCAATTTTGGGGTTGGGTACTTGGCAGGTAAGGCAGATTATCGGTGATTTTCCTTTTATAGAGTGTTACTTTTACACAATATTAATACGCGTCACAAGGGGCCGCGGCGCAGAAGACAATTGGGCACGTTGTATCACGTGCGTGCTCGTCCGATCTGGTATGCGTTGATATGTAGTGCCGGGGGGTGTGTTTGCTGGGACCGATGCGATAGTTGGGGCGTAACATGTTCAATAATGAACAGGGATATAAAACCCTATTCAAATCTACAAGAAGTTCGCAAGGTGGATAAAGGGCAAAATTGGAAATGCTTGTATCACAATCTTACTTCTTAATTAGCCCCATAAATGTGGCCTAGGCCTACATGTATTAACTGGACTACCGCTGTAAAAAAACGGAGGTACAGTCGTTTGACCGGTTCCGCAATCGCAAATCGTCTGAAGCGTCTTGTGGCGAAAAAACGCGCTTTCACAGGAAGCTACCTATCTATAAATATGCGCAAATTACTCACCTACTTCATGATATGAATAGTTTTCTGTGATCGTTTGAAAGAGAAATTTGCCAGGACGTTTTGTAGAGGTCGGTGCTTTGACCGGTTCCGCAAATGTTTTCCGGTTTCGCAAACGGCGCCCTCTGCGATACTGGACTGAAAATATTCCTTGTTCACTGGCCAAATCTAGATCGTTTTTGCCCCCAAACCAGCCAAGAAAAGATGTGGATTATATTTCCCTGTGCATGAGCCAAGGTCTGCACATTATAATGCGTCCAAATTTACAAAGTGTAACTCCATGAAAATGTTATGGTTCGTTGGATTTTTTTTACGTTATAATTATTTGACTTGCTTCAATCCAATTAAATGACTTTCTTGCTTTTTGTGCATTCTGTCTATCATCTTGCAATCACTAATATTTTGCTTTTTTGTTGTCTTATTTTTATTTAGACACACTCTGACGTTGAATAGAACCAGACACAAACCTTGTACCGAATTGCTCCAGTTGGTTGTTTTTTTCTCACATAAGCACAGACCAGATAATTTATGAATTTGAATTAATATTTTCTCCAGGATCATTTTTAATTCCTATGACACTTAAGGAAGTTACTGCATGGCTGGATGAATTGGAACTGAATCATTGTCTGCAGGGGAGCACTGTTTATTAATATTATTTTTTTATTTAATTATTATTATTTATTTACTTTTGTTTATTCCCTCCTCCTTTTTTTCATGTTACTTTTTTTTGTGGGGGGGGGGGAAGTGTTTCAATATGTTCAGGGTAACAACACAATATGCTTAATTTTGTGTGCACCAACATCCAGTAGGGGGAACCTGGGGGCCGGGAGGGGAGGGGGAACAGGCCTCAGCAGGCCAGATACATACAGGCCACATACATGCACATATTGTTTCACATTCAAATTAAATTTCACAAACAAATTAAAACAAATTGTTAAAAATGTCATAAATCCTATGGCTGTTTCATAGCAATGGCAATTTCTAATTATAATGTTCAGTTACTCCTCATACGTTGTTGCACATATTAACTATGTACATGTATCATGCTTGGGCAACTGTATTAGCAAACCTCATCTACTGTTCGATGATGCTCTTAAAAGAAAATGTCAACACATTCATCACGTATATCCCGATAACCCTTTCAATATATTGACATGTGATACCTGCATGTGTAAATGTAATACAAAACTAAAGCACTCAAGAAGCTACCCCTTTTAAATCCAAAAATATACGTGTCATATAAATAAATGGTGATGAATCACAGAAATAGACATGTCCTGTGAGTTTTTCATGCAAAGTAGCATAGTTTTTCAAACACCTCACTTCTCTTTCACATGTACTGGTAAATAAAAATGTATGTAACGCCTTTAAATTTATTGCCTTTATGACACCTGCATGTCTGTTTAATTGTTATACACAAATAATTTAAGCACTCCAGAAGCTAGCACTATACAAAAAAACTTGTCACATAAATAAAATTCAAAGAAATGGTGATGAAGACACACAGCTACATGTACTTTCACTATAATATTCAACTTCTTCTTGACCTTCACAGGTAAAACTGAAAAAGATGTGCCGATGGCCTCTTATGGCCTATCAGGAGGCTGGCGTAATCTTCTTCTTTGTCTTTGGCATTGTCTGTATGAAAAAGAAATTTTATATAAAACGTTTAGTTTATGACCAATTGAGACAAAAATGAGAAATGGTTTATAGTATTTGACAAATTTTGTGCTCCAAGAAAACAATCAAAATTTGTGTCTCTGTACTGACGAGAGACTGGTCTTCATTATGAAATATGAGTGGACCTATTTTTCTTTATGTTTAAAAGGGTAAAGAGTAAGGTTAGAACCCACCGAAAAAGGATAATTTTAAATTTACTATATTACTGGAATTGGAAATGTCCTTTGGGTTAGAAACATATTATTATGCACTATTCTTAATTGGTCCCCACAAACCTCACCTCCTAGCCTGGGCTGACTCATGCACCCTGGATGTGGAGAGTTGTAACTCTAAAATGAATTCAAACCCCTGAGGCACAACTGCTTCAACATCAAGTATGGGGTGAATTTTTTTAGAGCAAAGGAAAAGCGTTTAGTGGGAAGTATTAAGAAAGATTTTTGTATTTTAAATTTTGAAGTCCAATTTTTTTTTATCCAAAACCTACAGTGCTGTCCGGAAGCTGGACAGAAACAAAATCATTTTGTTTCAATTTAGTTTTCAATTTTGTGCACTGAACACCCAGAAATGATCATCAAATTCGACATTTTTAAAACAAGGATTAAAAATAAATAGAAATTCTCAATTCTTTGTAAGTTGTAAAAAAAGAAAGATTCATGCCAAAATAAATAAAGTGCACCGCGCTAGGGGGCCGTCATCAACAATACTTGTCAATAGCAGCACTGGTTAATACAGTCACACCATGGCCAGTGTATTGTATAGGCAGTATGAATGCGTTTGCGGAACCGGCCAAACGACCAGCAGTTACTCTGGTGGGTATAGAAAAAAAAATTCAAAGACTTCAAATCTTATATTTGTATGGTGGAATAATGAATAATTTCCGAACAAGTTGCATCAATCGCCATGATTTAATTCCCCTGAACAATCGTGTAGCAGGCCGACAAACATGAAATCACGCTTCCGTGCGCGTTCCATTTCGGCAGTTCGTTAACGGCAAGTGACGGTCGTAGGGGATTTATTTTTAAATGTAAGTGAGTATCCTAAAACTAAAACCATTTTTGAAAAGTAGATGGAATAACCTTTCCATCGGTACCAAAGTTTAAGTCCTTGGCGTTTTCGTCTTCCTGAAAACGAGAGCTAGTTTTCCGAAATTGCGGAACTGGTCAAATTGCGGAACCGGTCAATTGACTGTAGTCCAGTAAATTGGCCACAGATTCATGTCTTCTCAAATTTTGGCAGTGAGTGACCTCGATTGAGGGAAAAAGTTCCATATTAAAAAATTAGGATTTTTGTTGCTGTTCTTGGTTAGTTACAGTGTATTTGTCATTTTTCAAACCATTTTTTTTCTCCACTGAGACATTTCAAGTGTAATCATTTTACAGGTATGGTTTACTTTGGGCACAACTGCAGAATACCCCACCACTCATCTATCCCACATCGTAGCCGGCTACGCGGATACCAGCCTACTTTAAATAACGCTGATTTATATTTACCACTGGAAGCCTGATATAAATAACAATGTATTTTTAAGGCTCCAAAGTTAGGAGTAATATTAATGTTAGATGGCTTTTTTTTACTCGCTAAATATTGCACTCGGTAATATAATTCTTGTATTCCCCCAAAGCCATCCAATATTATGTAAAGAAACATATTTTTATGAAGGCCTTGGTTCTGACTCGTTTTTGTTTTGTTTTTTAATTTACTCCAGTCCAAGCATGGTGAAGTGACAAATGCCGTCAAGGCTGCGCTGGAGGTTGGCTACCGTCATCTGGACTGTGCCATGATATACGAGAACGAAGCGGAAGTGGGTGCCGGCTTGAAGGCCAAGATCGATGACGGCACGGTGAAACAAGAGGATGTATTCATCACCAGCAAGGTATCACGAATGGTTTTTTTTTGGGGGGGGGGGACCTTGGCAGGATTGAGGAAGGTATAGCTCAGGATTGGCTGGATACCCCTGGGCAATTCTACAGAGTTATGAACCTCAATGTCAAAATTTAAGAAAATCCAAACCTCATGATTTTTTTTTAAAATCCAAATGCTACAAATGAAACATGTATAAATTATTATCTGTATTTATATATCTGTATTGTGTTATCTACCCAACCATCCCAAATCCTCTTGGCAAAATGGAGGATTTTGCAGGATTGAGGCTATATGGCAAAAATGTGCGGCTGACTTTGTGGTTGGACCTTGTGTTGTTTATGCTCTGCCCTGCATAAACTTAGGCCTAGATTATACTCGACATCTTCCGCACTGCTCCAGTTCATATTAGTCAAGTCATTAGACAAGTCGTAGCGAGCACCGTACTAGTAAATATCTGGGCCCAGACAGACACAACACGACTGTCCAACTACTTGTCCTCAAGTTTAATTTCAAGCAAACACTGTGACTATAGTCAAATTCAGTCAGACAAAAGCAGGCAAGTGGTAGGCACAGCTGGCTTATCAATCAACCACAGCCAAAGCATAGCTGTATCAAGCTACATAACCAGTCACGGCCAGTCAATCCTGCTTTATGTAGGCTGGGAGCTCTTAACTGTTAAAAACAGTCACTTGATTGATTTGGACTTGAAGGACAACTTCTTACAAAATGTACATTTGCATTTAAATGTTTGCATAGGAGGATTAAATTAATTGATTTTTTGTCTGCAGCTGTGGTGTACGATGCACCACCCCGACGATGTGGCAAAGGCCTGCCAAATGACTCTGGATCAACTTGGGGTGGCCTACCTGGACCTTTATCTGATGCACTGGCCGATGGCTTTCAAGGTATGTACTAGCACAGGCATATAAAATTGTGTCATCGTAAAGGCACGCAGGAATATTTGCAATATCCTATGAAATTATTCGGCCTGAAATAATTCAGAAGAAAACAATAATTGAAGGTGGTATATGAAGATGTGCGCTGGCACGTTTTTAGCTGCGGGTAGCAGTTAAAAACGTTACTTTCCGATTTCATTTCAAAGTGCCCAATGTACCCTTTAAAAATGCACCCCAAAATAAGAAAATAATTATCTGACAAACTTCGAGTTGGGTATTTGAATGGAGAATAAAAATGGTTTATAAGATATTTTCAACTTTAAATAAATTCTTAAAATGTTAACTTGGGATTTTCTGAGATTTGATCAAGTGCGCCACGTTAGGGAACACTCTAATGCCGATTTTGTACCCAATTTTCGGATATCACCTTTTTGGTATTTCGGACTAAATTTCATGACACTATATTGTTTAAACCGGTTCAAAAGCAAGCGTTATTAAGGTAAATTGTACCATTATTTAACTGAACGAATTTGAATTTTGTCAACAAAGAAGTTCGGCAACACTGCATGTGGAAAGTCGGGGTGCACCCACGTTAGGGAACACTGCTATTGATCTACAGTCAGAGCCAACCAATCTTCGCCAGAAAAATATCTTCTACTAGGCATGCTTCTGAAACCTGGTAGCAGATGGACACACAATGCATGCTACAAATCAAAAGGAATTGTGTTTCTTAGCCAGTGCTGTACACATGTATAGTCGTGTTCCCTAACGTGGCGCACTTCGAAGCTTACCCAACTTTCCTCGTGTAGTGTTGCCAAACCTCTTTGTTGACAAACCTCAAATTCATGCAGTAAAATACTGGTACAATGTACTTTGACCTTATTAATGCATGCTATTTAACCTCTGTGAACAATTTCGGTTTCATAAAATTTAATCCGAAATTCAAAAACGGTGGCGTCCGGAAATTGGGCACAAATTGGCGGGGTGTTCCCTAATGTGGCGCACTTTAAATAAATCTCGGAAAATTCCAAATTAACATTTAAGAATTTCTGTTAACTTGATAAATTCTGATAAATCATTATTATCTCTACTTACATACCCAGCCAGATGTTTGTCAGAAAATTATTTTCTTATTTTTCGGGGCATTTTCAAAGTGTTCACTTTGCACTTGAAAATAAAATCGGAAAATCACGCCAAAATAATTTTTTCTTCTAACTTTGTAACGGGTGAATAAAATCACGATATATGAACAGGAGTGTTTAGAACTTGATGAAATGTCACTTTCTGTGAAATTTCAGTTATTACTTTTGCTCTAGGTAGGCGCTACAGGCGAAAAATCAAAGTGCGCCACGTTGGGGCCGTGCCACGTTCGGGTACATCAACAATACATTGAAAGTGAGCTTAAACATTCTTATTTAAAAGATCTCGTTTTTCTTTCCAGAGGGGGGAAGTACTCTTTCCAGTGGATGAAAACGGTGTGTTGCAGGTGGATGACATTGAATACACCGACACCTGGCTCGTAAGTTAACCATATACCATTACCGACACAAATCAGTTGACCTGAATTGGGGCAACCCTTCCTTATTCGTTGGTTCTCATTTCCGACCGTCTTTATTTTGGGCTCCCAACCGTAATACCTTGCACGCCCACGCTTCGCATGCAAATAAGGCAGGGTCACTGAATGCGCGCAGTGCACAGAGGTCAAAGGTGAGTAAACATTCTTAACATATAAGGAAGAGATCTTGGAAACTACAATGGGTTTATGGTCGTAAATGTCCGATGTCCGGCTACAATCTTGTTTGTGTCCTTCCGTTTCAAGGCGATGGAGCAGCTGGTGGAAAAAGGCATGTGCAAGGCCATCGGCTTGTCCAACTTCAACCTGAAGATGATCAAGGAGATTCAGGCTATCAACAAGGTCCCGATAGCCAACTACCAGGTGAGCATAGAATTTGCTACATCGTGTCTTGGATTCTGCGATTTCATTGGTCTAGGACAGCCACGTGTCCAATCTGTAAAAAAAAATAACCAAAATCATTCACTTCATATATATACTGCATTCCATGTAAATTACCTCATATACACTGCGTTGCATATAAATTACCTCTTATACACTGCGGTGTATCGATATTAATTGTGTAATCATAACACTTGCTTGCCACTTTACTTAACTCTTCTCCTTGGTTTCTCTCTTAAAATAAGTGTTATTTTTTAAGTATTTCTCCTAATTTTGGTATATTGTTCTTCAATTACCTTAATTTTTCGTGTGATACCTGTTTTTATTTTCCAATGTAAATTGCATTTGCAAATCAATAAAGCATAGAAAGAAAAAAAATTACCTCTGCGTTGCGCGCGCGTGTAGGGCCTGTCCGCGAGCCTATTCTCGTGACAGAGAATTGCAACCGCTCAGTCTCATGTCCAGCAGAAAAGCTCGCAGTTATCAAAGATAACACTGATTGAATTTATTTCTTGCATAGTATAAGTTACAAGCCTTGACGTTTTTGACGTATTGGCACGATAATAACAAAACAAGTGTTGACTGCTGTGATGTGGGATATGGTGCTTTCTATATTATTAGCACTTTGGGTGTACAGGCATGCAACTTTCCTCGGATCCGCTGATTTCCTCATTTTACTTCTCATGAATGCCATTGCAAATTGAAAAACAGTGTACAAAGTCTTGGTATTTGGAGTCTCCTCATTTTTTAAAAATTCCCAGTTGCATGCCCGGGTGTAGTTTTACGAGATTGTGAGATCCGATGAGATATGTTTTCTCTTTTCATTCAGTGTTATGTGTGCTTTGCAGATTGAGCTTCATCCTTGGCTGACCCAGGAAGAGCTTGTACAATACTGCCAGGATAACAACATCTCCGTCACGGCATACAGCCCCCTTGGCTCACCAGATCGTCCATGGTAAGACTTGCATTTGGGTTAGTGAGTTCCTCATATACCAGACACCACACCCCACACCTCGTACATGTATAAAAAGATAGACAATGCCCACAAAGATGTAATTGCTTTTTGTACTCAACATGCCTTCTAGTGTTGTTTAGTCTAAAGTACATGTACATTGTGCATGTCATACTTAAAATTTAGTTGTATCTGGGTGGGAGGTCAGAGGGTGACAATGTACCGGCTGTTCTCTGACTATATCTAAGTGAGATTTTGAAGCACAAATAAGTCTTTTTATCTGTGGTGGAGTTTTGAGAAAAAAAATTATGGAGGGCATCATCGCTCGAGCCTTTCCAACAAATTTGAAGGGAAAACGATCATGTGGGATTCCGACCTTCCCTTCCTACTCTTTGTGGTCCTATTTTTTCAGTCTGTACCGTTTTTGATTTGGGTCTCTTTGATCAGCACTTTGAACCTAGCAAGATATTCAAAAAATCTGTTTTCTGGACGAAATTTCAGAAGTACGCAAAATGGTTGAAAATTTTAAACTTGCAAATAAATGTCCGACGTTTCATCCTAAGCACTCCAGCATAGCAATTTCTGACAGTTTGGAGTTCACAGTGGAAATAAATTCTTTTAGCTTGCTGTGCGTATGCTCTACTTATTGAGTCAACTTGTTGTGTTAACTCTAACTCCCTAGCGTCTTTCACTAGGAACTGGACCAAGTCCATCAAAATCCATCAATCGCTGTGCGTCCAATACAAAACTGTACATGACATAATGGAATCCACCATTGACGCACTGGTTGACATTCATGGACTTGCTACACATGGCTTTTATCACAATAGCAGTACAAGAAGCTAGGCAAAATCAATCGGATACCCCTAGCACTGCTTCATCATACTCCATCAATGTTTAGTCACGCCAGGCCTTCTGGACCAAGTCCCCCAAAATCCACCAAAATGGGGGATGGATTTTGATGGAGTTGAAGTGGTTAGGGTTAAAGAACTTGTCATAATCCCAGGAGGTGTCCCTTCAAACTGATCATGAAACACCCCCCCCCCAACAAAATTTCATCAAATCAGAATTATGATCTGGTAAGGGGTGTTCTGTTGAACGCTTGTGTTTCCTACAGGCTGAAAGACACCGACCCTAATCTGATGGCTGACCCCGAGGTGATGCGAATCGCCGAGGCCAAGGGGAAGAGCCCTGCTCAGGTCTTGATCCGCTTCGCTCTCCAGCGAGGCATCATCTGCATCCCCAAGAGTGTCACACCCTCCAGGATCAAGGATAACTTTGAGGTGATCAGGCCTTTCGTTTTTAATCCTTCCTTCTGTTGGGATTAATTCCTTCTAAGGGTCAGTTAATTGAGCAGGAAACAGAACTTCAACCTGTGATCTCTGAACGCAGTATAGGATTTCAAGTACTACTACTTTTTTCCTACTTTTTCCATTTTTTTTTACTTTGCTCAGACTACTTTCCCTCCTTTTTTCTTGAAATTCCTAAAAAAAAAAAAATAATTGGGTCACAACTCCGAAAAATGAAATCTCATGGATTAATTTTTATGACAGTGTTACACGCTGTTATGTGTAATTCACACAATGAAAGGCTTGGGCGCAGGAGTACTGCAACTGTGTTTCCAAGGGGGAAAAATGGAGGAGGATGGAACACAAGTGTTGTGAGTACAGAACATGCTAAATGAGGCTTAGGATGCTGTGGACATGGGTGAATAGCAACTAAAACTACTCCTGAAAGCCCACAAAAGCCATACTGATATCCTGATTTTGTCCTCCAAAGTCCTTTTCAAGTCCTGTTTTGTGGGTTTTTTTTGGTTGAAAATTTTGATCCTACTGTTCTGCTACTTTTTCACCTGGGTCTGCTTGAAAGCCTGGCAGTACTTTGCCGTACTCTTCCAAAGGGCACATTGTCAAAGGAACAGGAACTTATGACAACTCTAGAGACTCTCCATGTACTCCGAAGGTGTGCTCTAGGAAGAAAAGTTACACAACTTGTTTTGTTACATCTGAAGAGTATTTTTCCAAAGAGCAATATATCGATTTGAAAAAAGTGAATAAAATTGCAGTTGTGAAATTTTAACCCTAAGACCTCGGGTATTTTTTACTAGAAAGTATCCTGAATCCGCCAAAATCCATCAATTTTGCCATGCAAAAAAAATGTTGGTGGCCAATGAGTCCATCAGAATCCATCAGTTAGCTGGGAGTAAATCTGTTGAGATCCTGAATCCATCAAAGTCCTCCAACTGCTCAATATGGAGGTATCCTGAATCCATCAAAATCCTGCAGTACTGCAAGGCTTACTGTCCTAAATCCATCAAAATCCCCCACCTTTTTCAATATGGAGGTATCCTGATTCCGCCGAAATCCTCCAAAACAGGGGTATGAATTTTGATGGATTCATGTATGTTAGGGTTAAAGAACATGTACAGCATGACAGCTGTTTGCAAACAAAATTTTGTTTCTTTCCTTGATTGCATTCTTAACTTGTATTTGACAAAAGAACAGCCATTGAAATGGACTTCAGGGGAGGGCAGGAATCTAAAATGCAACAAAGTGGCATTCATCACGTTTTTTTGGGAAACAAAAGTCTTCATATTTTGTTGACTTTGATCAAATGTGCCCTTTTTTCCTCTCCCCAGGCTCTAGATTTTGAGCTGAGTGCCACTGATATGAAAGACCTGATGGCCCTCAACAAGAACTATAGAGTCTGCGCGGCAGAATGGTAAGACATATCAGGATTCAAACATGTGATTGGAATTTTTACCCAAAATATTGAAAGTAAAACTACAAAGGCGATCATTACTTTAATGTAAAATCTACAACCCAGGCCAAGTTCGCGCAAGGACTATAGTTGACCAATGGTTAACTAACGTTTGCCCGAACTCTGTCTAGTCGACGGTGGTTGACTACGCTAGTCGACTATTTGGAACCAGCCTACTGGGGTTGGTTGCTTCGCTGGTAATTAATAGCCGCGCCCATTCATAACGCTAGCAGAGAGCCAGGATCCAGAAGTTTTGCGATGACATTTTGACCAGCGTTTGACTAGAGACGTTCGCACGTCGCTATCAGTGCGCAGGCGTAAGGTACGTCACAAATCAACCACTAGTCGACTAATGGTCCTTGCCCGAACTTGGCCTTAGTTTACTGGATAAAGTCTAACTCGTCATGAGTCCTGCAGATTTCATTTCAGTGACAACAGTATTTTACTTGAACCAGGGTTACCAAAAAAATACATTCTGAACAAAAAATTATTTCCAATCGGGTAAATATTTATTGAGACAGTTCAAAATAAGTGCCGATTTTTCAATCCGTCCACGGTCTCAATCATAATGGATTTGGGGTGAGGGCAGTTTTGCATTCTTTAATGTCTTACCTTTTTTTTATTTGGTTATGTTTTATTTCTTATTTTTTGGGCAACAATGGTCATTTATCCTTTTGGAAGTAATGGTAGTCCAGAAAAGGACTGTTTGGTTAACTTTTAAGATGTTTACTGTGCTGCTATGCCTCTGCCTTCTACTTGGTAGCCTTTTTTCATGGATGCAAGTTTTGGCCCCCGCTGTTACTGCGGCAGTCAAAATATCAGTCACAGTGGACACAATGAAAAAAACGGCACTTGTTTTCAGTTGCCCATAACTCAATAAATATTTACCCGATTGGTAACAGTTTTTCGTTGTTGAAAAGCTAATGGATAATAATACTCTGTAACAAAATATGGGTAGATATTTGCGATTTTTTTTAAAGCTGTGAAAAAATAGGGCACTATAAAGGTTTGGGTTTTTTGGAGATGCCCTCTTTAAAATTTAGTGTCCAAGGTGTGACCTTTTTGCCCACTGTCCTCGTTACCTCTAAACCTTGTAGTTTGCCATGTGAGTATAAGAATGACCTCAAACAATTAGTTTTTTTTGTTAGATAATTTGCTATTCATAATCACTGCTGCACGTCTAGAATGATAAAATCATAGATGTCAGATGTAACAGGGACGAGATTGATAGTTTAACGTTGACCCTAAAATAAAATGTGTAGTTTTAGTTTTACCACTTTGGGCGTACTTTTGTAAAGTCCATAATCAGAGCCAGTAGTGTCCAATTACATACTTCGGTAAAAATAATTTTGAGAGAATTATTCCTCCCCCCTTTTGTGTTTCATAGGATCAAGCATCGTCATCACCCCTTCACCCCACTTGCCTCGTAAATGAAGACAATAGAAGGAACACATCACAGCTGAGATATGGAAGTCTCAAAAACTTCAATTTTTACCCCTCAGCCGAGAGGCTTGAGGGGTATTGTCATCGCCTACGGCGTCCGTCCATCCATCCGTCCGTCCGGGCAGCTTAGTTTCCGGATGATAACTTGAGTTAGAAATGTTGTTTCTTCTTTGTTGTGACTTCTTTTGGTTTTTTTTTCCGACTTATTTAGGTGGATTGTTGTCTAAAATTTGCCCAACTCGATGGGTATAGAGGCTATATTCTTCAAAAGTAACTTCCATTAAAAGCTTGCCAACTATCATGAGTTTTAAAAAGCATGTCAAGCAGCACATTTTAAATTCAAATAATCTGCAATATACAATAAGCTCCTTTTATGGTGAATTTGGTGTTAATTTTGATGAATTTTGAATTTGATTTAATTTCTTATTGTTGATTTTTATGTATTTTGTTTTCGTTTTAATTTCTTACTTGTTTTATTTTTGGTGCTATAATTTCATAATTCTTAATTGATATATTAGATGTACGTTTATCTTTTTAATTGTTATATAATAAATTTGTACTGAGGGCCCCCATGGAAAGCAGTGCTGTGCACTGATAGGAGTTTACCCTCATTAAAAATGACATAAATAAATAAAGTGTAGAACGGTGATGGTCTTGAGTTCTGCTGCATGCATTGTATACAAATATTGACTACTTCGAGTAGACGGGTAAAACTACCTGCGAGGTGATCTACTTGAAGCCGATGCCCGATGCTCTATAGATTGGGCCCAAAAAAAAAAGGCCGCGCCTCCTCAAATTTTTGTACCAAGGAGCACCAAGGAATGGGGAAATTGCACCAAGGCAAATGATAAAGGGCACCAAGGCAAATTATGGAGGACACCAATGTATAATGAGGACACAAAAAAGCAAAATAGTACCCACCTTGTCTGTACAATACAAGCTTGAAAAAAAAAAAAAAGCCACCAAAAAACCCAAAAAAAACGCGTCGCCGCATCAATTCCGGAACTTCGGTCTGACCAGCTAGATACTATTTTTTTTTTGGCCTTGGATACCATATAGTCTGTTGTACCATGGAGGTAGAGCTAGTACCTCCATGGTTGTACACAATTTTATAGGCATGCAGCCTATGTTGCGCATGTGCATGTGCATGTGCATGTGCATGAATGTTCCTCATTACAGTCATGAACCATGGACTTTAAAATTTAAAAACTCTGTAAGCAATCAATCAATCAATTGATTAAAACTTTCTGATGTGCATTTTTAATCTTAAGGAAGTGACAATAAGCTATAGTGGTTTAGAAAACACTGTGGGTTCTTCTTATTCATGTTGAATCATGGTAGAGTTGCATTTAAATGGCCTAGCTATTTGGAGGTCATATACAATTGGAACCAAAATTGATCAGAAAAACTTGTACCATACATAAACTTTAGTGCTGATGGCTTTCAGGGACTTGCATATTAAGGTAATTGCTCTGTATCATATTTTTGCTGTGATGTGCAATGGTTAAGGAATTGCTTGGTCTCCTTTTTCAAATAAACTAACAGAAAAGAAATTCTTACAAAAACGCACAGTTGTCTTGAACAATTCCTTGATGAAAATCTCAGTTTCTTTGCTTTAAAAAAAAACGTGAGGCTTGGAATGCACTCCAATACCAGCACCGTGCAACTCAAAAGTTTACAATAATTTTATAAAATAGACTAAGGAACACAATCTAATTATTTCCTGTTGATGACTGCTGACTCAGAAAAACAAAATGGTACGCAGGGAAGCTGTAAAGAGAGTATAAAGCTTTTTGTGTGTGAGAGAAAAATGGGCCTCAAACATCAAACAAATTAAAAATTTGTATATCATGCCACCAGCGAGTCTTGTATGCCGCGGCCGCGCGGCGCGGCGGGGGGGTTCAACATTTTGGGGGCCCTCAACTTGGCCCATACGCTTCCAAAATAGCATACATCTCGTAATATAAATGCGCACAATAATTATCTCTACTTTTTTAATTTTCGCAGCTCTGGATAGTGTTCATTGTTCAATACCACATTTTTCTGAAATTCCAAAAAAAAAAGTTAAATGAAATTATTAAAACTCCAATTTTTTTTCTAGAGGGCGCTGTGAGTACTTGCCAGCGACACAGAAAACAGCCGTCGGACTAGTGAGCTACTTGCTTTAATTTCCTTGTCTGAAAGCCTGACTCGACTTCGGGCAAACCATTTTTTGTATGTCAAGTAAAAAAGCACCAGCCTATTCCGAAGCCGATAGCTAGCTAGCCGGTGGGTGGAGTCTGAAGTTGCGGTTGATTCGGCGGGCTTTCTCACTTCAAGTGTGACTAGATTCTAAGCCATGGCTTTCCAAAAGTACATCGAGTTGCCCAACAAAGTGAAAATGCCAATTTTGGGGTTGGGTACTTGGAAGGTAAGGCAGTTTATCAGTGATTTTCCTTTTATAGAGTGTTACACAATACGCAAGGCCGCGACACAGACGACAATTGGGCACGTACAATGACAATGTAGTTCGTGTCACGTGCTCGTGCTCGTCCGGTACGGAAACTTGCTTCCGATAAATGATATGCAACGCGTTATACAATGTTATGTATGGGGGGGGGTGTTCAATAATGAACCGGGATAAAACCCTATTAAAGTCCACAAGAGGTCACAAACGGTCATAGGACAGTTGTACTTGTCATGCTTGTAGTTGTAGGAGGGTACTTAAAAAGTTAGCAAGCTGCAACAGTGCAACTGCAAGGTGGATAAAAGGTGGAAAAGTTTAGATGCCATGCCATGCCCACTTTACTTTTTAGCGGTTTTGTACAAACTAAGTCTGTGGAGAGTTGAGTGCATTTTCAAAGTATTTCAAAACAAAATTACTTTGGACTGGGATTCTTTTTTTAGCTTCTTCCACTGCCATTGCCAATGATTGCCATTGCCTTAAATATACATTATTGTTATTTATAATATCAGGCTTCCAGTTCCAGTGGTAAAAATAAATCAGCATATTGTATGCTTTTGTAAAAAGTATAGTACCCGGATAACTGCAATATTATGTCTGTAAAAGTACCCGGATGACTGCAATATTATTGATATTGAAGTCATCCGAGCATTTCGTTGGTTCCTGCACAATCTAGAGTGTAGAAAGTCACAGTCAACCAGACCACACAGCGTAGCTTGCGGCACGTGGACGCAGCGTTGACTGTTGTCAGCAGCCACAATGGCAGCTTCGAGCGGCGCGATAATTGACGAAATTTGAGAAATAAAGGCAGTGTCCTGAAATGTATTTCTTGCGGATCAAGCTAGTCAGCCTACTTTAAATAATAATGTTAGATGGCTTTTTTTTTACTCGCTAAATATTGCACTCGGCAATATTTTTGTAGCTCGTGCAATATAATTCTTGTATCCCCCTCAAAGCCATCCAATATTATGTAAAGATACATATTTTTTATGAAGGCCTTGGTTCTAATTCTTTTTTTCTTTTTTAAAAATTTACTCCAGTCCAAGCCTGGTGAAGTGACCAATGCCGTTAAGGCTGCGCTGGAGGTTGGCTACCGTCATCTGGACTGTGCCATGGCGTACTCCAACGAAGCGGAAGTGGGTGCCGGCTTGAAGGCCAAGATCGATGACGGCACGGTGAAGCGAGAGGATGTATTCATCACCAGCAAGGTATCACCGATGTTCTTTTTGGGGGGGGGGGGACCAAAGGCAGGGTTGAGGAAGGTATAGCTGAGAATTGGCTTGATACCCATGTGCAGTTCTACGGAGTTATGAACCTCAAATGTCAAAATTTCAGAAAATCCAAACCTCATGAATTTTTTTTTTAATCCATATGCTAAATGTATTTGTATGTATATATCTGTATTGTGTTATCTGTATTTTAACCCCAACCATCCCAAAACCTCCAATATCCTCTTTGCAAAATGGAGGATTCTGCAGGATTGAGGCTACATGTATACATCGCTAAAATGTGTGGCTGATTTTAGAGGATGCACTGTGTCAAGGTCTTGGGCCAAACCTTTGTTTATGCTCCGCCATAATTTAGGCCTAGATTATACTTGAAATACTCCCGCACTGCTCGAATTCATAGTAAAAGTCGTTAGACATGTAGAATCCAGGAATTAATGTTAACACGATAGCACGGTACTAATAGATATCGGGGGCCCAAGACGGACAAAACACGACTAACTACTTACTTGTCCTCAGGTCCAATTTCAAGCGAGCACTGTGACTAGTCAAATTCAGTCAGACAAAGGCAGGCAAGTGGTAGGCACAGATGGCTTATCAATCACCTACACTCAGTCAAAGCATAGCTGTATTCAAGGTACATAAACAGTCCCGGCCAGTCAATCCTGCTTTATGTAGGCTGGGAGCTCTTAACTGTTAAAAACAGTCACTTGATTGATTTGGACTTCAAGGACAATTTCGTACAGAATTAATTTGTATTTATATGTTGGCATAGGTGGATTAAATTAATTAATTAATTGATTTTTCGTCTGCAGCTGTGGAATACGATGCACCACCCCGACGATGTGGCAAAGGCCTGCCAAATGACTCTGGATCAACTCGGAGTGACCTACCTAGACCTTTATCTAATTCACTGGCCAATGGCTTACAAGGTATGCACTAGCACAGGCATATAAAATAGGATAATTGAAAGGCACGCAGGAATGTTTGCAATTACCTGAAAACGTACTTATTTTATTAAGAATATTCTTGCTCAATGTGAAGAAAGGACTGCCAGTCACAAATATCCTATGAAATTATTCGGCCTGAAATGGTATAATTCGGAAGAAAACATTCATTGAAGGTGGTGTATGAAAATGTGCCCGTTTGGGCGCTGGCACATTTTTAGCTGCTTGTAGCAGCTCAACAAATCATTGTGTCTCTGTTAGTTAGTTAGTTAGTTAGTTAGGTGGGGAGTTAGTTAGTTAGTTAGTTAGTTAATTAGGTAGTTAGTAACAAACGTTGACATTGTCTACTGCTCTTGCATATTGTCTATTGCTCCTACATTGTGTCTATTGCACCGCTATATTATTAGTCTATAGTCAGAGCCTACTAATCTCAGTCCTTCTGATTTAAAAATCACAGGTGTGTGGAAAAAGGCACACATGGATATTTCTAGGCGTGTGATTTTTCTAGGCGTGTGATTTTTCTAGGCGTGTGATTTTTCTAGGCGTGTGATTTTTCTAGGCGTGTGATTTTTCTAGGCGTGTGATTTTTCTAGGCGTGTGATTTTTCTAGGCGTGTGATTTTTCTAGGCGTGTGATTTTTCTAGGCGTGTGATTCTGTGGTCCAAGCTGGGACTGAACAATCTGGTATTATTTCATAATACCGGTATTCATCTTGGTTTACAATGAAGCCGTTTTTCTCTTCACCGACATGCATGTACTTTATATTTCACATATTATGAAGTATAATTTTGCCGTAAGTGTATGCCGAGGTGTGCTGTTCTGAGTGATTCAGGCGTGCGACTTTTCGCACTTCTCGGGAAGCTTTTAGGCGTGTGATGGCGTGGGGGTGTGATCGCACGCCTCAAAACAGAAGGACTGAATCTTCGCCACAAAAATGTCTTCACGTAGGCATGCTTCTGAAACCTGTTAGCAGATGGACACACAATGCATGCTACAAATCAAAAGCGGGAGAAATTGTGTTTCTTAGCCTGTGCTTTACATTGAGAGTGAACTTGAACATGTTTATTTAAAGAGCTCTTTTCTTTCCAGAGGGGGGAAGTACTCTTTCCCGAGGACGAAAACGGTGTGATGCAGGTGGATGACATTGAGTACACCGACACCTGGCTTGTAAGTTTACCATATATCATAACCGACACAAATCAATTGACCTGAATTGGGGCAACCCTTCCTTATTCACTGGGTCTCGTTTCCGACCGACCCTATATTGGGCTCCCGACCCAGGGAAAACAATAATGTTTCTGCCGACCGTATCTGGAACCCCCACTAACACAAAAAAATGTATTAACCCTAACAGAACTCAACCCATCAAACCCCAACAGCATGTTTTGTTGGAATCTGTCAGGATGGGTACAGCACCCCTCAACTGACGGTCTTTTACATTGCGTTGGCACACCTCCAGAGTCAAAGTCAGAAATATGTGTGTGCAGTTCCCCATACGGTGGTGGACGCCCTTATAATGATGCCATGCCTTTTTTTTTTAGATGTGCCCTTTCTGAAGGAGCTTGGTGACTCTTGTCCCACCTGGCTCCCGTAGGAAAGCGCACATGTAAACAAAACATGACTTCATTACGACAGAGGTCTATTTTATTTATAAACATGGGTTTATGTTTGGTAAATGTCCCATGTTCGACTACAATCTGGTTTGTGTCCTTCCGTTTCAAGGCGATGGAGCAGCTTGTGGATAAAGGCATGTGCAAGGCCATCGGCGTGTCCAACTTCAACCTGAAGATGATCAAGGAGATTCAGGCTATCAACAAGGTCCCGATAGCCAACCACCAGGTGAGAATAGAATTTGCTGCATCGTGTCTTGGATTCTGCGATTTCATTGGTCTAGAACAGCCACGTGTCCAATCTGTAAAAAAAATAACCAAAATCATTCACTTCATATACACTGCATTGCATGTAAATTACCTCGTATACACTGCGGTGTATCAATATTAATTGTGTAATTATAACACTTGCTTGCCACTTTACTCTTCTCCTTGGTTTCTCTCTTAAAATAAGTGTTATTTTTAAGTATTTCTCCTAATTTTGGTATATTGTTCTTCAATCTGTCGGCGCGCCTATTCTCATGACAGAGAATTGCAACCGCTCAGTCTCATGTCCAGCAGAAAAGCTCGCAGATATCAAAGATAACACTGATTGAATTTATTTCTTGCATAGTAGGTTACAAGCCTTGAACTTTTTTGACGTATTGGCACGATATAACAAAATAAGTGTTGACTGCTTTGATGTGAGATATGGTGCTTTCTATTTAACTTTGTATCATTAGCACTGTGGGTGTAGTTATGCGACAGTGTGAGATCTGATGAGATATGTTTTCCCTTTCGTTCAATGGTATGTGTTCTTTGCAGATTGAGCTTCATCCTTGGTTGACCCAGGAAGAGCTTGTTCGATACTGCCAGGATAACAACATCTCCGTCACGGCATACAGCCCCCTAGGCTCACCGGACCGTCCATGGTAAGACTTGCACTTGGGTTAGTGAGTTCCTCATATACCAGACGCCACACCCCACACCTCGTACATGCATAAAAAGACAGGCAATGCCCACAAAACTTCTGAATTAGTAGTAGTTGCTTTGTGTACTTGACATGCCTTCTAGTTTTGTTTAGTTCTCACGTACATGTACATGTGGAACACGGTGCCATTGTGCATGTCATATTTAAATTAGTTAAAGTATTTCTGGGTCAGAGGTCATGAGGACGACAATGTACCGGCTGTTCTCTGACTATCTAAGTGAAAAACTGAAGCATGTATAGTCTTTTTATCTGTGATGGATTTTGAGGGGGAAAAAATGTATGGAGGGGACAGAATGGCAGAAGTGCGCAAAATGGTTGAAAATTTTAGACTTGCAAAGAAATGTCAGACAATTCATCCTTAGCACTCCAGTTTAGCAACTTCTAATTCCTGACAGTTTCGGGTTGAAGGTGGACAAACATTCTTTTAGCTTGCTGCAGTATACGCTCTACTTATTGAGTCAATGAGTTTGAGGACTTGTTTGAGGACTTGTCATAATCTCAGGAGGTGTCCCTTCAAACTGATCATGAAACAACCCCCCCCCCTCTCCCCTCCCCTCCCAACAAAATTTCATCAAATCAGAGTTATGATCTGGTAAGGGGTGCTCTGTTGAACACTTGTGTGTTTCCTGCAGGGTGAAAGACACCGACCCTAATCTGATGGCTGACCCAGAGGTGATGCGAATCGCCGAGGCCAAGGGGAAGAGCCCTGCTCAGGTCTTGATCCGCTTCGCTCTCCAGCGAGGCATCATCTGCATCCCCAAGAGCGTCACACCCTCCAGGATCAAGGATAACTTTGAGGTGATCAGGCCTTTCGTTTTTAACCCATCCTTCTGTTACAAGTGACTAATTTCTTCTAAGTAGTCCATTTACTAGTCTAGGATGCTTAAGTGAACGTGACGGGAACGCGATTTGAATCTCCGATCACTGGAACACAGTAAAGGCTTTCAAGTATTCCTACTTTCCTACCTTTTCCTAGTTTTCTTTTTATCTTGCTCCTACTTGTCCTACTTTTTTCTTGAAATTCCTCCTTTTTCCTACTTTTTCCTACTTTGTCCCACAACTCCGAGCAATGAAATCTCATTGAATAATTTTCATAACAGTGTTACACACTGTCATATGTAATTCACACAATGAAGGGATTGGGCGCAGGAGAACTGCAACTGTACTTCCAAGAGCTTAGTTGAGGATGAAGCACAAGTGTTCTGAGTACAGAACATGCCAAATGAGTCTTAAGGTAACAAAGTGGCATTTATAGCGTTTTGGAAACAAAATCTTCATATTTTGTTGACTTTGGTCAAATGTGCCATTTTTTTTCTCTCCCCAGGCTCTAGATTTTGAGCTGAGTGCCACTGATATGAAGGATCTGATGGCCCTCAACAAGGACTATAGAGGCTGCGCGCTAGAATGGTAAGACATTAGGCTTTTAACATGTAATTGGAGTTTTACCCAAATATTTAAAATTAAAATACAAAAGGCGATCATTACTTTAATGTCAAATCTACAACTTCTTTTACTGGATAAAGTCTAACTCGTCATGAATCCTACAAATTTCATTTCAGTGATAACAGCATTTTACTTGAACCAGGGTTCGACTTTAGCAGTAGCCCGCTAGCCAAATGCTAGTTAAAACAGTAGCGGGCTAGTCAAACTATTCCTTAAGTAGCCCGGCTGGCTAGAAAAAGACTGTTTGGTTAACTTCTTAGATGTTAACTGTGCTGCTGTGTCTCTGCCCTCTGCTTGGTAGCCTTTTTTCAAGGATGCAAGTTTCAGCCCTTGTTCTTATTGCAGCAGTCAAAATATCAGTTGCTGTGGACAAAATGAAAAAGCGGCGCTTGTTTACAATTGCCTATAACTCAATTAATCTTTATTTATACCCGATTGGTAAGAGTTTTTCGTTGTTGAAAAACTAATGGATAATACTCTGTAACAAAATATGGGTAGATATTTGCGATTTTTGTAAAAGCTGTGAAAAATAGGGCGCTTTAAAGGTTTGGGTATTTTGGAGATGCCCTGTATAAAATTTAGTGTCCAAAATGTTAACCCCCCCCCCCCCCCCCCCCGGCCTTGTAACCTCTAAACCTTGTAGTTTGCCATGTGAGTATAAGAATGACCTCAAACAATATTTGTTTGATAATTTGCTATTCATAATCACTCTTGGAGGACCAATGCATGTCTAGAATGATAAAATCATAGATGTCAGATGTAAGGATTTATAGTGTGACGTTGGCCCTGAAATAAAATGTACAGTTTTACCACTTTGGGCGTACTTTTTTAAAGTCCATAATCAGAGCCAATAATGTCCAATTACTTACTTCTGCAAAATTAATTTTGAGGGAATTTTTATTCACCCCCTTTTGTGTTTCATAGGATCAAGCATCGTCATCACCCGTTCACCCCACTTGCCTAGTAAATGAAGACAATAGAAGGAACACATCACAGCTGAGATATGGGAGTCTCGAAAACTTCAATTTTTCTACTGTGATCACCAAAGCTCTATCATACGCAGATTAAAGTTTAATTTCCAAAAACTTGTATCAATCATTAATGTAGCTGTGATTTTAATTATTTCACTGAACAAAACTAGGATTGTGAACATTATTGGCCACAACTTGCTGTGCCCTCCAACACTATTGAATCAATTACAAGCATCGTTTGTTTATATTCCGTTGAATAACGAGTACCCTCATTTTGTTTTGTATACACAATTTCTTATACAGTTCAATGTCCATTAAAATGGGTTGGTTTGCTCAGATCGGCGGTGTATTTATCTAAATTTAGGCTATACATCAAACTCCTGAACTATTCATGACATGTACAGTGTGGAACTAGGATTAAAGTATTAAGTCCAAATATGAACTTCAGGTTTTTTACACGACATTAACACTGACAGTCCTGATTTCTCCAATTTTGAAACCCTCGCCCCCAAGTAGTTCTCTGCTAGATCCCTGCTAAATTCAACGGAGTCCGACGGTTACCCATATGAGTTTCCTGCTCAATCCAACGCAGTCCCATGCAACCCAACAGGCCCAGTTGTTGGATACCTGAAATTATAAAATGACTGGCATGCTCAATCCAACAGAATCCAACAGAATCCAACAGAATCCAAAAGTGCCTTATTTTTCTGTTTGCTGCTGGATCCAACAGAGTCCAACTTGGCTTTATTTACCAAAACCCAACAGAATCCGATTGGGGTGTTGTCACTTGCCTGCTGAATCTAACAGATTTCAACAGGAATATGTAGAAGGGTTTTACTGCTCAATCCAACAGGATCCAACGGAAACGTAAAAATAGTTGGATCCTGTTGGATTGAGCAGGGTTAGGTAAAGATTTTTCACACATCCGCAGGGTGTTATGGTTTGAGTGCTGTATAGACATTCTGAGAAGAAAAATAATTCTGGGAAAGAAACTGCTCACACTTAATTTTGTTTAGGCCACTGTCAACTTTTCTTTAATAATTATGTGATCAAAGTGCAACTATGTGAAATTCCAAAATTGCTGAACAGTAAAGTTGTGATGAGATATACTATATTTTGTACGAATATTTTCAGAAGTGTTCAGTTTAGGATTAGATACGAATTATGTTCTGGACAATTTGGTGAATGGTGGGCTTTTTAATTTCTTCTGCTGATTTTAGATTTCAATTCTTTCAGTTTAGTTATAATGCTTAAAAATAGTCTTTTTTTTAAATCGTACTTCAACACAAAATTGATAAAAAAAAGAAGCAATGAAGCATGTATCGTTTACACTGTTGTTTAACAACACGTAAAATGTTTTATGACGTGTGTGATGTTCCTTTGCCCGAGACCAACTTGGACATGTCAGAGGAAACTATGCATTGTATGCATTAACACCTTTTCAGAATATATGAGAAAAGCAGAAACGCCTGTTTTGTGTCTTTTTTTCATGAATGTTTTATGACTTGTAAAGTAGCCCATATATAAAGCGTAACTGCTCAATGGTTATTAGAAAAGTTGTGCAAATTTATGGAGAAACCTGGTTATGCAGTTAGTGTACTATTAAATGTGCTCCATGCTTGCAGTAGAACGCCATGGTCCAGTGGTTAAGGTGTTTGACTCGTGTATGAAGGTGCGTGGGTTCGAACCCTGCCAGGAACGTGGTGTTTGTGCCCTTGGGCAAGACACTTGACTACAATTGCCTCTCTCCACCCAGGAGTATAAATAGGTACCTGTGAGGGTCGAGGACCGATTGAGCGCTGATATCGGCTGCCGCGTGGTCCCATGGCCTGATGAATGGGGTAATAATTGTAAAGCGCTTTGAGATTGTTGATACGATGGAAAGCGTTATATAAGCACAATTTTTATTACAGTCTCAGTGAAATGGACAAGGTTTGTATCAGCAGAAATGTGGTGCTAAACCTAACATTTCTAGTTTATATCAGTTTTCATTGAAAATTTATGGAAATTTCAATCTTGTAAAAGAGAACCGAAGTTAACAGATGTACTTTATTTGTGACCTATTTGCATTGTTGACGATCATCACCCAAACACAATAACACACTTCAGAAAGATTTCTTCACAGAAACCACCACATACAATTCTGTTTATCATAACAGCACACATTTATTAGGATGAATTATTGAAAATCGATGGTGCAGTCATTCGATTCACAATCATTGCCACTCATTAAAGAAGGAAATAATATGGACAAAATGTACACTGCCACCTAAAATCTCCACAACTGCTTTATCTTAATCTAATCAACAAACGGAATTAAGCCTGCAAGGCCAGGAAAAGACCACAGGATTAAAATGCATGTCTGCTTGAGAACTGGCATGGTAGTAGTATTGTGAATACAGTTTGTGTTGCAAAACACTCATCACCAGATAACTATATGAAAACTGATTGCACATGTTTATCAAACTATTGACATCTCCAACCAGCAAAACTTCAACCACTAGCAGCTAATATTACTGCAGCTTTTACTGAACTAGATAAGGAATAAATGTTCTGATAAAGCAGTCCTGTCTATATAATTGGGGGTTGCTAGGGTCTCCTTACACCTTGGGGGTGGGGGGGGGGCCCACTTCGGAATCGTAATCGGATCTCTTCAATTTTGGACTTTGTACCCATGACAATGCGGTTTTGTGAGTTGAATGGTCCGTGGTGTGACAATTTTTAAAGTAGTTACCCAAAAAAATGCCCTTGGAAAGCTATCCTAACAATTTTGGAATTTGGATTCTGGATATTTTTTAGGCCTTTGACATGGGCAACTCGGGGTTAATTCTGGTACATTTTGTGCCTCAGAAATACCAAATCCTATACAAGGTCATAGAGCTTTTTGCATTTTGCAAATGCTTTAAAGAAATCCACAAAAGACCATGTATACAGTCGAATCTCGTTTGTACAAACTCTGTTAATACAAAATTTTGGTTATAACAAACATAAAGCCTTAGTCTCGACTGTGCATTCACATGTGCACAATGAATGGGACTGATGTTCCTCTTAGTACAAAATTCTGATATAACAAACAATTTGGCTATGTCCGAACGAATTTGTATTAACGAGACTCGACTGTATATGGGAAACTTTGAGGACTCCTCGGGTTCGGGAGCACTGAACTCATGGTCTGCGGGTAATGTTGCAGGTTGTGGGTTCGTGTCCAGCCTGGGGTCATGGTGCATGTGTCCTTGGGCAAAGGCACTTTGTCACTCATTGCTTCTCCCCACCCAGGAGTAAATTGGGTACCTGTGAAGGCAGAGATGGGTATTGGGTATATTAGCTGCTTTGCACCAAAATGGCAGCATCGAACTGTATACTCCCCAGGGAGCTGAGCTAGTATTTAGAATGTTTCATTGGCCCAGTGATTACAGGCAATAATATAAAGCCCTTTAATCTCGTTAAAAGTACTATATTACTATCCATTTTGGTAAACTTTTACACCTATGTCCATTTCAGTCCAACGCTTATTTCTCCACTGAGTAAAGAGCACCAGACTATGTCAGATCGTAGGTCAAACCTACACAGCTGCTAGAACTGTTGTCTCTTTGTAATATTTTTTTTAGTCTTAGTAAGGCACACTTAGTCTTTCTTCTACTGTTTTCAAGATACAGAGTAGTACTTCTTTTGAATTTTTATTGCACCACAAAACTACCAAAAAAACGTAGTCAAATGAAAATAAAATGTACCACTTGAAATCAGTTGAGCAACTTCGTTTTTTTTCATTGTTTGTACAGCTTTTGCGAATGTACACATTGGCATTTGTTACTGCTTATTCTTATTAACCAGTTCGCGCCGGAGGCTGTGTATACACGCAAAAGTTTTGCGGTATTCAGAACGGATGACAGATAAACACGCAGGGAGCGAGGCCGGAAATATCCGTCAGCGATCCGCTCGCAGCGAGCGAGGCCAGAAATATAAGTGTGCTGCCCAAGGGTGATGGCTTCAACCCGCCTGGCTTGAGGTCGAGTGAAAAGTAATCCCGCGCTTTGTTCCGTTCTTGTCAAAATAACCCCGGCGTGAACTGGTTAAGAAAGAAATCACTGAAATCTGATGTTAGTAACTTGTCATTTACATCTGCTTTAAAGACGCAGCAAGTACTTGATTTGAGCAGCAAGTTAATTTTTTTCTTCTTGAATTTTTTTAATATATTGAAAAACATTATCAGCTTAATCCTCCAAACTGTGCCAAGACAAAAGTACTTCACAATACTACAAAGTTTATGGTTTTGATTTTCTGTATACTTTACCCTGCAGTTTATCGGTCTTTCGTCATTATTCATGCATAGTAAAACTTAAGCACAACTGAAGCCTTGTATATAAATAGAACCCTGATCAACCATCATTACATTCACACACACAAAAATATCAACGTATATCACACACTAATGAAACTACCCTGCAAAGTAAAACCTCAAACTTTTTGTTTCTTTATAAACAACTCAAAATTCTTTGGTTTTTTCTCAGAAATATAGGACTAATATTTGCAAAAGTTAAAAACAAAATATGTACGGTACGCCTGATTTTCCAATAAATTCGCTAGTTCCTGGACTTCCGAAGTCTTCAAGCTTGTGATTGATGACACAGCTACTCGTTGACCTTCTCAAAATATGTCTTGGATCCTTTAGGGTCAGGCTTGATCTGCAAAAAAAGAAACAAAAATTTAATTGGCTAAAAGTCTGAGGCTCAAAAGTGATCTCTTCAAATAAAGCGCTTACACAATAAGTTTTGAAGGATAGTTATTAGCCCTTTATGTCTCAAAATTTATCATTATTTCTCCCAAATAGAGTAGGAATGCCACAGCATGTTAAATGGAATCCTTAAAAATACTCCCTTGTATTATAAACACCACAAAAAAAAGAAAGTCCACAATTTTTAATCTGATCGTCTTATCATGACGTTGTTTATATAGACCGTTGGAGATTTTTGTTAGCTACATTTTGATACCCGTTTGCTACTAAAGACTGTAAATCGTCCAAGATTGACAACGGTTTATGAAAGGGGGTTAGGGTTAATTAATGGGTAAAATGTTTTGCTCACAAGAATGAAACCAAGTGACCACCAGTCTGCTTACCGTGGGTGATTCTGGCGTCCAGCCTGCTGGGCAGACCTCTCCATGCTCGGCCACAAACTGGAAGGCCTTGACCAGTCGCAGGGTCTCGTCCACTGACCGTCCGACGGGGAGGTCATTGACGCTGGTGTGGCGCACGATGCCCTCTGGGTCTATGATGAACAAACCTCTGCAGAAAGGTATTCCAAGACCAAAAATTAGTCGGTGATCACTGAAAGCAGATTTTGCCCTCGGAGGTCCCTCAAAATTGACCTGGTTGTTGTGGAGGATTTTTGGAGAATTTTTCGAGGGTAGCACCCGTTCACTTCTGTTCTCTTGGAGATTGAGGCTTGTTTGACAGTTGTAGTGCAAAGAAGTAACGTTGGCTTCCTGCACATTGGTGAATTTTAGAGGTTTTAGGAAGGTTCCAGACAAAATGTCCTGTGGAATTAGAAAACTAGGGTGAAGCTAATATTAATAATGTCACCCTGTTTTTGTATATTTTCCAATATCGTGGTCAGTCTCAACTATCATCAGGATTGGAAAGAACATTTTATATCAATTCCCCAAACATCAAACGACAAAATGAAGTTTGAAGAAATGGTAAAAGACAAATGCTGTGTATTTCAAATTAGACCTGTTCCAACAAAACCCTTACAAAGTTAACAAACATTTGTTTTTTAGGTTTTGGCGTTTTCAAATTACTGACGTTCTCAGGAATTTGAAAATGCCAACTCAACCTTAAAATAAAAGTTGTCAACTTTGTCTGGGTTTCGTGGAAGCCGTTTTCAAATATGTCTTCAAGGTCAAACCTTTGTACCTCAATGCGACTCCTTCGTCATGCAGCAGCACTCCGTAGTCCTTGGAGATTTCCTTCTTGAAGTCACTCAGGAGAGGGATGTTCATTGGGCCAAGTCCCCCTTCCTAAAATTATAGAATGTAATGAAAGGATTAGAGTAAATGACCCAATTTCATGGCTCTGCTTAGCCCGGAATTAGGCGCTTATGATTACCATTCTGTGCTAACCACGTCAGCACAGAATCCTCAGTTATTGGATGGATGCATGCGCATAAGCCAAAATTTCCTAGCTAACCCGTGAAAATATGCTTACCGTAAGCAAAGAATGTTCTGCTGCAGTATGCAGGGCAAGCCGGGAGCCATGAAATTGAGCCCAGGTGTTACTTGGGCTGGGGTTTGGACATTCCAATTCCTCAGTTTGATGAGCAGGGTTAATTAAGATTTAGGGATAAAAAAAATCCACTTTGTATATTTCTGCAGAGCCTCTGTATGGAGACTGGCCTAGTGGTTAGGGTTCGTGACTCATGATCAGAGGGTCATGGGTTCGAATCCAGCTGCTGGTCATATGTCGTGTCCTTGGGCACCACTTACCACCACTTGCCTCCATCCACCCAGGTGTATAAATGATTACTGGCATTAGCTGGGGAGTAACCTGTGATAGACTGTCATCCAATCCAAGGGGAATAGAATTATTCTTCTTTCATTTCATGCTACAACGCCGGCCTGAAATAATTGAAAAACTAAACATGGGTCGATATTTTTTGGTCGATGCCCTCATTCAAAAGTGAATAACTTTTGTATTGCTAGAAAAACAGCAATTTAGAAAAGACATCTATTTTTTTCGGGATGAAACTCGTAACTAGAACGGAGAATGCATCTTTAACACTCATATTTCTATTCAGGAGAAAAAAATTAAACGCTCCATTCCCACTTATGTACCTCTGCATATTTTGACTAACTGGGGACTCAGAAAAGGACTCGACTACATATTCAATAGCCAGGGTACCAGTGAGGTGTTTATCCAGGGTACCAGTGAGGTGTCGACCAATGGCGGCTCACCTTTCTCGGTGTGTTGATCCAGGCAAGATGGCTGAAGTGGGAGTCCACGGACACGCCCACCACCACGGTGTTGAGCGCGCTAAACTCGCCTGCTCGCTCGCTGTAGGCAATGATCTCGGTGGGACAAACAAACGTGCTGGTGACGAGACGAAAAGAAATGGAGCAATGAGTACGATGGCAATTTTATACAGGACGTCCCGGAAAAGAGAAATTGATTTTCAGAAACTATGGAGACCAGTTATTGACCCAAGAAAGTTGGAGTTAAAGTTGGCATATCATCGTTTTGAAAGTCCATAGTTTATCCCTTAACTACATGTAAACACTCTGTGCTCAGGATGTTTTGCGTGGCCTAGCCTACATCCGGATATCGGGAAGTCAGCGTCGCCATTGTAGTAGGCAAAGATCGTACAGCACCGCACGCATAGGGTAGCAGGCAAGCCATCAAAGCTGTGAGAAAAAAAGCGGAGCCAACACCCAGGGTTGGGAGTACTCAGCACAGCTAAAGACGACTATACCATTTCATAAAGAAGTAGTGGTTATTTTAGGTGAAAGTACGCCATACTGTCTAGTTTACTATCCACGACATTCTTGTTCGCGCAAGGACTATAGTTAACCATTGGTCGACTAACGCTTGCCCGAACTCTGTCTAGTCGACGATGGTTAACTACGCTAGTCGACTATTTGGAACCAACCTACTGGGGCTGGTTGCATCGCTGGTAACCATAGCCGCGCGTGTTCATAACGTACAGCAGGGAGCCAGGATCCAGACGTTTTGCAATGACATTTTGACCAGCGTTCGACTAGAGACGTTCGCACTTTGCTATCAGTGCGCAGGCGTAAGGTACGTCACAAATCAACCACTAGTCGACTAATGGTCCTTGCCCGAACTTGGCCATGGCTGCTAACCGATTGGTTGCCTACGTCACGTCAAGGATGGCCGATCGCGGGGAAACCGATGGTCAAGTGGTACTTTTGATGTCATACGATCGGAGACTATTAAGCGCAAAGCTGACCTCACAAGATATGCCTTCATGCTCAGATAAAAAGTCTTTCCTCATTTTGTACTGAAGTACAGACAATATGGCTCAGGGAAAGTTTTTTCACATCATAGCATCGACAATTCCTCACCGTACTTGTAAAAGTTTCAAAATAATTAAACAAACTGTAAGGGTTCGGCACGATAATAACAACCGTACCCGGCACAGGTTGTGACCATAAATCCATTTGATAAAGAATATGTGGTTAGTTTACGGGGAAACGAGATGGCCATGTGGTACTTTGACGTCATACTATCAGAACCTATAATATGTATCCCAGTCTTAAAGTCAATGAGGCAACATTAAAAAATTGTCCGAAAAAGTGACCCTTCAATATTTGTGAACTGAAATCTTTCCTGCCTATCCCTGCAGAATGATGAAGAATATACATCTGAGAAGGTGGTAAGAAATGTACTTACAAGTCGAGAGGGTAGAAGAAGAGTACCAGGTATTTTCCCCGGTAATCTTCAAGTCTGATGGTCTTGAAGTCTCCGTTCACGACTGCTGTGCCAGTGAAGCTCGGTGCAGCATGCTGTACACTGACATTCAATCTGCATGCTACGGACAAGGCAAAGATACATTCAAATTGTACATTAATCCTGACTCTCTGTACAGTTTTCTTTTTTCTCGGAATCTTCCTGCAGGAAAGCTTAACCCTAACTCCCTAGGCCTTTTTGCTAGGATGTAGCCTCCTGCAAAATCCTTCAATTGGCCTCATGGAAAAATAGCATAGCCTCAATCCTGTAAATTCCTCTTTTATTTCTTGAATATGGTCCGTGGAGGTGTGAGCACTGCCTGAATCCTGCAAACATCTGTGGCAGTGACTGTCAATATGTTGAGGCTTGGCCAGTGACATCCTGGAATAGTACGGAGGATTTCAAGCATAATCCAGGCCTATATTTATGCATGGCTGAGCAAAAACAACACAAGGCTCCCTACATCCCAACCACGGTTTTGGATAGTAGGGCCTAGGCTTTTTTGCAAGAACCACGGAGGAATAAGGAGCGACCATTTTATTCCTCCATGCAAGAAAAAAGTGCTCCGACTAAATCAAAAAAAATTTGCCAGAGAAGTCTAACAGCAATTACAAAACACTTCTTATTACATGTGCTCAGAAAGCGGGCCTCCGGTCTGCAAACCCTGGCCAAAGTTGCAATTTGTTGATTCTTCGTTGCCAGAACCGCAGGCAGCCTTTGTTGGACATGCCCTCTCTGTGCTAAGGAGACGGCTCCTCGTGTTAATGCGGAGAACTTGAAACGGAATAACAAAAAAATAGCACTTTTTTAATACAGATGGAAAATGCAGGTTGATACCAGACCCAGTAACTGGGGTGCTGGAACTCCTTTTTGGCTTGGATCGGTCGTAGTAGCCAATACGACCGATCCAAGCCAAAATTTAAAAAAAATAAAAATCTATAGACCCATGATAGATCGCCTCACAGTTATACTAGACTAGGCTGTTCTATGCAAGCTTTGATAGTTATTCTTAGCCCCACTTGTTGTGTGGCCTCCGTATTGCTGCGCTGTACATTAGGCCACACATCTGGTTTTCCAACCTACTGAGGAGTTTAGTCCAAACACTGGCACACCTTTTTTGTGGCATTTTCTTTACATACCACTGTATATGGTTGTATTCTATGATTTCTCATCTTTTGTCCTCCGGGTAGATTAGGTAATCTTTCTTCAAATTTTTCGAGAAATTTAGACTAATTTCTGGAGTCCATATGCACCAGTTTCGGACTAAACTCCTCACTGACCTCAGTAGCACTGAGTAGGTTGGGAAACCAGACGTGTGGCCCAACCGTACAGCGCAGCAATACCGAGGCCACAGGTGGGGCCAAGTTATTCTGAAAAGCAAGTTTTAGAAAAGGTTGTTACCATGTTAACTGTTGTTACATATCCCAACTGCTAAATATTGTTTCAGATGGGATTCCAATGCTATACATCATAAGGCTCTATCCTCCCTCAAAAAATTAATCCCTCCCCCCCCCTCCTTCCCCCCCCCCCTCCTTCCCCCCCCCCCCCCCCCCATGAAAACATTCCTCCATCCATGCTCCCCTCCCTCAACAATTTAACACCCCCCTCATATAGCACTTGCAACATTTATGTTGAGCTCTTGATGACCTTGCTGCAGTACAATTTGTGGACCCAATTTGTAATAGCAATTGAATTTACGAACAGTATTTTACCAGTCGCAACCTTACGCAACCAAACATGCTGCTTGCGCTTCTTGCAGACGTCTTGTGCAGTCTAGTTCTGCAGGGCATTTAAACAGCGCCATCTACCGGTGCCAATTCAGCACTTTACATCATCATACATGAAATAGTCGTCGTCTTCAGAGGAAATTTCGGGAAAAAATGAGGTCACAGGTTATGACGCATGAGCAATTTATTGTAAAACTTACATCATGCGCTCACGCATTTAAAATTTGCACGTGTGGTCGACCTGTAAATTTTGTAACAAATTTCACCACAATTTGAGTCTCCGTAAATCTACAATAAGTATCAAAATGTTGTCATCAGTCAATAGAATAACATCGGGCTGCTTACGCAGCGGCCCTTGCCTCCGTTCGTTTACTCAGCAAAGACATTTTTCCAATTTTTCGAGAACGGTAAGTAATGGAGAAGACGTGCCCAGTTTTCGGACAACGTGGACAAATTTTTGTACTTGTGAAGTTGTGGTAAAACTAAAATAGAAAGTTTCGAAAGATCAAATCTAAGATTTTTAGATAATTTTTGTTTAGGCCCCTAGGCCTATTTACTTTTTAAAATTGTTTTTTTTTTTTGTCTTGTGTGTTTTAAAATTAAATCATTCCTTCTTTTTATTGATGTTGTGCCCATTCTTGAAAATCACGCATTCTTAAGAATGTGCATGCACATTCTTAAGAATGTGCAACTGGATCCTTGCACAATCTTCGCAAAAAATAACTCTTCCAGATTGAGCGCACATTCTTAAGAATGCGCGACAAGATAACGGTCTTGTCGATGCCGAGCACCGGCTGCGCTTGGCAAGTCTAGCTGCATCCTCGTTCACTGATTCTCAACTCAATAATTATACTGTTGCAACGCAAGGCGCTGAAAAATAGAGTGGATATGATAAGTATAGGCGTATTGATATGGGGGGGGGGGGGACCGGGAAAAAATAAGAGACATAATAACTAGTGGAAAGAATTCTGATTTTTGGGATAATAAAAGCGGGGGGGGGGGGGGGGGGGGAGGGAACGTAAGAATGAAGAATGTGAAGAATGAGAATGAATACTGCGACATCCCATAGTGCTAATGCTATTTCCCATTTAAATTGCCACCAATTTATTGTTCACACCCCACCATTACGTCGCAGAGCTGGATTCTATCTAGTCAAAAGAGCAATTTTGGCAGCTTCTGGACATCGTTTTTTTTTCGTGGCATGCATATGATACATACAGGGACTTGTAACTTGTCTAGCCTAAACAAAGCACTTCCCAGACTAGTTCCCAGTCCTCCGTTATTACAAAACTTCCCATAGTGGGCAGAAAAAAGCAATAATAACAGGTTTAATTTGATTCAAATTATCGTAGTTATACGAGTACAGAAGCATAGAACATTTTCTTTCCTCTTTATATAAATTGTTTCCCTTTTAACCGCTATACATTTCATTTAACATAATTATGTCGTGCAATGTTTGTTAAGATTGGGCAAAATTCATAAATTGTGCACGTGATATTCCCACCCAATCTTAAGAATGAGCGCTCATTCTTAAGAACGCGTGCTCGTTCTTAAGAATGGGCGCTCATTCTTAAGAATGCGCGCACATTCTTAAGATTGCGTGATTTTCAAGAATGGGCACAACATTGACATAGATTTCATTTTTTTTCTGGAAAGAATGTTGCAAACTGACGCCACTTTTTTCTTCATACTGAATGATCAGTCATTGCAAACATGCCAAACATGATGAGAAGACATGAATATGGGACTGAAAAACATTTCCGGAAAAAATGTTGCAACCTGACACCACTTCCGCCATTGTGTACAAAGTCTATGCCATGGAGATGAAGTCAAGAAAATTTTCATTGTAAATTTTTTTAAAATGACATGAATCTGGGACTGAGAAACATTTTCAATTTTGTTAAAAAAATACTTAGAAAATGCAATTAACTCTCCACAGACTTTGTACACAAACCAAGGAATATTCTAAATTCTTTCGAAAGAATTTAAGAAAGCATCCATTCATTATTCTAAAAAAAAATTGAAACAAGACAACTGTAGGCCTACTCAAACTTACTAGATAGATAGAAACAGTTTTGCAATTGTCTCGTTCGTGTCCTCCACTCAAATTGGCGGTGGCAACAGACCAGTGCTCTTTTGTTATGTCATTGGACTACCATTCAGCTTTCTGGACTCGGTTTAAAGAAAATGAGACTGGAAGCAACACAAAAAAGACAATTTCAGGAGTGAATTTTTAAAGATAATTAATACCAAGTTTTGGCAATGTTTCTTTTCCAGGGAGCATGGAGCATTGTAAACACAGACAGCACACAGCCGAGGCGGTTCTATGCCTCCGACACTGTCAAAGGCAACGTCATCGGCATAGATCTCGGAACGACAAACTCCTGCGTGGCTGTCATGGAGGGCAAAGCGGCCAAGGTTCTGGAAAACGCTGAGGGTGCAAGAACGACGCCGTCAGTCGTCGCGTTCACACCAGAGGGCGAGCGACTAGTGGGGATGCCCGCCAAGCGCCAGGCAGTCACAAATTCCAAGAACACATTTTACGCCACAAAGAGACTGATTGGCAGGAGATTCGACGATGCGGAAACACAGAAAGATATGTAAGTAGAATGAGGCAGAGTAGGTCGCATGCTACTAGTAGTCTGCCTACAATATTGAACAGCAATTGAAATGTGAAGACTTTCACTCAGTCGCAATTCAACAGTGAAAACAGACGGCCTGGGGCCAATTTCACGACGCTGCTAAGCACAAAATTTGCTTAGCACAAAAAAAGTCTGGCTTATAAAAGCAGGTTACCAGCCAAAACTCCACGTGATGTATATTGGTCGTGATTAGTATTGTTGTTTGCTTAGGCCAAAAAAAAAGTCTCTGGTTTCTGGTATGGAGCTTGCCCAAAAAGTGGTGCGGCGACGCGGCTTGTTTTTTTTTTTACCTGATTTTTTTGCTTCAAATGTCGGCTGATGACTGCAAATGGTGCCTGACTAAACTTAGTACAAATAGGCCTATATGGGATTGGGAGTCCAGAGATGCCACATAAAGCTTATTCTCGACCATAACCCCACCTAAAAACACGTTAAAATTGTGCAGCCGCAGAATTCCAGTCAAATCAGTGAGTTTGGCGGTTTTGAGAAATCATCTTTCATTGAAAAAAAACTTTTTCATTTTGCCGACGCGCATGGCTACGGCGACGCGCGCGCATACCAGAAACCGGAGACTTTTTTTTTTGGCTTTAGCATGAAAATCACATGGAGTTTTGGCTGATAACGTGCTTTTACTAAGCCAGACTTCTTTTGTGCTAAGCAAATGTTTATGCTTAGCAGTGCCGTGAAATTGAGCCCGGTCTCCTCAACATGACATGATACAGCAAAAATTTCTCAATGTTGTTAAATTATGAGGTTTCAGTATGACTTAATGTTATGGCCGTTTTCATTGATTCAATTTTTGCATGGTTATTGTTCATCGTAACTTTTAAAGCAAAGTTCAGAACATTATATTTGTTCCCAAATCTGCCAAAGTTCATTCTTGTATCAACTGAATGATACATTCTTGGTTCTTAAAATTTAAACAATGAGCTGTATGTAAAGTTACCGATGCTGGGGTCTAATGACAACTGCTAATCTGGATTTTTTTTTTTTTTTTAGGTAGGGTGGGTTAACCCTAACCCTGCTGAATCCAAAACAATACAACATCAACAATTTTTCTGGTGGATTTAAAAAATTTCTACATTTGGAGTAAAGTGAACAAAGGATCTTAAGATAAATGTCAAATCCTGTGTGAATTCAGCACGCTTCACATTTCAGATGTCGGATATTGTTGGATTCAGCAAGATCCTAGTAAAATACCTTGAGCAGGGTTAAGGACAGTCCACTACTCAACATGTACTCCACAAATTCTAATCACTCTGATTTTTCTTTTCTCTTCAGTAAGACGGTATCGTTTGACATTGTCAAGGCCAGTAACGGCGACGCGTGGGTCAAGGCCCACGGTAAATTGTACTCGCCCAGTCAGATTGGCGCTTTTGTGCTGATCAAGATGAAGGAGACGGCCGAGAATTATCTCGGCACGCCAGCTAAAAATGCCGTCGTGACAGTGCCGGCTTACTTCAATGATTCACAGAGACAGGTACTTGCAGAAAAAAAGATAAAAATCTCATTTCACCCTTACCCTTACTGTTGAGGTTGTATGGTACTACATGCTTTGGCACCACAAAATACCACAGCTGTGGTAAAATTTGATGTTGTAAAACCCTTTTAATCTGACATAGTTGAGCGCTGTGGTCCAGTGATTACGGTGTTCGATTCATTGCCGTGGTACGTGGGTTCGAATCCGGACGGGGAACATGGGGCTTGTGTTCTTGGGCAAGATACTTTACTACAATCACCTCTTTCCACCCAGGTGTATAAATGGGTGCCTGTGAAGGCAGAGACCAGAATGCGCTGATCTTGAGCTGCTGCAAAAACTGGTCGCATTGCGTGACGAACAGTGGTCACAGTGCTTGCTTGACATATGATCTGACTGCTGGTGACTAGCCTTTGTTAAAAGTATAGTATAAGTGGAAATGAATTTTGACTGTCTGTGACTGTTAAGATAGCAGGAGGGTTAACAATATTTGTGTTATGGGGTATCATGTAGAAGTAAGATTAAAGTAGGGTCCAAGTATTTTTGTGAAACATATATTCAAATTTTTGATAAAATTTGTTCGCTACTAGGCCACAAAAGATGCTGGACAGATTGCAGGTCTCAACGTTCTCAGAGTAATCAACGAGCCTACTGCTGCTGCACTGGCCTACGGGATGGACAAGACAGACGACAAAATGTAAGGACAGAATGAAAGGGATAGCCAGCAGGAATATTGAACTACAAGGGGTGATAATTGTCCAGGGTTCCCACCACTCTGGAAATCAGGGAAGACCTTGAAAATGAGTTTCCATTTTTCCAGTCGGAGAAAACTCAGGGAATTTGACTTTCCAGCAAAATCCCTGGGCATTTTTGCTAGGATGCAACCTCCATCCTGCAAAATCCTCCAACTGCCTCCAAGTAAAAATTGCATACAGCCTCAGTCCTCAAAAAAGTTTGCGTATAACACATTCAAAGGTGCAGCTTACAGTTTGTTTAATTATTTTGAAAATTGTACAAGTATGGTGAGGAGTTGTCGATGCTATGATGTAAAAAAACTTTCCCTGAGCCATATTGTCTGTACTTCAGTACAAAATGAGGAAAGACTTTTTATCTGAGCATGAAGGCATATCTTGTGAGGTCAGCTTTGTGCTTTGTAAATATCTGATCGTATGACGTCAGAGTAGCCTAAATGTATGCACGGCTGAGCTTAAAGATAAGACCTTGACACAGTGCATCCTTCAAAATCAGCCACACATTTTGGCGATATAGCCTCAATCCTGCAAAATCCTCCATTTTGCAAAGAGGATTTTGGTGGATTTGGGATGGTTAGGGTTCAATGGAAAAAAATTCTGGAAGTTTGGAAATATTTTTTCTTTTAATAGGGAAATATTAGGGAAATCTGGGGGAATTTTGTTTTCATAACAGTACTGGGAACACTGTTGTCTTGGGAGGTAGGCATTGACACTTCTTTAACTCTGTGTATAGCAAGCAAATATCTGGGGCCTCAAAATAGCCTCAACTGAAGACGAAGAATTGATATATCAGTTTCAAGTACAGAAAGCATTGTTTAAATTCCATCTCTATAAGGTAGTTTACTCCCCGGTGAAAGAAAAAAAGGAATCCGTGTTTTTTTTTTAAAAATAAACATCCTGGAAACATGGGGTAGCTATTTACGTGCGTGAACACTTTTTATCAGTTATGTCTTTCTTGACATGCATCATGACGTTCACTTCCAGCATTGCTGTTTACGATCTCGGCGGCGGGACCTTCGATATCTCGGTCCTGGAGATTCAGAAGGGGGTGTTTGAAGTCAAATCCACCAATGGCGACACATTCCTTGGAGGCGAAGACTTCGACAATGAACTCTTGAAATACTTGGTTGCAGAATTCAAGAGAGAGGTAAGTGCATTCTTGTATCCATTGATCTTGTCCGCAAGTTAGTGTGTTCCATCTTGGGTCGTCTCTTACCTTCTCAAAATGGTGAGGAATTGTTGATGCTATGATGTAAAAAAAACTTTCCCTGAGCCATATTGTCTGTACTTCAGTACAAAATGAGGAAAGACTTTTTATTATCTGAGCATGAAGGCATATCTTGTGATGTCACCTATATTTTTAAAGAGGTTGTGGAATGCTCGAAGACATTTCCGTCATTATTCGGGTATATGTAGCCTAAGGTGTGATGAAATAAAAACGACTATTGTGTCTGTCATGAAATGAGTACAAAAGGTACTTTTGAGAGCTGTTTTTCAGGTCCTGTTTCGACCTGAACGTGCAATTTGTGTAAAAGTCGTCGTTGGGGGCAGCAAACAAAACATAGTAAATCGTGACGTAATAAACGGGACTTGTTTATACTACGCTGCATCGGGAGTCCTGTTTATTACGTCACGATTTACTATGTTTTGTTTGCTGCCCCCAACGATAACTTTTGACATATGACTTATATACGTGCAGATAAAATAAAACATTCATGAGTTTTGAGAATTTTCACGTTCACAAGTTTTTTTTTCTCTCCAACCTGCCCCCTCTAACCCCACAGCAAGGCATCGATCTGACAAAGGACAACATGGCTCTCCAGCGACTCCGAGAGGCAGCTGAAAAGGCCAAAATTGAACTCTCCTCAGCTCTGCAGGTAAACTGAATCAAGAAAAGGCATTGTATTTTTATTTAAAGGTACATAGGATCTTTGCTTCCTGCGCATGTTTTTTTTTCCCGCTTGAAACAAAAAAAATTGCTCAAAATCTGGCAGATGGCTCATTACAGCCAAAATGATGACGTTTTAATGTGGTGGCTACTGTACATTTTGAGAAAACAGACAAAACATATGCAAAATTTGTTGAGTATCGTTGCTAATCCGTGTAATAAAAAAAATGTGCCCACAGGTACTCTATTTTGAAACTGCCTGTGATTCATTTCTTCTGAACTGTACCATATCAGGCAGAATAATTTCACAGAATATTTGACACCAGATATGTCTTTATATTGAGCAAAGTTTCTGTCATAAAATCGGTATCTAATCATTTTGTTATCCCATTAAAACATCACCACCATATAAATGCTATTGTGGGAGACTGATGACATGGTGGGTTTGTCTACATAAATATTTATTTTCTCTAATCTCCCCCCCCCCCCCCCACCCACCCCAGACGGACATCAACCTTCCCTACCTGACTATGGATGCCTCGGGCCCCAAGCACATGAACATGAAGCTGACGCGTGCCAAGTTCGAGTCCATCGTAGACAGCCTGATCAAGAGGACCATCGGGCCCTGCAAGAAGGCCATCCAAGACGCCGAGGTGTCCAGCTCCGAGATCAAGGAGGTCCTGCTGGTCGGAGGGATGACTCGCATGCCCAGGGTAAGCTTCGTTAGTAAGGCAATTCCATATAACAAGAAAATGTCGATAGGCTGCTTCAGATTGCAATGCAGCACAAAGAGTTTGGCCTCAAAGAGGCACTTTCCAACTGCATTATGGTATTGTCAAGCGGTCACTGGCAGCGCAACAGGGGGAGGGGGCATTTGGTCTTCCTTGTACCCCCCCCCCCACCCCTACCACCCCAGTTTGCACATATTGGCCCAGGCAAGAATCAAATCCGGGTCACAATGGTGGAAGACAAGAAAAGTACAACTACGCCAACCTGACTCCCCCGGTAGTAGCAATGATACTACATTAAGGCATGCAACTTTTCCTCGGATCCGCTGATTTCCTCGTTTTTTTACTTCTCATGAATGCCATTACAAATTGAAAGATCCTGTACAAAGTCTGGTGTGGTTTGGAAATTCCTCATTTTTTTTAAATTCCCAGTTGCATGCCTGTACATTTGTAGTAGCCTAGAAGTGATTGCAAGTGTAACGGAAGGCTAGTGGACTTGTTCCCATCCCCCCTCCATTCTGGATTTGATAAAGGAGCAGGCAGGGACCAGTCTCGAACTGAGAGCTCTTACTGTTATCTTCTTTTGAAACAGGTTCAAGACACAGTCAAGGAGCTCTTCGGCCGCACGCCCAGCAAATCGGTCAACCCAGACGAGGCGGTCGCCATGGGAGCGGCCATCCAGGGAGGGGTTCTCGCCGGCGACGTGACAGACGTTCTCCTGCTGGACGTCACCCCGCTGTCCCTGGGCATTGAGACACTGGGGGGAGTCTTCACCAAACTCATCAACCGGAATACCACCATCCCAACGAAAAAGAGCCAGGTATAATGATAAGAACGACATACTTCAGAAATTCTCTGGCCTACAATGCCTTATCAGGGGACAATTTTCATGATAATCCTCAACAATTGTGCTAACATAATTTTCACATGTTAAACAGCCTTGCACAGTACACAAGCAATGCAATTTCAAGAAGTTTTGAGAATTTATCACGGCTGATATTTCTCATTCAAAATTTACACACAGTGTTTAATTTTGCCTCAATTTGAGCCATGCTGCCCTTTTATCAAAATATTCCTATATCTTTTGACGGAATGAAAATTACTTGGATGTGTAACAAAGAATGTTAGTTAAAGTTTTGCTCATGCAATGATGCTTTAATTTTTCGTCAACCGCATCAATCTTCACATGTTGGAGAATGTGGAAAGACTGTTTCTGAGCATGACAGCAAAATCACAGAAGAAGGAACGAAAGGGACGAACTGATTGACTTACATGAAACACCAAACCCACTTAAAACCAGTTCATATTTGGGGAATTATACTAGTGTTGTGGTCGAGTACATATCCATGAGTATGAGTTCTTTGCCATGAGTACGAGTACAAGTACAGGACAATTTTTTATGAGTACGAGTACAAGTATTTCCATGAGTACGAGTACAAGTACTTCCATGAGTATGAGTACCAGTACTTCCATGAGTACGAGTACAAGTACTTCCATGAGTACGAGTACAAGTACTTCCATGAGTATGAGTACCAGTACTTCCATGAGTACGAGTACAAGTATTTCCATGAGTACGAGTACAAGTACTTCCATGAGTATGAGTACCAGTACTTCCATGAGTACGAGTACAAGTATTTCCATGAGTACGAGTACAAGTACTTCCATGAGTATGAGTACCAGTACTTCCATGAGTACGAGTACAAGTATTTCCATGAGTACGAGTACAAGTACTTCCATGAGTACGAGTACAAGTACTTCCATGAGTACGAGTACAAGTACTTCCATGAGTACGAGTACAAGTACTTCCATGAGTACGAGTACAAGTACTTCCATGAGTATGAGTACCAGTACTTCCATGAGTACGAGTACAAGTATTTCCATGAGTACGAGCACCAGTACTTCCATGAGTATGAGTACCAGTACTTCCATGAGTACGAGTACAAGTATTTCCATGAGTACGAGAACAAGGACTTCCATGAGTATGAGTACCAGTACTTCCATGAGTACGAGTACAAGTATTTCCATGAGTACGAGTACAAGTACTTCCATGAGTACGAGTACAAGTACTTCCATGAGTATGAGTACAAGTACTTCCATGAGTATGAGTACAAGTATTTCCACGAGTACGAGTACAAGTACTTCCATGAGTACGAGTACCAGTACTTCCATGAGTATGAGTACAAGTATTTCCACGAGTACAAGTACAAGTACTTCCATGAGTACGAGTACAAGTATTTCCATGAGTACGAGTACAAGTACTTCCATGAGTACGAGTACAAGTATTTCCATGAGTACGAGTACAAGTACTTCCATGAGTATGAGTACCAGTACTTCCATGAGTACGAGTGCAAGTATTTCCATGAGTACGAGTACAAGTACTTCCATGAGTATGAGTACCAGTACTTCCATGAGTACGAGCACAAGTACGAGTACTTTCCACGAGTAGGAGAAGATTTCAGTGGGTACACGTGTTCTCCCGGGGTTTTCGCTATCAACTTTGGCATGAAACAAATGGAGAAGCCTCCCAAACAGTAGAATATTAGTTTTCTTCCTGCATGTACTTCTAAAAAACATTTTTAAAAACGAGTACGTTGTCATGACTACGAGTACGAGTATGAGGACGGGTAATTTTTTTCTTGAGAGTACGAGTACATTCTCATGAATATAAGGACGAGTACCAAAAAATTGTACGAGTACTACAATACTGAAATTTTCAATAAGTGCTTCACCGAGCATTTGCTTTCACCCGGTACTTTCCTATCGGAAAAAGTAATGCATTCATTCCTTTGACCCCTCACCTCTGACCTTTCACATTTGACCCTGCCTGGGTGCTTGTAGGTGTTCTCCACAGCTGCCGATGGTCAGACGCAGGTCGAGATCAAAGTGTGCCAGGGAGAGCGTGAAATGGCAGTCGACAACAAGGTCCTGGGACAGTTTCAACTTGTAAGTGACATGGTCATAAACACCCATGTTAATGACCATGTTTTTATTCTTTAAGTAATTTATTCTAATCTGAATAGGCATTCAATTTTTTGTCATATAAATAAATAGACATGACTTGTTCTGCATATCGATCTCAAGCATACCAGTCTCTTGGATGTTGACTCAGAGGTTTACAGAATGAGGGTGTGACGTCAACTGTATGTGCACTTCATGACCGTTCTTAAAAGCTCAATGCATTAGTTCACGGCATATGGTTCAGGTTATGCACGACTTGTCTTTTTCTGAATGTGATTAAACAGTTCATGTTTGTGAGAGTGCCAGGTGTACTACACAGAAGCAATGTATGCAAGAGTCTGCCTAACTTGCTCTTTTTTCCCCCAAACTTTTTTCTCTCTTTCTTGTGCATGGAGTCTGCAGTGGCTACATTTCTAGGTCACTTATTAAAATGTGTTTATAAATTATAATCAACAGGTGTCACATCATGTTGTGTTATATCCTTTTGTTCATTGGCAGGTTGGAATTCCCCCAGCTCCACGGGGTGTGCCGCAGGTTGAGGTGACCTTTGACATCGACGCCAACGGCATCGTCAACGTTTCCGCCAGGGACAAGGGAACGGGAAAAGAGCAACAGAGTAAGAGGGTTACTGTTGTTAGCGAAGCTAGGGTGTTTATGACCGCGGTGGCACGACCTGATATGTGCATTCATACCTCCAGTTCGAAGTCAAGTCCAGTTGTAATTACTTCCCGAGTCAGCCACAAGTCAAATCACAAGTCAGTCACAAGTCAATCACAAGCCAATCACAAGTCAATCACAAGTCCGTCACAAGTCAATCACAAGTCAATCACAAGTCAATCACAAGTCAATCACAAGTCAATCACAAGTCAATCACAAGTCTGTCACTAGTCAATCACAAGTCAATCAAAAGTCCTGTAGCGGGCGAGGTGAAGCCTTGTCATACATAATATAAAGAATACTTTACTTAATCTATCTGTTTACTTACATGCACAATGTTAGAGAGTATCCAGTGGTCCTTCCAAATTGGTGCTCTTAATCATTTTGGCCGTTGAGGAGGCATTGTGTTGGCCACTGTTTCTGAAGAGGTTAACCGTGGTTATGTGGACATGATGTCTCTTTCAGCATTTGCCAAATTTGGTAGTATAATCAAGACCTGTTTTCCGTTTGCCTGTAGTTGTTATCCAATCATCTGGCGGTCTCAGCAAAGACGAAATCGAGAACATGGTGCAGAACGCCGAGAAGTATGCCGAGGAGGATCGCAAGAAGAAGGCAAGTAGACAGTTGCCCTGACTTTTCCAGTCAGGAATTTGGGAAACATAAAAAAATCAGGAAATAGCTTAAAATATTTTATGCACAGGCTACCACTGTGTTGCATATGGTGAGGAAAGGATGGCTGTAAGGGGAGAAAGGAGGCCCTCGCTTGCCAACAAGTTGCCTGTGTATTAATCTGTATCTTAAATGCTTTGCTGCAACCACCTCTCGACTCTCCCCCCCCCCCCCCAACCTTGTTACAGTGAAAATGTTTCTCATGGAAATATCAGGGGAAAACTCAGGGAATTTTGTTTTCATCAAGTGCTGGAAAGCCTGATTTATCATTCTGTCATTATTTTTCTCCCTACTCAGGAGAGTGTGGAGGCCATCAACCAAGCCGAGAACATTGTACATGACACCGAGAGCAAGATGGAAGAATTCAAAGATCAGCTGCCAGCAGATGAGGTAACAAAAAAGTCTCAAAACAGGGCTCCCGCTGCCTGGAAAAAACCTGGAAAAGTCACTGAATTTTATTTTCAATTTCCAGGTCAGGGAAAGTCATGCAAATTTGAAAACAACATGACAAAAGTCACGGAATTTTGTGAGGACCAATTTATTTTAAATTTGAAACTTTTGTATATTAATTATTTAGGATTTATACCGTACAAAATGCAACAAGTTTATCTGATACCAGCTTTTGATTTCAAATTTTTTGCCGCCTTTGTATTCAGCAGTTTTTACATGTTTTACCATTTTGATCTGCGTTTTGATGAACTTTGTCATGGATTTTCATAATTTGGTCATGGAATGGTCGTGAAAAATTCATGGAATTTTATTTGCCTAAAAGCGCAGGAATCCTGTGAAAATGACATTGAAAAATGTGATACGCTCACAACCTTTTTCCTTGTGAATGTATGGACCCTTTCCTACGTTGGGTTGAAAAAGCTTTGGCCAAAGTTCTCAACATAATAGAGGAGCAACTGAGAAAGTTACAATGCACTAGAATATTATTTTAGCAGAATTATTTTAGTTTTAAAGTGGAAATCCCAAACTCTCGCAGCTTTTCAGAAAAACAATTTCAGGGTGAGTAAAAAAAACCACGACACCCAAATGGCAGAACCAAGTTTTGAATGAAGTTTTGCCTGTAGCACTTTCAATATCTAGGATATGAAAGCCCAGTCATTAAGCTTTCTTTTAGTACAAGAATCATTCAAATTACTTGTGTACTTTTCAAGTTATGGAATTTTGAACACAAACACCGTTTAAAGTTCTGTCCACGGATCACAAAAAAAGTAAGCATTCCTTCAGCAAAACAAAAACAATTCTCATTGGGATGCATGTGAATTGTTTTCGTTTTGCTGCACTTAACTTTTTTATGATCCGTGGACAGAACTTAAATGCAAAACTTGAAAAGTACATGAGTGATTTGAATGATTCTTGTACCGTCAGAAAGCTCATTAATTGAGCTTTCATGTCCTAGAATTTGAAAGTGCTACAGGTAAAGCTGTTAGGGGCATTACTTGGAGTTATGGGTTAAACTTACAAAGCAAGTCATTTTTTTCTCCACAGTGCGATAAACTGAAGGAGGAGATTGCCAAAGTGAGGGAGATTCTTACCAAGAAGGATACGGAGACAGCAGAGAATATCAAGCAAGCCGCATCCACCTTGCAACAGTCGTCCCTCAAGCTCTTTGAGATGGCTTACAAGAAGGTCGGTGTCTTGAGTCTAGTTAAGTGTCTTGCCCAAGGGCACAAACCCCATGTTCCTGGCAGGGTTCGAATCCACGTACCATCGTACATGTGTCAAACACCGTAACCACTTTGGACGTCACCTTGTACCATATGAGTTTTTAAAAAAAACTGACATACATAATCCTTTATAATGGGCCATGCACGAACAAAGAAAGCAGGGTTTATGGGGTCAGACGAACCTTTACCAAAAATATGTTACAAGACATCATTTCGTTCACGGAGACCTTTTCTGTCTAGAGGGGCCTCGTAGTCGAGCGGTTAGAGCGTGGAGCCACGGAGTGGAAGGTTGGTGGTTCGAATCCCATTCGGACCAAAAACGGGAAAACTCTCTCTGACGACCCAACAGTAAAATGGGTACCTGATTCGTTCAGGGAAGGTGAGACGGCGAGAGGAGAGGACTGGGCCCCGCCACTCATATGCCGCGCCCCAGACACAGTGGACCTCTAACATCCCACTGCTCCTACGGCTAGTAATGGCCATGGGATACCTTTACATTTTACCTTTTCTGTATGTTGGCTCTTATCTCTGCTGTCTTTTAGCCAGTCCCTTGTGAAAACTACAAACTCTTGAAGGAACATGAGCACTAAGACTTACGCAATTTTTCCTCTCATCAATTTTTCAGATGGCATCAGAAAGAGACCAAAGCAGTGGAGGTAGCGGCGGCGACAGCAGCAGCGACAGTAGCAGTAGCAGCGACAGCAGCAGTAGCAGCGACAGCAGCAGCACCAGCGAAGAGACAACAGAACAGAAGAAGGAGAACTAGAATAGTCAGTAATCCATCGTGGGAAATAACTAATTTATAGCATCGTTCCAGCAAAGGGGAGAAACATATAAATACAGCAGACCTTTTTAATACTTGACTTTTGGAGAGAAAAAAAACGGTGTTTGCGCAGTCTTAGAATAACATTGCGGGTGTAATTGTGTCTATATTGTGTCATCATCGATCCCTGCTTAGAACTTTTTTTAGAACCGAATTCATTGATGAACTGCAGTGGAAGTTGTACAGTTTAAGTCAGCGCGTCGGGTTTGAATTCTGAGTTATGTGAATTTGTGTCACAGTAGGTTGACTTCTGAATGCGAGACCGAGTACTTGCGAAGGGGACCCACAAGGCACTTGAGCGTTGGTACCCAAGTACCTGGTTTTGGGTTCTCTTTATTTGATGTAGCCTACTCTTACTTTGTCTTGTGGCAATATGATGTAGTGTCTTTTATTCGTTCAATTTTTTTAATACTCCAGCCATTGTCACTTTTTCTATCCTGTATCAGAATCAGTACTGATGCACTAAAAGGGAATGTGGAAATGCATACATCTCTGTGGGGCTGACACTTATTACCTCTGCCAAGGAGGTTTTGTTTTCATCGGATTCGGTTAGTTGGTTTGTCTGTTTTCAAGATAACTCAAAAAGTTATGGACGGATTTGCATGAAAACATTTTTTGGGGTGGTCCTTGCTACAAGTACAAATTGATTAAACTTTGGAAGTGATCCGATTCTGGGTCTGGATCCAGGATGTTTTTTAAGGATTTTTCCACCATTTATACGAGGTTTGCGCTCTCTGAGTGCTTTCTAGTTGAGGCTGTACGCAGGCCCGTCTGTAGAATACATTAAACTTTACCTGGTGGTGAAAATTGCAGTGAAGGCTGGTGTTCAACAACCTGCACGGATCCAATTTTTACATGTACGCATGTAAGTCACATGTTGTTCAGTTGAACTTTAACCCTAACCACCCCCAACCCTTCAAAATCCAGCCGCATGTTTTGTTGGAATCTGTTGGAGTGAGTACTGCACTAGTAAACTGATTATGCTTTACATGGAGTCAGGTATACCACCATAATCAGAGTCCAACAGTTTAAGTGTTGAATTAATATATGGTGTTGGATTTTGCAAGAGTGAGGAAGGTTCCTAGTAAATCACTGAAGGGGTTGGGGTTAAGGAAGGTATTTCTTTGCCGTTAACCCTTACCTCCCCAACTCCATCAAACCCATCCCCCATTTTGGGGGACTTGGTCCTGCAGGCTTGGTTTGTTTTTGATGGAGTATGATGGACTTGGGCCTGCAGGCCTAAAGCAAAGCATGCATTGGAAGCGGTGTGGTTGATGGATTTTTGGTGGACTTGGTCCAGTACTTGGTAAAAGACAGTAGGGAGTTGGTGTTAATCCTATTACGTGTGACCTCACTTTTGATGCGACTTGTGATTGTACTTGTAATCTACTTGTCTAGTACTTGGCATCTCATTCTTGATTCCATCCCGTTCCGTTCCACTCTACCCACCATCATTTAATGCTACTGGTATCATTTTGTGTAGTCGCGCTCTTTGTAAGAAAACTTGTCCATAGCGTAGGGACCTTACCCACTCAAGCTAAGTATGTTCAAGAATCATTTGTTTCTGCCGTGAAATGATTTTTCAGTATAAATAATTATCTGTATAGATCAAATTGAAATGAAGTTTTTGAGAAACGCCAACAGAAAAAGATCTCTTTTTGAATGGTATGAAAGTGGGGAGACCAGTTGTTAACACGCAATGCTTCAATAATAGGGCTAAGATTGTCTTCGGAAGACATTGTCTAGCAGAACCATTTTCTTACAACTAAAAAAGAGGTCTCTTCCTCTCTTCTCTCGCAGTTAACCGTACATGTACAGTTTCGTATCTGATTTTAAAAATACACAATTCTTTTGTTATGATTTATGATCATGTATGATGTTATACAATTTCTGATGCAAATTTATGTATAACAATCGGTAACAATTTAATTTAAAGCATTTGAGACTTCACGTTTTCGTTAACACGAGATTTGTTGATGCAAATCCGGTAAGCAGTTCTCAATTTTTGTTTTGCTTGTTTATGATACATTTTCAATAACTTGTCAATGTATTCTATTTGATATTTCCTTTGGGGGGGGGGGGTGCTAAATATTTTTAGTGTACAGTATTGTACCCGTAAAAGGGATGGGAGGAAATGACAATAAATAAAATGCATTTTGGAAAACAGTTCCCGCTGTATCTGCGTGTGCACATGATACATTTTTACAAATTCCCGTAAGAAACAATTTTGCACTAGCCAGAAAGTTTCATGGTTCAGCCGTAAAGAATGTAGCATCCGGACGCCACTTCAGCGGTTGTGTACAAAGTCTATGGAGAGTCAGGAAAAAAAATCAGAGTATTTCCTAACAAAATTGTACACGTTTCTTATTCCCAGATTCATGTCTTTTCAACATTTTTGCAATGACTGACCTTTATTGAGATTATATATGAAGAAAAAAGTGGCGTCAGGTTGCAACATTCTTTCCATTAGGCCAGATATAAAAAATTAACCCGTTTCTCTTCTCTGCCCACTTCCTGTTTCCCGTCTGCCTTTTCTTAATCACATTTTTGCAATATCTTTTGTTTTATATTTGTTTCCAGCAAATTTGTTGCAATGTGTATGTATGCACGTTCAAATTCTGGTAGAAAGGGTGATGGCTCTTTTGGTATTGGACACAAACGAGTTGAGTAAATAAAAAGAATCGATCTGCCATTTGAGGAGGGAAAAACAGATTTACAGAAACAATGTATTTTATACTTGGCCTTTTTTTCCAGTGCGCACCCTGCAAACTTACTGGCTCAATACTGCCTGTTCATGTTTTACTCATATACAACACAATAAAGGAATACAATTTATTACACTCTTGTCGTAACTTCATTCCATTTTAATTTTCCACTCTTGTTATTAATATACATATTTTATTTTTTTAGAAATATTTTTACACTTGCAAACATATTTACAAATATTACAAGCAGACAGACCTAAGTAATGAAAACGTCCATGTTTTTACTGTTTAAAACAGACTGATTGTAATACTCTGTCCCATACTGAGGTTGAAATTCTCCATTAACTTACTTTTTGCTTTGGCCTCTAGTTTACTTTTTGGTTTGCTGTCAAGACCTAGAGATAATATACAACATTTGCAAACATTAAAAAAAAAAAAAAAAACCTAAATTATTATGAAATACCTTGCTCAATTGTCAGTGAATGATAGTCTCAAGCATCCTGTGAAATCATGGCACCTGGTGTGCCAAGTGGAATTTTTGTATCAATTTCCAACAATGGTCCATCAACCATCGTTGGGGAAAAAAACCGACTTTTTTCCAAATACTGCCCCCAATTTACTTACTTTAGTATTTAGTCCACGTTTTGTTTGCAATCGGTTACACATCCATGAACGGGTGCAAGCCAGCTAGACTGGTTCCATGACCTTACAATTCCCGGACGTCTATATATTGCACTGTTTCGTCTGAAGTAGGGTCAGGGAACCAGACTTATGAACAGCATTTTTTTTCTAGGTTTTCCAGCATCTACGAACACAAAACTTTAAACAGGTCAGCGTAACATTATTTGCTGTAAAATCCTAACCCCCAAACTCATCAATTTCTGAAAATCACAGCAAAAGCAAATGTACATTATCATAAAGTTCCTTGAATTGAGGTATGAGCAGTCATGAAAACTGTCCATATTTGTTCCTGTTAAAAACAGATTGACCATAACAATTTGTTCCATACAGAGGTTAGAATTCACAATTATTCTACTTTTTGGTTTGTTGTCAAGACTTTGGTACATGGTATTGAGGTATCAGCAGTCATGAAAACTGTCCCATTTTGTACTGTTTAAAAGCAACAACCCATAATAATCTGTTCCATACTGAGGTTAGAATTCACAGTTAATCAGGGGCGTGTTTTCGCAAACGTGGCGTCAAATGGATACCCAAAAACATATTTACACATGTGCACAAAAACGCTGAACCACCAAAATATTTTTCTCATGGCAAAATTTATGGATTTTGGCGGATTCAGGATACTTTCTAGTAAATATACCCAAGGGGTTAGGGTTAATAATTTGAATCAAAATTGCAAGGTATTGGACACCATTTGCAAACGTTCAAAAATGAAACTACTTCAAATAGCCCACTTGATCGTAAGCAATCCTGTGAAATCATTGAATCATCGCACTTTCAAACGAAACCTATGCTTTGCGTCGAAAAAAAGGAAGAATTTTTACAGTTTTCTTAAAAGGTATATCTACTGAGCTGAAATTGCAACAGTTTTAGTTTTTCAATAGCCTGCTTCCAATTTACAATAGCTTCAATTGTATGGATACCATATTTCATAATAAACGAGAAATTCCAAAACACTTTTTAATCACAAAAAAAAAAAAATAGACTTGTCAGAACACCTTTGGTATATTACTTAATGCAAGCCTTTTTTTTTTTTAATTTTGGACTACAGTTTTACTGTAACTTAAACTCCCTGGGCATTCTCGGTTGAAACTTGTCCAATTTTAATTGGACAAATTACCTTCATTTTTGGTGACAGTACAAATTTTTCAATATAATATAAATTTTTTAAAGTTTTACCACAAGCTTATTAATTAATTCAATATAATTCTTTAAATGTCAGTATTTTATGAGTTCTTTAACAGAAAATGCAGAACAGAAAACTTTATACAATTAAAGACTGTGACGGTTTGGTGAGCTTGAATGTGATTTTAAAAAGTTGGGTTTTTAAATCAAACTAAAGCCATTCTGCTACAGCACAGTGATATTGCGTAGTTGCTTGGGAGAAATGAACAAGAGTAAACTGCTCAGATTAACTTTTTACCAATTTTCTTTTACAACTTCGGATCCCCGAAAAATTCAAACCTCTTTGGTATACGGGCTCCGTACACAACTTTGGATCCCCTAAGAGTTCAAACTTCTTTGGTGTATGGGCTCAGTGCACAAGTACCCCCTCAACGTTAAGAAAGAGAGAGTTGGGTGAGACCACTGGAAAAGATAATATAACGCATTGCCGACGATGCCTGACGCTTACGCGAAAACACTATACATAGCTTTGTGCACATTCAGAACAAAGTTAGCATGATTGCATTCTACATTACTTCAAGACGGACCACAGATTTCAAGATTTGGGAGGTTTGTGTCTCATCTCAACAGCAGGTATGCTCCTTAACCATAACAGAACTCGACCCACCAAACCCCAGCGGCATGTTTTGTTGGAATCTGTCAGGATGGGTACAGCACCCCTAAACTGACAGTCTTTAACACTGGTTTGGCACACCTCCAGAATCAAAGTCAGAAATATGTGCGCGCGGTTTCCAATATGGTGTTGGAATTTGCCAGGATGGGTACTAGTAAAATCATGCTAGGGAGTTGGGGTTAGTGTCCACGTATAAGGTTCCACTGTCGTGGAAGGCAACATCCTTATAACTGACCGCCAATCATGTCGACCACCATTTCCCATGTTATAACTGGGCCCTTCGATACAAAAAGGGAGGGGCCACCTATCACCTGACAAACGTAACGGCAGTAAAAAAAAACTACTCCAACATCTGGACAGGTAACTTCCACTTTCACATCCAGTACATATCATTGAACTGTTATAGGGCAAGATTGGCCATACCGCTGATGTGATCTTGGTGACTGCTTTCCCCGTGCCGCTCGGAGGGCGCCTGCTCTTTCGATGCCTTCTCCACGGGATCTTGTTGGGCCACCTCCACTTTGGGTTTGTAGTTTCGAGCTCCGAATATCGTGCTGCCGACCCGGATGTTGGTGCTCCCGACTTCAATCTGGTGGGTTTTTTTGGGGGGGGGGAAGGGGAGATTTTAATTCTTGTTACAACATAGCAATAGAAATGTGCTTCACAGACATGTGTGACCTGTCGTCATGAAATCAGGTTAAAGTCGGATATTTTGCAGTACAGTGGAAGAAAAATTTGAAGGGGAGGTCGGTATTTTTGTTTTCAGCTGAACCTTAATCTGTAAGCACTGTGCTACCTTTTTCATTTTGTTGTTGTCCTGCCAAACATCTTTAAAATCTATTTCATCCCATTTTACGAGTTGACTGTGCATTCGTTAACACAACTGCAAAATTTTAAATGCCATTTTCTCAAGAATAGGTTTTACCACTTTACGTAAAATTAGTGGTCTATATTTCCGTAGACTTTTAAAGACTTTTCTACACGCTAAGAAACTTACCGCATGTTCAAAGTCATTGGACATTCCCATGCTGAGCTCAATGGCCTCCTTGGCCAGGCCAAACTTACTGCAGATTGCTTCCCTGCACTGGATGAGGGTCTAGAGTAAGTGGGAAAAGGTGCAACCAGTTAGTTATCGTTTTAAGGCCAAAAAAAAAAATATTCGGTCTCTGGTCAGACCAAAGTTCCGGAATTGACGCGGCCACGCGGCTTTTTTTTTTTTTTTTGGCTTTTTTTTTTTCTTCTTCAAGCTTTGATTGTACATACAAGGTGGGTACTATTTTGCTTTTTTGGTGTCCTCATGTACATTGGTGTCCTCCATAATATGCCTTGGTGCTTTCGATCATTTGCCTTGGTGCAATTTCCCATTCCTTGGTGCTCTTTGGTAAAAAAAAATTGAGGTGCGGAAATAGAGGGCGCTGTTGGAGCTACCGCGGAACATTTTGGAAAAAAAAAAGATCGACGCGCATGATTAAAATCGACGCGCGCGCTGACCAGAGACCGACTTATTATTTTTTTTGGCCTAATGGATAATTTTTTTTTACCTCTGCATGTTGTTTTAAAAGCATATAGGATCATTGGCATTTTACCCAAAAGTAACCTACGGAATTTGTATCAAAACAGCATTAGCAAAGTTCAGGGTACTTGACCATCTTGTTATATAAAAGAAAAGCTTTTTGACTGTCTATTTAATACAGACAGTTACTATTGAAAATGTTGAGATTAATAGCTCGGCATTCTTCAACTAGTTTTGCAAGTGTCCTTTAATTTGGCAATTAATATTCATTGGTGAGAAAACTTGGGTCGATTTGATCACTTCTCTCACCTGGAAATCAGGATTGGGTCCCTTGCTCAGGTCGTGATCGAAGGCGCCGATCGTCATGATACCCACAACATCCAGGGCGCTACAATTCTGCCTCACGTGGTCGTAGAGATCGCAGCATTCTGACGGTGAAACGCCGTGCTTTTCTGCAGGAAAAGAAAAATGTGCACTCCGTAAGATTAGACAAGCTTTGGGTATCTCAGCCATTCCAATAGGACAGACACCGCAAACACAACCAGGAGAAGACCGGTAAGTATAATTATATTCAACTGTAAGTATCATTATATTCAACTTTAACCCTCCTTTTGTTTGATCAGTCACAGACAGTCAGAAAATCAATCCTCTTCCCCTGCCATGCCTTTTACACAGGCTAGTCACCAACAGTCAGATCATATTTCAAGCAAACACTGTGACTAGTCAAATTCAGTCAACAGACAAAAGCAGGCAAGTGGTAGGCACAGATGGCTTATCAATCACCTACAGTCAAAGCATAGCTGTATCAAGTTACTTAAACAGTCACAGCCAGTCAATCCTGCTTTATGTAGGCTGGGAGATCGTAACTGTTACAGTCACTGGATTGATTTTGACTGAAAGGACAACTTTGCACAGAACGTATGTTTGCAGAGGAGGGTTAAGCTTGCTTTTAAATAAATGCATCAAGGCATTTTTATTTGTATTGCCTTGATCAACATTTCAAGTTGTACTTATTACTTACTATTTGCTTTAATTCAATTTAAATTTTGATGGTATGCCTAAGCCCATGTAAAGCATAATCAGTTTACTAGTGCAGTACTCACTCCAACAGATTCCAACAAACCCTGGTGTTGGAGTTTGACTGGATGGGGATTGTTAGGGTTGAGTTTAGTGATTACACTCACGTTCTTCTCCACTCGTGTTGATCTGCACCATGACCTTTAGCCTGCGACCTTTGGCCAGCTTCTGCCAAGTCTTGTTCAGCTCGTTGGCTAGCTTCAGCGAGTCCACAGTTTCCACCATGTACAGGTTCGGCGACTCTACAAAAGGAAGAAATTCATTCAATACGTAAAAAAAAATTAATATTTCTACCGGCTGCAAATAAACTCTTGTTGTAGCCAATTCAGGATTTTTAACCACTTCGTGCCGGGATTATTTTTGCCAAAAATTTCGATTTTCACAAAAGGCAAAATTTTCCAGCCAACTTCTGATATACAGCCAAACGCAACAAACACTGATTCGCAAGAGTAATTTCAACAGTATTTGTACGATATTTCTTGCCGAAACCTCACGTTTCAATACACCAGGGTGTGCACAATAGGCCATGCACAACGGCCAATACAAGATCCACACACTTGGTTTGTGTACAAAAGGCACGAGGGATTAGCGTGTTTAGACGTCACCCAGAGGCGAGTCGAGGCAATCTTGATGTTTTAATCCGTGCCTGTGTATAAAAACAGCCAGTGCATGTTATCACGTCCTCCGACGCGAACTGGTTAAAAAAAATTACGCTGGATTAGATTGGTTATTGCATTTAATCAGAAATCATATGATGGACTCACCGAGGACCTTTTTCACTTTGTTGGTCTGCAGATGACCGATGAAGTGCCACCTTATTTCATTGCAGGCCTTCAACAGCTCCTCGTCATTAGATTTCTCCACTAGTTCTTGTACCTAGGTTTTCAATATGTGAATGAAAAACACATTGTCAATCAAACAAGAACAACATATGCACAGCACGAATATTATAAATTTACATATCAGAGGTATAAGAACAGATTCTGTATAAACAAGGTTTTAAGTACTCAAAATAAAAAAAACTTCAAGCTAACCCCAAGCCCTTTTTGCTAGGAACCATCCTCCATTTTCAACATTTTGCACTTAAGTTCAAATGAAGGATACCCAGCGCCTCAATCCTTCAAAATCATCAGACAGTCCTGCCTCTCAAAATGCATTCATCCTCAATCCTCCAAAATCCTCCTCTTCTTCAAACACAATTCATCCTCAATCCTCCAAAATCCTCATGTGCTTCAACACCATTCATCCGCAATCCTCCAAAATCATCATGTTTCTCAAACACCATTCATCATCAATCCTCCAACATCCTCCAAAAACCATCGGGAGAATTTTCGAATTTTGAAAAAGTTAAAATTTAATACATCACTGACAACAGACTTTTTAAAGTTTAAAAAAAGTATTTTCAAAGTCTAAAAAGAAGTCTGTAATTACAAAACTGTCCGAGTTGTACACCTACATAATTCTCTCCAAAGTTTTTCTGTCCATGTTTGTAGGCTTCTAGGACCATCTCCTTTGGTTTAGTCTTGGTAACAGCCACTAGTCTCAGGTTGGGTGATTCTCTGGACACATTCTGCCGCGAAAGTCGGGGAACAAAGAAAGAACCATTTCAACCATGAATATTGATGACACAGGAGTAGTACTTGTGCATTCTCTGCGATGATTGTATTTTGAAGTATTTCCTAACAAAATTGCAAATGTTTTTCAGTCCCAGATTCATGTCTTTTTCAACGTTTTTGCAATGACAGACCTTTACTGAGATAACGATGAAAAAAAGTTGCGTCAGGATGCACTATTCCTTCCAAAAACATTATGTTATTCACTTTTTGAGTTGGGATGAAGGAAAATCAAAGTTTTTAATTTGTTTAAAATCATCCAAGTGGTGTAGGGTTTTCTCTTTAAATTAGGGAAGCACTATTTTTTCCTTTTTTGCATTATAATTAAGACAAACAAAAGTATCATTAGCTAAAAAAATCAAAATGTGCAAATGTGTTCTTGAAGCTTGGGTAAATCAGTATTAATATTTTTAACAAAACATGTTCTCAAAACAAAAAATGTTACCAAGTCCGAAATTATGAATATCTTTGAAGTTTGAGTCACCATAATCGGCCAAGTGAGGCTTGCAACGCTCACGCGCTGTCCGGTGCAAATTGAATGCAAGTGCACTGAAATAGGACCATATTATTAGGAGGTCTGACGATACATTTGCCCAAGTTCCAAAAAGGTGCACTTGAAGTTGAAGTTGAATGATTGGCAGTTTAATTTATTGGTGGAAAAATAGTGGCAATACTGAATTAAAATTTCTCCCAATTTCTTTCCTCTGTCTTAGCCCTGCAATATGTAAATTTCGTCCTAAACCGGTTAAAATCCAGGCCTGCAACTAGTGCAAGCCCACTTTTTGGAACCATATCATCAACTACACGTCTAACAGAACAGCTGATGACTGAGCGCAAACACTTCCGCATTGCCTAGCCTTGAATAACGTACACAATGAACGCATAAAGTACGTGCATTGGCACGCACAATGTCTCAGTACTTTTCCATCATGCATGAACTTCGACCCAAAATTTTCCACCTAAAATTTGGGGAGCAGATTCCCGACAACTCATCAACTGCTTCCCAAATCATCTCGCAAACTTCAAACTACTTCGTCTCACCTCGTTTCTAGACTGCCAGGCCGCCTCTGTTCGCTGCAGGACGACTTGCAACGCCCTGCCTATCTGTCCAAACTCAGATTCGGTAGCCATCACTGCGTTGAAAACCCGCTGCATTGTTCACACACAGTTCGTGCAGCGTTTTAAATGCACGTACGTCGGGTATTTTGTACCCGACGGCTGATGGCTGTTCCAAACATAGACTAGCTTCAAGTCCTCTTCGGTGTCTTTTGTTTATTTATGCTGAAAAAAAAACACGCCCCCTTTTCGATGTATCGACCTTCTGGTGGCGCCCTACTGGACGTCCACTATTTTTTCATATTTCCAGAACACTTCGAAAAAGGGAAAAAAACTTAATTCATTATTTAAAAATAAAACAAAAATAGCATCAATATCACAAAATATACCAAAACAAAGAAATAACTTTCAAAAGCCGCATTATATATAATCTCTATAAAAGGAAAGGAGATAATGAGTAGAACATCGATTTCAAAATTTGTCTTCATTTCAAGTCTCGCAAGTTGTCTAAAATGACACTTGTTCAGGGGGCGATTTTTTTGTCCATACCACACATTCGCTACTATGTACCGTCCGTATGTCATGACCTCGAATCCCACTGGGTATGATTTAAAAAAAAAATCCTTTCTTTTACTTCGTTTTCTTTTCTCTTAAAAAGGTTTTTTTTTTGCCATTTACGAACATTTTTCTTTTGCTCATGTGTGGTTTGGAGAATTTTGTTCAGACCTGACTTGCAACTCAAATCACTTCGATATATGCCAAATGGGATTTATGCTATGGAAAAAAAAACATTTGTGTGATGAGCAGCCCTGGTGATGAGATCACAAACCCTTATTCTTATATTATTGTAGTATAAGCGCAAAAGCTGAACTAGGACAAAAACATTTTTTTTATGAAGTATACAAAAAAAGCGATAACACTAATTAAGGCCAAGTAAAAAGAAAATACCAGTTGATCATCGTCCCCGCCCGCTTCCTTTCTTGAGGCTGCATCAATTTTGTTTTACGTTTTAAATTTCAGGCATAACATTTTTTAAAAGATATATGTCATAAGTTCGGATGCTTCTAATAGCTTTACCAATGTTCAGTAAGTACTAACTTAAAAAAAAGTTTTGCTGTCATCAACTAGTAGACAACTACCCAGAATTGTATTGAATAGTACATTTATTTCAATGCTGTCTTTGGGAAAAGGAAATATACAGTGTTTACAATTAGTTGAAATACAATATTATGGGTTAACTTATTATCAAATTATTACAAAAAGGACAACATTTAGGTTTTGGTGAAGCAAAAATGTTTTCGTACCCTAACCCGTAGGGACAGACAATGGACTACAACAGCATAAATTGTGCATGCCAGGTACCAAGACATAACAATACAAAATAAATTTAAAAAAAGTTATAAGTATGCATTAAGAATATTTTTTTTGGACACTGCAAAAATATAATGATGGTGATTTTTTTCAAAGCTAAAACAACCAGGTATTTAATATGTATACATACAGTTTCCTAAATTTAAGTAGTGAAGATTTTTAATTCGTAATAAAACTATCAAATAAAAAAAGCCTTGTCATTTTTAAGACAAATATCGTGTGAGCTAGACGATCAACCGGTGTTTTTTTTTTTTACTTGGCCTAAAAGCAAGTTTATAAGAATAACTCCAACCAACTTTATTGCAATAAACCTTTATGACGATCTTAAATAACTCATGTGAAGCAAATGTTGTTATTTTGTTTCTCTGTAAAACATTTTTTAAAAATTTTGTTAGCTATACATTTGTATTTATAAAAACGTTAACTTTCACGTCAATCGAAAGTCACTAGACAGAGCATTGCCGTTGGGGGCGCTGCGTGCAAACGCCGGCGCGGCAGAGTGTCGAGTTCCACTTTCATGGAATGACGGATACACGTTTGTTGGTTCATGGTCTTTGACTATTCATTCACACTAAAAGCAAAATCGTACGATGATTCATTTCGTGTAAGCACATGGGCAAAAACCAAATGTGTAGGTTGCTGGTACTACGCGGTAATATCGTTTAAGATATCAGTGGAGATCGGTAAGTGATGATTTAGAGTTGACTTAGACTTACTGTTCTTGCCTCGAAATATAGTTACTTATTGTTTCAAAATTAAGAAAGGTAATAACATGTTATTTATTGACGGGCTGTTTTCAGGGCGACATTAGTTTGTTCGCACGGTCCGTGCTTGCGCCTAAGCTCGTATAAAACGCCCTCTTGTGACGGAATTGTTTCCTTTCTCGTTTTGCGTAAAACCAGCTCACCGGAGGACGTCTTTTCAATCACTTTTTTATATTACAAAAAGTTTTTGATATTCGAGATATGACAATAAATCGACAGAAAAAGGACTATTTTTTTATCAGATAGAATTGTAAACTTTTTGGCAAGACACTTGATGAAAAAATGGAAAAAAAGCAGGACCGGTCCACGGTACTTTAAAAACTTTGCATTCTTATATACATTTTTAATTGAATAGAAATGAAAGATGAAAAAGATACATAACAATTATCTTAGAAATTGATATTTTAAACTGTTTATTTGAAAGTGTGTATCCATTGAGCTGAAACTTCAACAGGTTAGGTTCTGAACATTTTTTTTTTGATTTTGAGCAGTGTTATTATTGAAAATGAACAAAATGCATGAAAAGCAAATGGTCCTATCTGGCCGTAAAATAGTTTCTTAATTTTTCATCTGATAGATAACTTGTTCACAGAGGAAACCCAATCCTGTTGATTGATAAGATGGATACCAAGGAAAAGGAGAGCAATGAGTCGGACGTCTCAATGAAGATCAAGGAACACGCTGCAAAGAGAACAAGAAAATTGTCCTGCAGAAATCCAGGTGTGTTAAATTCTGATATTTAAAAAAATAATTTTAAAAACTTTTTTCTTCTACCCAATTATGTATACCAAAGTTTAACACTTTTCCCTAACCGTGCTCAATCCAACAGGATCCAACGATTTTACATTTCCGTTGGATCCTGTTGGATCATTTTGAGCAGTAAACCCCTTCGCTCATATTTAGTTTGTGGGTGAATTTGGCTGAATAAGTTGAAATCTTAAGTTTTAGCACCATTGGACCAAGGGTTTTTGCGCTACCACCCGCCTTTGTTTGGTGATTTTGGGCAAAATGGGCGTGGCCGCCAATTTTCAAATGACCATATCTAAATAACCTGTAGTATATAGGCCAAATTTGTTGATCTTGCTTGCTTTGGACAAGGTAACATCATCAGGAATCCGAACTTACCATTACTTTTCATGGTGGAGTAATTTGAAGTATGACGACCTATTGACCTTTAATTTGACCTTGAATCTGACCTTGTTGATCACATGACCTTGAGACGAACTTGGATGAAAATTATACCAACACTTGTTTTCTACAAAATATCCAAAAAATTGGGGGTATAATACTTTTTGTTTGGTTTGTTACTCATCTCAAAGTTTGCAAAATGTGATGTCACTATACATTTCTGACAGGGTAAAAAAAATTCCTGCTTTAAATCCACTAGTACACTGCACAGGGATATCATTTTGCAACACTTTTGCCACATACATAGTATGTACGCTGCATGCTGAGAGCATAGCTAGAATGCCACCAGTTGGACTACATGTATTGTCAAACGTCATCATTAAATAGTCTACTCTTGGAGTACATAGCTATTGATAACCAGTGGTGCGATAAATTCACGTCAGTTGGTTTGTGGCTAGAATGATCCCACTAAGAAAAGAAAACCAACACAACCTTTGTAAATCTATTTTAGCTGTCTGCCAACCCTTTTAAAAAAAAGGCTGTTATTTAGGGTTGCTGTTGCGCACTAACAGATCCAACCTGCGAGTGGACTGGTTCCCAGTCCCAACATTATCGTTTCAAATAAGAGGCGGGAACCAGTCTACTAGTGCTACAGTCTACCCTCCAAAACACTGGATTATTGACTGGACGCAAAAAAAAAACAACCCAAAAACTGAAATTGGTAAAGAAATTATTGAACATGGGTAGATTAAAGGAGTCTATTTTGGGGGAAGAAACTCGAAAATAGCAAGGGGAACGCATCTTTAACATGGGCCGATTTATTTGTTCGAAAGTGAGTAACTGTTGTATCACTAAAAAAATAGCAATTTAAAAATGAAATGAACATTGAAATTTTGAGAAAAGTACATTTAAAAATAAAAGGGTTCCATCATTTTCAATAAGAACATAGGCATGTTTGCAAGAACATGTCCATATATTTTTGTGGTCCATTTGGAGAAAGAGGAACTCATGAGTTTTAAATGTTCAAAAGTGCCACACAAATGATATACACGTATGTACCGGTATCATGACCCAAAATGTGGTATTCATGCACCGTTAGTTTTTCAGTGCTTTGTACGAATGTAATTTGTATAAAAATCGATGTTCTGTGGAGTTGCGTTCAAGCCAGCTGCCTCCATGATACGCTCGAGTTGAATCAAACTTAATGCAAACAATCCCACGTGATTGCGTTTTCATTTTGAAAAAAAAAAAGACTGTTATTTTTGCCACAGACACACCCTGTGCTACAATAACAACCAAGTTTTGGTCCTTCTGTAGTAAATACCGTATTTATAGTTTTTCATTTATGAGGTTTCTTGACATGCATGTATTGTGTAATTTGTGTGGTCCCACTCTTGAACAATGATGGGCAGATCATCTCAAGGTAAGTGTGTAGTTAGTATTCAGGGGCGTCAACCGTAAAGTTTGGAAATTGTTCTTCAGAGACACTTTGTAATGCGCTGTTGTGATTGTGAATCACATTATCATCCTTGGAAGTTTTTTTTCCACTATGGAAATCAGGAAAAGCCTTGAAAATGAGTTTGCATTTTTCCAGTCAGGGAAAAACTCAGGGAATTTAGGAAAATCACTTAAAATCAGGGAAAACTCAGGGTAATTGACAGTGACCCAGAAGAGTTTCTTCACCAGTTTGGGATATGTTCGTCTTGTGCCACGTGTCCAACTTTGTGTCCATCGGCTGACTGGCTATGGTGGCTTTTAGTGTTTATTCAGTGTGAATGTTTGGTTTGCATGGGTGGCTTGTTTGGGTGGCTTGTGCGTAAAGCGCTCGCCTCTCACCAAGGTGACCAAGGTTCGAATCCTGGCCGCAGATCACATGTGAGTAGAGTTGTGCGTTGGTTCTCTCCTGTGCCACAAGGGTTTTTCTCCGGGCCCTCCGGTTTTCCTCCCTCCGGCAAATTCAAACACTTTCGATCTCAGGCTGTGCTCCGTGCTCATGTATGTGTCGATGTGGCTGGCAGCCATAGGCGCCTTTACGTGCCAGCGGCCTGACCACATTGTAGCCGCGTCCTTCGCAATTCAGCATATCAGCTGCGAGTAAGGATGATTAGCCTCCCAAATTATTATAATTATTATTACTATTTGTACACACCCCTCCAGACAATATCAATTGGCTGTGCTGCATGTACCTCATACCACCTCTTGACTTCCCAGCAACTTAGTTAAAGTGAAAATATTTCTCAAGGAATTTTGGAAATTTCTCAGGGAAGTATCAAGGAATCCTGTTTGGTTTTAATGCCGACCCCAACAACAACTTTTTCATTGCTTGGCGAAGAGGGAGACCAGAATTGTTTTCTTACAAACCCCCAAAGCCATTATGTAAACAGTGATGTGTGATTCACTGTGCACAGTGCAGTGTACACAAAACTATCAATTCAAATCAAACTGCACCAGAGTACAGGTTAATATTATAGAATCCACACTCCACAATTACGTACTGCATATGTGTCTCTTTTACAAACTTTGAAGTTTGAACTCAGCTGTTTACGCTTTTCTTATGAACTTTTCGACACGATTATAATCCTATTCGGCTTTCTGCTGCTGTTGTTAATAATGACAAACTGTTACTTGCCTCGGACATGGGAACAAGAGCTTTTTACTGTGCAAGTAAGTAAAACCATTGGTGAACCTAAAGTACTCATGTTTTACTTTAATTTAATGTGCCAGTGCAATGTGGAGAAAAGAGCTACGGTGTACATATTAATTAAGCATTTTTGATTCAAAGCTTATTTACATGTGTACATGCAGTATCTATTCACATGAAAGTTTGTTTTCTTTTTGTTTCTAAAATAGAAAAACATTTTAGATTTCCCATAGATGAAAATTCAGATTGTGTCCTTGGGTCCCCAAAATTATGAAACTCGATTGTAATATTTCCTCCATTTTCTAGGACACATTATATGTCTTATAAAAGTACACATACATCTGCCTAAATCCTAAAAACATACGTTCTTTAGGGATTTATAAGAAAAGCTGATGTATTCGATCTCGCAGTCCTGTTCATGGCTTCCACTTTTTTTTTCCTTTTCTACAAGCCCTCAACTTCATGGTCCACAAATGCTCTAATAGCAAAAATTGGAGGGCATGCATGCAAATCGTGATTTGGCCATGTTGGCCAGCGTAGGCAATTCCCTGCATCCTTATGAAGAATCAAGGAACACAACTAATTGTGTGATTTTGTATTGCAACAAAAAGTGACCTTGACCCAGGTTAATGTCCGTGATCGGTAACTCTAAAAAAGTTACCATCTTTTGTATAACTGGAAGTCCTATTCAGTGGTAATCTGTAAACTTGAGGTACATGTACAATAGTCACCATACAAGTATTTTTCACAAACAAAGTGTATTTAAAGTTGAGCCCATGGGTTTGTTCTGAAAAAGAAAAAAAAAGTTTCACGCCACCAAATTATTTGTTTGATGGCACATCGGGAACTAAAAAAAGTTTTGGCATTCACATCTAAGTACAGGGTTAAATTAATAGTTATAATCATTAAGTGGATTTTAAATTTAAGTCTGATAAAACGTATTGGTTAGTGAGTACAATGATTTAAAAAAAAATATTCATTCAACTAAGTTTTATGCCTTAGTAGAAATTGGCTAAAACCACCATGGTCTTTTCTTTAGATGTACGTGTACATGTACTCTGTCAAATAGATTTTTATTGTATCCTTATTATTTAATTTTTCAGTTATAAGTAACAGCTGAACTGTTGCACATTGTTAGAAATAAACTACAGCTAGTAAGCTTCAAAATGATATATATACATACGTTTCATTTGTGGTATTTTTAGTTTTTGAAGTTTTGGCAGTAAGGTTATAATTATGAGGAACTGCCCAGCACCATTGGAGACAAGGCGATGGGTATACTGTGCAAAAAAGCATTCAATTTGTGGCGCTCCGGCTAAGTACTTAAAATGGTTCAATGATTTCGAAAAGCACTCATCATTTGTTCAGGAGTGGCCATTTCATTGTGAGAAAATCTTACCAAGGTTTTCCAAAGAACCAAATTGGAGATGTGAAAGTTGTCAAGTGGTGCTCAAACTTTGAGGAAAGCTACTCAAATGAAAATGGAGGCATGGGATGTTTTGGGTTTATTGTTATTTCAAGTGGTTAAAGGGTCTCAAGATTGCGCATTCAAGATTGGGAAGCTGCATTCTTTTGCAGGTATAGAAGTGGATTTTCTTTTTTGGAGGTCATTTTTCCCTTCAAACAAATCAGCAATAACAAAATCTCAATTCAATTGTGCTGTTCAGGTATGTTTGTCCTTAAGAATTGTGGAAAAATTTCTGTAAGGAAGTACAACATTTTAGCAGTGGCCTTTTTGTTGCTTGAAATATTATCGAGTTTTCCCCAAAGAGCCAAATTGGAGGCGTTAAAGTTCGAGTGCTTGAGTGAGTTGTTTTACAGTGTGAGGTGCTTTGAGACTTTTGGTATAAAGTAGGCCTACTACATGCAAGCATGACATGAACATTATCATGATTACATGCCTGAGTCTACAGGTTTTCCTTGGAATATTCTTCTGGGGTTTTCCTCCCACGTGTAAACTAATTTCTTCACATTGTCTTAGTTTACTGGGCCCCATGGAAGACCATAAAATAAATATGAGCAATGCATCACAAATATTTTGCCTGTTACCATGGTTACCGGAACATTGTTATTTGATATAACGTGTACATGCAAGTCAGTTTCCCATAAATTGTTCAAGATATGTGATGCGATCAAGCTAAATGAGTCGTTTGTCGACCCTGGCCAAAACATTTTTATTGAAGACTTGAAAAGTCAGCACAATCTCACAATTACTGCTGTGAAAACCGCATGTTGGTACCATCTTTAGTTCAAAAATTATGAAAAGTTGGAACACCAAGAGATGTGATGAAGTGATGTGATGAAGTGGCCCTACCGTATTTTGGCCTGTATCTCCAAATAAAAATGTCCAACAAACGACTCATTTAGTTTGATCGCATCATATAGCTGCTGTCGGAAGCACATCCCTAAGAAAATGCTTTCATGAGAACAGATTCTACCACAGGAATTGTGTGGGTTTATCAACCTTGCACCTTGTACTTTATTAGCCCTGTGCACACATGTAGGCATATGCGCATGTATTTAAAGCATGTTTAAGATTATAACTGAGCCTCATGAGTGGCCAGTCCAAATCACTCATGCCAAATCAGGTGATAAAAAAAAAATGTCAGGTGACACTAAATATAGAATAGATACCAGCACAAACTTAGATACTGCTGATTTAAGTACAGTTGTACTGGGCTGAGAGTGCTTGGTGGGTGTGGGGAGATCCTCCTGTGCGGTTTTCAAGTCCGGCTGGCTTAGTGTAGCAGAGTGTATGTTTGAAGCCGCAACACTGACTTGCTTTTGTGAGGTGTCTACATGTATAACACGGTGCTGGTACCAGCATGGTCTACCCACTGAAGTTTCAGCGATTGCATGTCTGATCTGTGGTCAGTTATTGCACCATTTCCTCCGTGCTTTTGGGAATAAATCCGGGTTCCCCTGCTGAATTTTCCCCCGGACACATCAGATTTTTCCAGGAACTATAACGGAGGAGTTTGAATGATAGCATGTACAATGTGCTTTTGGATGCAGCTGATGCACTTTTTGCGAGACACCATGTGACAGGATGGAAATTCATTGATTGCAACAAGTGTATTTGAACAGATGGTTTGGTTGAAGTCAATAAGGCACAGACAGTGTTATCTGCGCATATTCATATCAATGTAAACTGGAGTTGTCGAAATACTCTTTTTATACACACATGGTGTGCGGTATTATGGCCATTTTTCATTTGAAATCTTGACTGACTGCATGTACTTAATTGGAATTTGACCATTAAACTTGAAGTCCAACTTTCAAAGAACCTACCTACATGTATTCATGTAAAGTATAACTGACTTCTTCCCAAAGGCCTACATGTACCTTATATTAGAAAATGACTTATATTGGATACCGCAACTTTGAATGCGTGTGATGCCCATGTGTGAAACTCAGTTTTGGTGAGATTTCAGTTACCTTTGTCGAGAAGACTTTTATCGCCAGTTTTCTGTGCCTGGTCTTGGCCCGACTTCGAAAACTGCCGACATGCCTCCGGTTACTAAGCGAAACCATGTGTGCGATGTGGATGGATGTGCTCAGAATTTGGGTAAAAACTCTCTCTTCTTGCATTAAGTGTCAGTTATAGGCCTACATTCTTGTGAGTGTGGTATTTGGATTTTACATGTATGAGGCGTTTTGTACATGTACGTTGCTGTGTTCATATTGTGAAGGATTAAATTTAAAGGGAAGATACAACATTTGCAAACATCAAAAAACGAAATGATCACATTATCACAAGATACCTTACAGGATTGTTAAGGAATGACAGTCTAAAGCATCCTGTAAAATCGTGGCTCCTGGTGTGCTGATATTTTCAAGAAAAGCTGTATTTGTCCAACGCTGGTCGGCCGACCAGCGTTGGAGAAAACTAACTTTTTTTCAAAAACTGCTCCTAATTTTTCAAATTTAGTTATTCTGCATTTTTTGGCAATTGATTACACACCTGTGAAGGAGTACAAACCTGCTAGACTGATTCCCTGACCTTAACATTTCCACACAGCCTATAAATTGCTGTGTTTCATCTTAAGTGGGGTCGGGGAACCAGACTACAAGAACATGATTGATTTTCTTGGTTTTTCAGTTGAACAATATTTGCTATAACATCAATCCTCCAAATCCATTTATTTTTGAAAATTGCAGCAAATGTTGTTCCCTTTAAACCTTTGATTTAATCTTTTTTACCTTTTTTTTTTACCCCTTTTCAGTTTTCACTTGTGCTTTAATTCAGCACCCAAATAAAATGACCGACTGACTTGAGAGTTGCATGTATGTTATGTGTTGAAACCCTTCTATTGTTTGATCAGTCACAGACAGTCAACAAATTCTTCCACTTCCCCTGCCATGCATTTATATACAAACTAGTAAAAAAAACAGTCAGATCATATTCATGTAAACTCCATGACTAGTTAAATTCCATCAACATACAAAAGAGGTAACTGGTAGGTACAGCTGGCATATCAATCACCTCCAGTCAAAGCATGGCTATTAACACGGGTCTTTTTCAACTGTTAAAAACAGTCCTTTATTTGATTTTGACTGCTGTGATGGTGTAGCCGAAGTTGCCAGCCAGAGAGGGATGGTTTTAAAGGCCAGACTCATGAACGTACGATACCTTAACCCTAACCGCCCTGAATCCTTCAAAATCTTCTTTGCCAAAGTGGAGGAATTTGGAGGATTGAAGTAACAAGGCAAAAGTGCATTAATGATTTCCTTTATGTAGGATGCACTTTGTCAAGGACTTGGGCCAGACCTTGCGTTGTTTTTGCTCAGCCATGCGTAAATATAGGCCTGGATTATGCTTGAAATCCTCCATACTGCTCCAGGATGTCAATGGCCAAGCCTCAACATATTGACACTCACTGCTGCAGGATTTTGCAGGATTCAGGCTACATCCTAGCAAAAAAGGCCAAGGGAGTTAGGGTTAATTTGCTAATTTGTTCTTTTACTCGCCGAATATCACTGCAGCGATGCCCTGGTTTGGCATGGACATCGGCGGCTCCCTCGCCAAGCTGGTCTACTTCGAGCCGGCAGACTTCAACCTCGAGGACGAGGACACGGAACTGGAGCCCGAGGCCTTGTACAAGATCCACCACTACCTGCGCTACAACACGGCCTACGGCTCCACGGGCATCCGGGACGTGCACCTGGAGGTGCGCGACGTCACCGTCCTGGGCCACAAGGGTTCAATCCACTTCATCCGCTTCCCGACCACCAGCATGAGCCTGTTCCTGGACATGGTCAAGGAGAAGAAGCTATCGAGTCTGGCCGATACCATCCACGCCACCGGAGGCGGGGCCTATAAGTTTGAGCAAGATTTTAAGGAGGTGAGAGCCCCTCTTTTCACTTCGAGAGGAAAGAAGTTTTAAGGACTTAACAGGCTTCTAAACAGGTCATTATCTCTGAGTAACTAGTTGTCCTTTTCAAAATTTGAAGGATTTTGCTAGATTGATGAGGGTAAAGCCAAGCTCATCTATTGTTCCTTTAAACTGATGCCCTTTGAAAGTTGAAACTGAGAATGTGTTATTAGTTCCCTGCAAAGTGGAGTAAAAATGCCTTACGAATTAGGATAAAACTTAGCCTATTCTAGAAATTACAGCCATTTCTGTATGATCAGGTGACCGAAGCTCAATTTCATTAATCCTAACTCCCTAGCATGATTTACGAGGAACCATACCCATCCTGGCAAATTCCAACACCATATTGGAAACTGCACACACACATTTCTGACTTTGTATCTGGAGGTGTGCCAACCCAGTGTTAAAGACTGCCAGTTTAGGGGTACTGTACCCATCCTGACAGATTCCAACAAAACATGCCGTTGGGGTTTGATGGGTTGAGTTCTGTAAGGGTTGGTACTGTACCCATCCTGACAGATTCCAACAAACATGCCTTTGGGGTTTGATGGGTTGGGTTCTGTAAGGGTTAAGATCCAAGCACAATAAGCAAACCCATTAAAAAGACATGCATGTAAAAGAGCTTTACAATATTTTTATCCTGTGTTTCCCACATTTAGATTGTCAATATGAGCTTGCAAAAACACGACGAGCTGGCCTGCCTACTTCGCGGCATCCACTTCATGGACAGAATACTCCCGAACGAGTGTTACTACTACAAGAACACGGACGCCTTCAACAGCGAAGCCAGCGAGAAGGTGCCTTATGACTTCCGGGACCCCTACCCATATCTGGCAGTCAACATCGGATCAGGAGTCAGCATACTGGCCGTGTACTCACAGGACAATTTTAAACGTGTTGCGGGCTCCAGGTAATTGCTTTCTTCTTCCATTATTGCCTCGACATATTTCACCTTATTTTTGGCTTCGAAGTGTAATTGGCAATATTTTGTAGCCTGCTATTTATGGCAATTCGGGTGATTCACAATGCAGTGCGCCACCAAGAGTTTGCCATGGAGAGTCCATTTTTCAAGTTTATGGTCGACAAAACATGGACAATTTGAACGAGTGTCAGTAGACAACTTGAGCTAATATGTTATAAATTGGGGCAAAGCGTTCTGCCGCCTTACAAAAAAACACCATATTGATGACAAGAAAAGAAAAGGGCAAACAGAATCCTCGAATTATACGCTTACGAAACTACTGACCGGAAAAACTAACAATTTCAAATGTCCCGCACTGCAAATTTGTCGACCATCTCCCACAATGCACTGGGAAAAATGAACTCTCCGCGGCAAACTCTTGGTGGCGCACTGCATTGTGAATCGCCCGAATTGATTGATTGTCATAATTTGAATGTATTAAAAAACTTGGTTTAGATAACACTATGTTTAGGAAAGTTAACTTTTTGTTGCAGCAGTCGTTGCTGTATTTGATTGAAAATTACAACTGCATGTTCAACGCCATCAGGTGCGTGTGCACGCAGTGCAGTGGGCAAAATGTTCTAAACACGCACGCGTGTTGCTCGAAATTTCTTCGAAATACGGCGCAGCCGATGCGCGTCACGAAAATTTAACGCCCGAAATGCCGATGCCCGTGGCAATCTGTAGAAAGTGACGTCATTTGAGAGAGACTAATAAGCTAACTGGCACTAAAAAATTCAATCAGGTTTCCAGCAGTTCTTGAAAAAAATTTTAAATCCTGGAATTTAAAGTTATCATGGAAAATCATGAAAATTTAATATTTTACAAGGAGTCATGGAAAGTTGATACTCCAAGAAAAAAAATCATAAAATCCTGCACAACCCAAATGTGATGATGCGTAATATTTGGCCATGGCAGTTTTCCAGTTTGCATTCCAGCTCACTATACTTCCTCTTTATGCGTGTATGCTCTATACTTGTTGCTCGTTCAGTGCATCATTGTGGTGTTTTTGTGGTGCTCAGTGGTTTGTGTCAAACTGGAAGGCTGAAAGGGAGTCGCGTCCCTTGCCTCAGTGTGATGACTGGCCGGTGTATTGTAAATAGGCTTCTCAGATGCCAAAACAGCTCAGGAATTGGTCACGAAAAACCCTAATTTTGTCCTGGGAAAAGGCATGGAAAAGTCGTGGAATTTCATTTAAGGTTTCTGTGGGAACTCTTTTAACAGTCAAGTAGTAAAATGGCTGCATTAGTAAACATGAAACATCAGGACTCCAACGTTTTCAGTCCAGAAGCATACATCGTCATGGTTTGGAGTTTGACCTTTCTTTTTTTCAACCTTCCAGTTTGGGAGGGGGAACGTTTCTAGGCCTGTGCTGCTTGTTGACGGGCTGCGAGACGTTTGAGGAGGCCATCGAGCTAGCTTCGCAGGGCGATAGCACCAAGGTGGACAAGAGCGTCAGGGACATCTACGGCACAGACTACAATCGGTTCGGTCTGCCTGGCTCAGTGGTAGCAAGCAGGTTGGTAACATCGTTTGCCCATTTTCACCTCCAAGGCCCATTTTGCCATCCTAAATTTTTAAATTTAATATACAACATTTGCAAACATTAAAAAACAAAACTACCAAATTATTATGAAATACTGTTCTTGACTGTAAGTGAATAATAGTCTCAAGCATCCTGTGAAATCATGGCACCTGGTGTGCTGTCATCTCCGAGACAAGTGGAATTTTTGTATCAATTTCCAACGATGGTCGGCTGACTATCGTTGCAAAAACTAGACCTTTTTTTTCAAATACTACCCCATAATTTACTATGCTTAGTTAGTCCACATTTTGTTTGCAATAGGTTACATATCCGTGAACGGGTGCAAGCCAGCTTGTCTGGTTTCCTGACTTGACCATTCCCCGACGTCTATAAATTGCTCTGTTTCGTCCGAAGTAGGGTCATGGAACCAGACTACAAGAACAGCATGTTTTCTTAGTTTCTCCAGCATCTATGAAAACAAAACTTAAAACATGTCAGTGTAACAATATTTGTTGCATATTTGCAACTAAAGATCCTTTATTCTTACCCTTATTCTTACCCATCCTATCCATCGCAAGATCTCAAGCCTTCAGATAAACTTCTAAAAGTAGAAAGATTTTTCTAAAACTGTACCTGAAGTTTTTGTTTTAAAAATGGATGGCACCACTAATAAATATATATTTAGTAAGCAGCACTCAAGATAGCTTCCCTATAAAAAAGGTCAACCTGATATAGGCTGTTTGCATTCAAGGGTTTGTTTGCAGTTCTATAGAATGTAAGGAGCTCAGTGCTGATAGGGATCTGAATGATATGAGTGGCCTGATAGGATTTGGTATTAGGTATACTGTTTGCATAACGATGATGATAATATTTATTCAGCTATTGTGTATTATGTTCCAGTGTTATTCTGTTACCTACATGTAGCTCGTTTATAGTCACTTTTGACCCTCCTTTTGTTTGATCAGCCACAGACAGTCAAAAATCAATCCCATGCCATGCCTTTTACACAGGCTAGTCACCAACAGTCAGATCATATTTCAATAGGCACTGTGACAGTCAAAATCTGTCAACAGACAAAAGCAGGTGACTGGTAGGCATGGCTGGCTTATCAGTCTCCTTCAGTCAAAGCATGGCTATATCAGGTTTCATGACAATCACAGCCAGTCAATCCTGCTTTATGAAGGCAGGGAGCACTCAAACCAGTACAATCTTTAATCTACGTGTAAGTAAGATTTTTGATAATGATTCGGTAGGCTGCTTTTGAGATTAAAACTCCCTCGCTGGCTGGCAATTTCAACAAGGCCAGCCCAGCAAAATAAATCAAGTGACTGTTTTTAACAGTTGAGTGCTCCCTTGTAACAAAACCTACAATTTATCGTTGAACTACTCATTAATTGTTAATGTTAACCGTGATAACAAAAGTTTGCAAAACTTGCCCTAGTTTACCTTTCTGCCATCCAGGGCCTGATTAAGTGTTCCGTAGGCCCTACTCCGCACAAGGCACCAACACCAATTTCATGTTGATGTACGAAACAAGACAGGCCAAACTGATAACTCTAAAAGCCTGTTGGCACACTGTGGTATTTTTGTAGGCCCTCAAATTTTTCGTAGCCCCCAAATTTTTTGTAGGCCCTAGGCACAGTGCCTAGTGTGCCTATTGGATAAACCGGGCCTGCTGCCATCTTGTTACAGTGACGTAACTTGCAAATTGACTAGAGAAACAGTGCTCCGGGGCTAGGTTGATCCAGTTGGACTAGCTAGTCAAACCACGCAGCGTCCTAGTGACATCTAGATCGACTATGGTTAAGCCTAGTCGACTCTAGTTACCTAACCAAACTTGGTCCGTGCTGTAAGTCTGGTGAAAGAATCACGCAGAATGGTGATTTTGATAGGCCACTCTTTCTGAGCCGCATACATATCCTGCACCCGCACAGTTTCTAATGGTCCCTGTTGTGTGGCTTGCCCAGGAACACACGGAGTGCAACCCCTAGGCCTGTGGCATACACCAAAACGCCCATAATTTGTCCTAACTCATGGTGCTTATCTTTTCTGTTTCTAGTTTCTGCTGCATGGGAATCAAAGAGAAACGAGAGGCTGCCAGTAAAAAAGACCTGGCCCGGGCCACGCTGGTCACGATCACCAACAATATTGGCTCCATTGCTGGAATGACTGCACTAAATGAGGTGAGAAATGGCATGATAATAATAATAATAACAACATGCTGCTGATATAATAATAATAATAATAATAATAATAATAGTGGATATTTATAAAGCGCACGTATCCACCAGGTGTGGATATAGTGCTTTATACCAAAGGTCTCAAAGCACATCACAATTATTACTCCTGAGACCATTTTTTTTAGATCAGCGCAATCTAGTCTCTACCCTCGCAGGTACCCATATACACTCCTGGGTGGAGAGAGGCAATTGTAGTAAAGTGTCTTGCCCAAGGGCACAAGCACCATGTCCCCCTTCCTGGTACGAAGCCGGGTACTTCGGCACTTGAGTCGAGCACCGTAACCATTGGACCACAAGGTAAACTTTGTTGTTTGAGGCAGGTTACGTTAAAACATTTTGGAAAATGTGCAAATGGATTTAGATGATGTTCGATATTTTTCGAATAACGCAATAAGACATTGTTTTTGTGTGAGGGAACTTTGCATTTGGGAGATAAGATTGAGGACGAGGATTGATAACATTTTTCTTTCAGCCGGCAGACGGTTGCCCAATCGTGTAATTGTACGTACATGAAGAATCCTTGATTTTTTCTTCTCTGCAATCCATTCAGGGCATCGAGAGGATAGTCTTCGTGGGTAACTTCTTGAGAGTCAATCCCATCTCGATGAAGCTCCTGTCCTACGCCATGGACTTCTGGTCCAATGGGAGCCGAAAGGCACTGTTCCTACAACATGAGGTACGTTCAGTGAATGGCGGTCTTGATTAGGCACTGAAAACATATTTTGTGTAAATAATGAGCTTTTTTGTCAGTAGTTATTACACAAAAAAGAGTTACATGGTGTTGCCAAAGAACGTGCTTTGTTGTCATGGTTATCAGTTTTGGGATTGCTCCCCAATCGTGATTTTGTGTTGGTAAAGAAAAGTTTGAAAAATACAGTTGAAGGTTCAAGGCTCAATGATATAACAAAAGGTGTGTATTGCTTTTAATTTTATTTAATTGTGTGATTTAATACTTTTCTTTCTGGTGTGTTTTTTTCCCTCTTTCAATATTTTTTTAAAAAGTTAAATATAAAAATTCACTAGAGCGGGGTTTGAACCTACGACCTCTGGATTGCCGTTCCGGTGCTCTACCAACTGAGCTATCCAGCCCTGACATTGACAAACTGGAACAGCGATCTGTAGGTCGTGGGTTCAAACCCCATTCAAGCCATTATCTTTAATCAACTTTGAAAAAAAATGATTATAAAGCACCTAGTCAGTTTCCCTGTGTGGTTTATTTGAAAAATCAACATCTTTTCCATGCGTCATTCTTCCAGGGTTATTTTGGTGCTGTGGGAGCATTCCTAGAACTGATCGGCTACGACGGAGATCGGAACGGCAATGGTGAAATATGCAATGGAGTTATATAACCCACCCCATCATGTCTTTGAATGTTAACTGCTCTGCGCGCACCCTAGCAATGGCCTTATTCACCCAGCGGGCACTGGCATGGCCACTGGTCACCGCATGCTACATCACTGGTAGACGGTACATGGAGCTCAATGGACAATCCTGGCAGTCACCAGGGAAAGCAGGGGATGAAACTCGGGCTGTGCTCGAGTCTCTCATCTAGAGCTATTTTCTGGAATCTTTGACCATACAACTACATTGGCACATGCTGACAATAACAGTAGCCGCAGACTATCGAAGTACCATGCAAACTCTGTCCCGTACGTGGCCTTGATTATTACAAAGATACCGTACCAGCCCTGCCAAGGCCTGCATTATGCCAGTAGAGCAGATAACACAAAGGAATGAAAAAAGAAGGAGAAAAACAAACGCACAAGTTCCGCTTAACTCTCATGCCAGTGTATTCTTTGTGTGAGGCCTTTAGCCAGCCGATCAGGTACTGAGCACTTTTTTCCTACTGAGAGCATTCCATACAAAAGATAATAAACTTTGTATCTTGTAATAACATTAACTTGAGATTCTACTTTGGGGGATGTTAGTTTGCTGACAACCTGACAAAGGAAACATGGAGGTAAAGGAGAGGCACTGTGATAAATATGGGTAGAAGCTAATGTCATTCTATACATCGAGGGTCCCAATGTGACCTTTTTCCTGTCCCTTTTACCTCCGAACTGTGTAATTTGCCGTTCAGGTAGCATCAAAATTGAGTTGAAACTATCATTTGTTGGGTAGGTAGTCTACTTTACATAATCACTCTTAGAGGATAACGGCGAAGATTTTTGAATGAAGTTGAATACAGTTTGTATGTGATGGACTTTTAAAGTCCAGCTGTACAGACTTTTTAAGCCCACAATGCAATTAACAAAGTTGGTTGCGATGTTTGGACCACTTTAGAAGGGCACTTTTTTTTACCCGTATTCCAGCAAACATTTCCTGTTTGCTATGGCAACAACGAAATATTGGAGGTTAATAAAAAGATATTTTGTATTCATGTATATAAAATTGTTACACCCTCTAAATATTTGTCACACACTGATCTGTTAGCATGACATTAAATTTCTACTGGAAGGAATGGCTTTTAGTTTCAAGATGGCGTACCACTTTTTTTTGGGGGGGGGGGTGTTTTAAACTTTTAAACGCAAAAGCAGATTGACTGAATCTTAAAAGGGAGGCTAGACTAGTCGGACTTGAGTAGCGATGAGCAACTCGGGCTGCGGTGTTTTTATCTGCAGCACACATCGTCAATGGATCATGATTATTTAGCTTGTTCGATGGTTATTCATAAGAAAATGACGTCACACCATTGCTATCACTCAGTCATGCATACATACATTAAAGCATTTTAAAGAACGGCTTTTGTCGAGCTGCCACAGTGGCCTAGCGGATAGTGGAATGAACAATGGATTGCAAGATCTGTGGTTCGAACCCATGTCCATTTTCATCAAATATTTTTGTTAGTTGGGATGACTTTAATTGAAGGGAAAACACAACGAGAACCTGAGTGTCTTCCATCCACACAGCGTGATAAATATTCATGTTAGGGTGCATGATGTGATTGGTTAAAATATGATGTATGCTGCAAAAAAAAATGCACTCGGGCTACCCTTATCAACTCTTTTGCCACGTCTTTGTGATTTGGTTTTCTCTAATTCTGAGCAGGGCTCGTTCTAAAACTTTCCACGACAAGCGCAACTTCAAAACTGCATCACAGAGCCACACAAAATTCTTCATTTTTTTTGGGGGGGGGGGGGGGGGGGGGGGGTTACGAGAAAAGGCTGCCAGCCTGTCTTTGTAGTCTTTCCTACAAAAATCTGATTTGATTTTTTTGTTTTGTTCCCTTAAAAGTAACAATGAGATTGATGTTTTATATTGTTAATCTCAAATGAAGGCGCAATACTTTTTGTGACGTACAAGTTTGAAATGTGATCCAGAATGAATGTACATTTACTTTTATTTTGTGTAAAATATTTCTTTTTTTTCTTCTAAGTATTTAATCATGTGCATATTTTGGTATAATGGGCAGCAACTCTTATTATTCCTTATAATTGTACAAAGCAGGAAAAGTATTGTCCATGATTATTTAGAAAGGCATGTAGACAATGTGAACATTATATTACTTTATTTTATTATTTTGAAATACAGCCAATACAATACACAATAATTGACAAATATCCCGTAACCCAGCTGGCTCTGACCGCATTTTTTGCACAGGCAGATATTATTACCAGTATAATTGTCGTTGTCAGAACAGGTGTTTTTTTTTTTTTTTTTTTTTGGTGGGGGGACCCCCAAAACCCCTCCTCTTGATCTGCACCCGACTACAGAACAAGACTGTGCGCACACAAGTGTGTAAACACCGGTAATCGTGGACTCCTATTGTCCCTAATCCTCATTCCTTTGTTTGTACCCTAACTTTTTAGGGAGACCTCCCATTGTTTTGTACATGAATCGTGGACGTTCGGTCAATTGTAGACCCTTTGTTTATGCCCTAAGGCCCCCCCAAAAAAAGTCTCCGATTTCTGGTATGCATGCGCGTCGCCATAGCCATGCGCGTCGGCAAAATGAAAAAGTTTTTTTTTCAATGAAAGATGATGTCTGAAAACCACCAAACTCACTGGTTTGACTGGAATCCTTCTGCTGCACAATTTTAACGTGTTTCTAGATGGGGTTACAATCGAGTATAAGCTTTATGTGGCCTCTCTGGACTCTCATATAAAACGCACTGATAATTGGGCACCATTTGCAGTCATCAGCCGACATTTGAAGAAAGAAAAAAAACGGTAAAAAAAAAGAAAAGAAGAAGCTTTTTGGGAAGCTCCATACCAGAAACCGGAGACTTTTTTTGGGGGGGGGGCCTAACCTTTAGTCCCTAGTCCATGATTGCCGGTGTTTACACATGCATATCCAAATGTGTGTTCACCGTCGATCGTGGACGTCTTATTGTCCCTCTTTTGTTTGTACCCTAACTTTTTAGGAAGACTCCCATAGGTTTTGTACACGACCTCAATCGCGGACGTTTGCTGGGAATCATGGACGATATTATTCTTTTTTGTTCTCTGGTATTTTTCGTCCATGGTTTGAAAAGATGAACACGTACACATTTTCTGTTTTCTCAAGATGTATAGTATCCATGGAGCTGAAACTTCAACTGGTTATATGCTATGTGTCCTTAACATTTTGAGCAGTTTTGTGACTTCAAACAAAAAACAAAATTCACAAGAAAGCATTTGATCCTTTTAACCTTTAATTTTCTTGTTTATTTTTTGTTAACCTTTCACATATTAACTGTTGATTTATTTATTAATGTCTAGTTATATTTGAATATATCTGATATAAGAGGGTACATTTTATTTTGCTGCTAATATTTTCAGTAGATTACTTGATAATTTGATCTAGACAATCATGGCCACATAATGTTATTTCATATTATTTGTAGATCTTACCTCGGTTCAGATTTAGTAATTCAAAAACCATCATTCGGTGCAAAAATATCTGACATCATTGTACATACCCGTAGAAAATAGTGCAACGATATTTCAATACAGTCTTAAAATGCAAGTGTCTACAAAAACAAAAACATCACTGCAAAACACACAACTTTTCAGGTAAATCTTTGTGCAAATAAATCTCCCCATTGCCAACAAATGTTTGAAAAAATTACACGGGAATCCTGGCATACTGAATTTGTTCTCGTAATGGTGAACATGGTATCTTAAGTTCTAGATATTTCGCTTTGAAACATAAAATGTTGGTCTTTTTTTCCCAAAAATTTCTAAATGGCAAGAATTATGACGCATGCACTACACTGTCCCATAATTTCCTTTATGTCGAAAATTAAGATTGGGACCACTACTTATAATCTTATTACACCATTCCATCATTTTTATAGTACCAAACACCAAACCGTCCGTCCAGAATGACTTCCCTGAATGCGTGGTGGTGGTGTTGAAACTCTGAGAAGTTCAGTGCGGATGTGTGAGAAAATTGCAAAATATCTGGACTCAATTATCTGATTAATATATTAGGAGGATACATTTGCATAAATGTGTGAGGTCAATTGACATTGCAAAGTCAGAGTGGAATGATAAAAATAATTGTAATGAACTTTGACATTTGGTATTTTTTTCTCCTGCAGTTCAAATTCTAAATTCTGTTTAATAGATCTTTACATGTCTCTGATGAAGTTACCAGGGGAATGTTGTAAAGGTACATGATAATCCATGGCATGAATTGAACCAACATTCTGTGTTAAATCTCAAAATTGGGGAGACATGTTGAAATTGTTTTGAGATGCATGTATTCTTAAACTACAAGATCTTAATGGTGGTGGTACGGTATATGGTAAAAACAAAGAAAATGCTGGCTGTTTACAGACAAATGGTCAAAAACCAGTTTGTCCACACGCGTGTATGAGATAGTCATTCAAAAAAAGAAACATGGTCAGTGGTGGTGGAGAAAACTTAAAACTCGGTGAACCACGATGTTACAAAGTGAATCAAAAGTAAACCGCCTGAGACGGCAATTTGTCCTTTATAGAACACCAACCTGTCTCCCTAATATGGCTTCAAATGGATTTCTTCTGGGCCCAATTTCACGGCACTGCTAAGCACAACAATTTGCTTAGCACAAAAACAGTCTGGCTTATAAAAGCAGGTTACCAGCCAAAACTCCATGTGATTTTCATGCTTAGCAAACAACAGCTGAATATACTGATAATGATATACATCACGTGGATTTTTGGCTGGTAACCTGCTTTTAAAGGCCAGGGTCCAACTTCATAGAGCTGCTTAAGCACAAAATTTGCTTAAGCACAAAAACGTCTTGCTTAATAAAATCAGGTTACCGGCCAAAACTCCATGCGATTGTTATGCTAAGTAAACAACAGCTAAATACCAGTCACAAGCAATGTACATTACATGGAGTTTTGGCCGGTAACCTAATTTTACTAAGCAATTTTTTTTCGTGCTTAAGCAAATTTTCTACTTAAGCAGCTCTATGAAATTGGGCCCAGCTGCTGATGTTTTTTGTGCTTAGCACATCTCTGTATGCTATCCAGTCTTTATATAGAGATCAGCGGGTACGATTCATGTTTTCACTGTGAGTGTGCTAAATCGAAACTATTGTGTGGTGTGTGGTATCAAATAGGGTATAAAGGATATGTTTACAAATGAGATATTCATAATACAAAAATCAATCAGTAAAAAATTCAATAACCACAGGGATAAACAAGTACGAAGTGTACACATATATGAAAAAGTAGATTTTGTATTTTGCATTGTAGACTTTGTCGCCAAACAGTGGCAAAAATGAAATTAAAAACATTAAAATACTGAACTCTGTAAATGGTTTGTAAATAATTGAATAC